CGGTAAATATTGATGTTTAAAGAATGTAAATGTTTAATACAATTTTAAAAAGTTATCCTCTATATGCGTGTTCATTTATTGACGCGATTGTAAAGACACGCTGTATAGGCCGTTACTGTACTTTACTTTTTTAGATGTTTTGTTATTATTTACAAAACAACGCTATGTTTAAGATTGTTTATTAGTTACAAGCTTGCCTTGGTTTGAGATTAGATAACGTTGTGTTAAAATATTTGTTTAATAAATAAGAAGATTTATTGCTAATCCAATGTGATGAATATTTAAACAACTTTAGAAATAACTACGACCTTATTTCAAAAACCTCTGGGCGAACACTATTAAGTGTTTGATTTTTGTTTATTTTATTTTTAGTGTGCAATAAAGTATATTCATTCATTCAACAGCGTGAATTAGAAGTACGAATTTTTTTAGAAAATCACATCTATTCTTAGCGCTCGTCCCTCTACTCAAGATGAAACTTTAAACGTTACGGATGCAATTGGCGAGAATTTAATAACCTTATATACCTTTTATTTTTTTTACACTGAGATTTATTTATCCTGCGATAAATTTGCTCGTAGATTTTTTTTAATATTCTATTTAAAATCTTTTTACACAACCCGCGAGCGATTCGTGGTATGAACAATTTTATTGGAAATTATCATCGAAACGTTCGGAGAATCCATTCTTCGCTGAAATCGAGTTCAGTCCGCGCCAGAACAGCGATTGCCAATCAAACAGGCCTTCTCCGATGACAATCGCGCGGGAGAAATTATCGACGCGGCACGAAATAGCGGGAAATGACCTGTCAAACGCACTCGGCCCTCGAAACATCTGCGCGCCCTCTAGAGGCGTAATCGAATACGGACGCGATTGGCGCGAATTCGATGACGTTTATGTTTTTTTTAAACGCGTTTTATGTTTTCTTTTTAAATCGTAAACGATTACGGCCGTTGGCGGGAAGTCTATGACGTTTATTTGATTGTATTCGCTTTTTTCCTGCGATTATTTTGCTTTTTTAATACGCCAGCCAGTGGGACATATACAGCGTGTCGTTACCACCGCGACAATACATGAACACACGTCTAATGCTACTTGCCAGTAATCATAAAAAAATATTACCGTTAAAAAAATCCATAATAAAAAAAAAATTCAAACAAACTAATTAATTAAAAAAATAACAAAATTTGTAACATCCTATACAACTACAACTGACTGATGCATACATTCAGAGACGTTTTCATTCGTTGCCACGGCGTCGCATTACAAGCCTCTCCTTCTAACAGTATGTTTTGTCTCTTTTACATTCATTCAACCCATTCATTGCTTTGTGACCTTTACAAATGAACTTTACGTTACAGTTTTATACGTAAGGTTGTTCTAAAATTATTTGTTTTGGTCAATTTAATAACTCGGTAAATATTGATGTTTAAAGAATGTAAATGTTTAATACAATTTTAAAAAGTTATCCTCTATATGCGTGTTCATTTATTGTCGCGATTGTAAAGACACGCTGTATAGGCCGTTACTGTACTTTACTTTTTTAGATGTTTGTTATTATTTACAAAACAACGCTATGTTTAAGATTGTTTATTAGTTACAAGCTTGCCTTGGTTTGAGATTAGATAACGTTGTGTTAAAATATTTGTTTAATAAATAAGAAGATTTATTGCTAATCCAATGTGATGAATATTTAAACAACTTTAGAAATAACTACGACCTTATTTCAAAAACCTCTGGGCGAACACTATTAAGTTTTTTGATCTTCGGCACAGTAAAAAGACATGGTGAATTTTGAGAGTTCTCAAATCGTTAACACTAATAAATGTAACGTATTTAATTTTATATAATCTAAACCTAAACACAAAGCAGTTTCTGTACGTTGCCGTAAAAAAAATTACGCCTTTGACGTTTAAGTTTTTCTCAAATTCAACGCGCGGGAACATCGAATATCGATTCGAAGTGAGCTCATAAAACCTTTTTAACGTGACCTCAGCCGCCGTCCTAGCCGAATATATCGGACACTATACGATTCGCCTTTGTAACGCAGAGCCCGTATGGTTAACGAGCCGTTAGAGATAATCGCGTTAGACCCTGCAAATGTGCTTTGTCCACAGATAACATTTTTTCTTCTTTGTCCACAGATAGCATCCGCGCTCTAACGTAGTTATTTAGTTTGCCACTTTATATACTAATATATTTATCTATACCAATAATTTTAAGGTCTTTTTGCATGCTAGATATGAATATGTAATATATAAAATTCTCGTGTCACGGTGTTTGTAATTGAACCTCTTCCGAAACGGCTCTACAGATTTTCGTGAAATTTTGTGTGCATATCGGCCAGGGTGGAGAATCGGGCAACATCTATTTTTCATCCCCCTAAATGTTAAGGGTGGTCCACCCCAAACACTTTTTTCTACCCTACAAAAAATGTACATGGCAACGTTTGCCGGGTCAGCTAGTAGGTATATACTATAGATGACGTAAAAAAGTAACAGCCTACACATGTCCCACTGCTGGGCAAAGGCCTCCTCTATTCAGAGGGTAACAGGGCATAGTCTACCACGCGGCCCCACTGCGTGTTGGCGGACTTCACATATCTTCGAAATATATATATATATGTACATATATATTTTTTTTGTTATTATTTCGAAAATATGCAGGTTTCCTCACGATGTTCTCCTTCACCGCGGAGCACGTGATAAGTCAGCACTTAAAGTTAAAAACTTCATTGGTGCCGGCACCGGGGATCGAACTCAGGTTGCTCGACTATATTGAATTAAAGGCGAGCGCCCGGACACTGAGCTATCACGGCTCTCGTAGGCTTGATGACGTAGGTATTTGTAATTTTTATTCGTCCGAAAATTTGTCTCCTATTAACTCTACCACGCCTCGAAGACTTTCGATGTAACTTATAGGGTTCAGAGCAAGAATTTTAACTTTCACTTTTAAATTTTCGCGTAAGTTACATTCCGATATAACTCGTTGGGTTCAAAATTCACTGTACACATCCTTGGGTACGTTGGATTGGTTAAATTAATCGTCTTCGGAGCGTTTAGTCAAATTATAACTTAAATAAAAAATAACCGCACATGCTAGCGAAACAATTCCATATTTTTATTAAACAAAATCAAAACCGACTTCAAATATCTAGCTCTTCATTCCTTTTATAATTGATTTTCAGGAGTTCCCAAAGTAATTTGACCAGTGAAATTAATATGGGACCACATAGCAAACACTAGCTATTAAATGAAAAAAGAATCATCAAAATCGGTTGACTCAGACAAAAGTTCTGAGGTAGCAAACATAAAAAAAAAATACAGTCAAATTGAGATCCTCCTCATTTTAAAAGTTGATAGAAAAAAGATCGCACCGAGACAACGAAAAGGCAAATGGAACCTAATGTTAAAACTTAATGCAAAATGAAAACAAAAAGGGCATTTATATGCGAGGCTGTGAACTTTTCAATAGACCTTAACTGTGGTAGGGCCACGCAGCAGCCTCAGCTGTTGCAGGAATGGGCAGGCTCATCCAGATAAATACTATGACCTCACAGAAGACCGGCGTTAATTGGAAGTATAATAAATACTTTCGCGTTTCGTTTGGTGAGTGAGGTGGCAGGTGCCCAATTTTAAACGGCTGTCAACGCATCTTCTACTCTCGGGTGTAGAAGATGTCCATGGGCGGCGGTACTTCATCACTTAACATCAGGTGAACCACCTGCTCACTTGGCAACTTTTCACATAAAAAATCCCTTGTTATTTTAATTTTTCATTATGATTCTGCAGCTAGATCCACGAGAACGACATAGCATAACCTAGTTTTAAATAAACAATATCTACTGAATCTAATAGAAACTGGACAGAAGAGGTGCCAACACTCCGTGTTTATATAGTTATACTATGTACTAGAAACATATTAGATTGCCAGATATGTGAGGAACGAATAATTAACACCTAATATTCACGCCAATGCATGGCCATTGAAATGAACTTATGCATTACATAGGGATCAAAACGCGAGACTTTTGAGCGTTTATACCATCCCTTAAACAGAACCAATTAGTTCGGTTTCAATTAGTTCATGTTTCTTAGTCAAATAATGTTAAAAAAAATCCCATCGAGTTTCTTTCGCCCGCTATTCTCAGGTCAGTGGATTTTTTTTTTCCATAACCGGTAGCGTTTTGACAAACAATAAGTAAGTGTAATGCTCCTATATTGAATATTATTATGAAAGATATTTGAATTACTAAAAAAAAAACCAAACACTAACATACTAGACTAGATATTAGAGTCTACAAATACAAAACAGAACTTGGCAAAGTTCTATCTAACAAAACTAGTAATTCATTCTAATTCAAGATGGCTCATCTAGTAGATAAGCCATAGCGTCACTTATCTGCTTGTAATTAAGAGCCTCCCCGACTCTTTCTATTACGGGGTAATCTTCCTCTATCTCACTCTGATTAATTTCAGTTTTGCGAACCAAACGACCCCGCGGCCCTAGTGCTACCCATCTCGAGATGTTAATTGACTTTGCAAGGTGACCTCAATTCCAGACGTTTGGGTCAAACGAGTTTCAGCACTCACTTAGTACTTAGGTCGTAAATATGACTTGCTATATGTTAACCGCGGCTTCGCCCGCGCTGGCAAAGGGAATAAACAATAAGTTTTTTTATAATACACCATACTAGCTTGCAGACGTCATAATTTTTTTCTACTTATGGCGTATTTTTTTCTACTTATTTGAGTGTGTATTTTTGTCTACCTCGTTGTTGTGACACAACGTTGTGTTGGGACACAACTCCTTCTTAGCTGAGGTAGAGGTAGCCGGGGCTCACTTCATTTAAAGGTGGCAACTCATTTGTAACCCTACGGGTGTTGCAAATTTAACGGGCGGCGGTCTTAACATCAGCTGAACCGCCAGCTCGTTTGCCACTTTTTCACAAAAAAAATTATACATTCGTTGATGTCCTATCACGAACGAACTTACCACAGTGCCGATCATACCGGAGTTCCTGTACGACATACGCCACCCGGACGCGCCCCTCTCGATGTCCCTGGACGACGTGACCACCCCCGCGCCCCCGCCCACCCCCTACTGCCCCTGCATGGAGAGGAACTCGACACCCGTGTTCGAGAATGTCACGCACAGTAAGTGGATAGATCTATTTGCCTCTACGATGTATACAAGTTGTTTATCCAACATTTACAACGTTCACGCCCGGTCTCTGAAACAATGATGATCGTAGATATCAACTAATCGGCTGTCAAATGGCTTTTCAAATGTCGTTTGAGCTGCCAAAAGGATTGTTAAACTCTTTGAATTGATCATTCTGGTCATTAAGAAGATGACTCTGATCAATTCAGAGTTTCCCAGCCGTCTTGTCACCAGCCGCGGCGTTAAGCCAAGGTGCTTGTAAATATTATATTTATACCATTGATTTATTAGATTTGCTGGAGGACTTTATTTTCGGTGACAGATGAAAATTACCTGATGGTACATAAACCGCTCCCCGTGCGTCCATGACACACTTGTTAAGTACATAGATTCCACCATATCGGAATTTCTTCCTCCTTTACACAGACTGCAAAAAAGAAAGGATTACTCAACTCGGTTGAATTTATTTACATGTCAGATAAAGTTATTATTATAATTACTAAAAATTTAAAAAAAGCCTGTAGGTTCGAGAAACAGCTGTTTATAAATAAAAATAATGATGACAATTCTGTTAAGCCCGTATCTTAGCGCAAACTTCTTAAGAAATCATCCGGTGTAATGATGCTAGGTTTCTTACTCTGGACTGGTGACTCAATGGCCTTGACTCTCGCACCCCAGTGAACCTGACTGCGGAGAGGGAGGAGCGGCATAAGGAGCTGATCCACGAGACCGTCGCCGTCGGGGTCATGTTCGCCAGCAAGGCGATCGTCCAGCTCATCGCGAACCCGTTCGTGGGGCCCTTGACTCACAGGTGGGTCATCCCGGGGGAGAGGGGGCCCGAGAAGGCGGGGTCCGCTGACGCACAGGTGGGTCAGGGGATGCCCCGGGGTGCAGGCGGCCTCGGAAAGCCACGGTCGTTACCCCGGCGAGAGGGAGCCTGATCACCACAGGGTCTTTGCCCCAGGGATGGGGGGACCTGACAAGGCCACAGCCAAGCACAGCTTTTTTAATGACGGCACTCGCTTTCATTTCCGATAGGAGTGCTAACTATATACACTTCCCTATGAAATTTTGGCATCGTAAAAGTGATAAGATACATCGTTTATTGTTTACAATAATGTGCATATGCTATGTAATTTATACTTCTTGGATAGAGTAAAGTATCCTATCCTTATTCTTATAGTACACTGTATATCGAGACTTTTTTAAATTAATAATAATTTATTCAATAAAGGCTTGTTTCAGTAAGAATTGAACGTCAACAAAACTAATATGTATATAAGGATTTTTTAAATTAATAATAATTTATTCCATAAAGGCTTGTTTCAATAAGAATTAATCGTGAAAAGAATATCACCGATTCAAATAATTTAGACCTGCCCAGAGAAAAACTAAACTCTAATTTAAAATCACCAGTAATCAGCCTTGCAAGTGCAGAGCAAGTCATTTCCACACATCCTTGTCCTCGATGTATTCTTAGACTTTATAATAGACCCTAATAAGAAAACTCGAATTAATTATTCCTATAATTATATTATTCCTATAATTATCGTTTGGCTCATGTACTTTATGATTTGACTTTGACAGGAACAAAATGACGACAAGAGTAATGACATGAGTTTATAATATACACGTTTTATTTTACCTTGTCTTGTTTGCGTGACGATTTGCGTTTATAAATTGACTCGTTACTTAATTTTACATCGCAGGCGCTCTTTTCTTATGTCCGAAAGTGGCAACCGAGCTGGCGTTTCACCTGATGCTTAGTGATTATCGCCGCCCATGGACAACAATCGTGTGGTTACAAATGTTGCCGCCTTTTGATAAAGTTGGCCCCTGCTACCTCACTTGCCAGACGAAACGAAGAAGTATAGCACTTCCACTCCACGCCGGTCTTCTGTGAGGTCGTGGTACTTACCCTGTCACAGTCAAAACAGCGCTACCGGAGATGATGTTGTATTTTGTCAAGTTTGGGTTACATTTACACACCTGTATATAACACAGGTGTGTATATGTAACCGAATGCATCCCACAGTAGGGCTATCTTTGTCCTCATCGTGAACTCATCGTTTGTCCGTTACTTTCAGGATCGGCTACAGCGTCCCGATGTTCACCGGCTTCATACTGATGTTCCTGTCTACCCTTAGTGAGTTCTGGCTGATTAACGAGTCTTCCTTTAATAAAGGAGAAGAACGAAGCTAACATTTAAAGGCATCAATTGAAAAAAGTATTAAATTTGAAATTGCAATTTTTTTTAGTTAAGATTCCGGCGCTGCGGGATTCGAACCCGCGTCTTCTGGTTTCGCGCCCAGACACTTTACCAACTAAGCTAAGCGGCCGATGACCTCACGGCGTGAAAATCTCGACATCTATCTGCGTAGATACATCGTACATTTTTAGCAACGCTTGGCGCCATCTAGTGTGCATCCTTTACAGTATATAAAACCTTAGAAATAATATTCAACGATAATTGTTTGTTCATTTATCTACATCATCACTACATAGAATAAAACCATAGCCGTCCCGCTGTCTGTTTGTCCCTATGCTACTTGAATTATGGAATGCTCAATTAACATTATGTCAAAGTATGTACATCGTCAAAATAATCACCCCGTATAAAAAAGCCGTCTTTTCTTAGTCTTCGCGTTCGGCCGCTCGTACGGGGTGCTATTCGTTGCTCGCGCCCTCCAAGGCATCGGCTCCTCGTGCTCCTCCGTCTCCGGGATGGGCATGCTGGCGGAAAGGTACCCGGACGACAAGGTGAGTGCCTTCGCCCTTCCTGATGCTGTCCGCCCTAGCACTTGGGGACGGATGCGAGGGAATCGCATTTATTTTTTTTATTTTTTATTGAAGCCACTTCTTTGGGCGCGTTAAGAAAAAATGATGAGACTGAAGTGCTACCTTACGGGCGAGGTGATTTTCAACCGATTTCATACAAGTCCAATTTTTTTACCGACTACAAAAGGATGAGGTTCCCAATCCGACTGTATTTTTTTTTACGTTTGTCACCTCAGAGCTTTCTACTGAGCGAATCGATTTTGATGATTTCGGTTTCTTTTTTTATTTGAAAGCTGGTGCTTCCCATATGTTCCCGTTTTTAGTTAGAAAAAAAAAATGGTTAATATTAACGAAAACAAAACGGACTTCAAACATCTCGCTTTGCACTCATTTTATAATTGATTTTCAGGTGTTCCTTTACTAGCTCCGGAGCCCAACGTCCCATGCCGATGAAATTAATATGGGAAGCATCAGTTTTCAAATAAACTCGGTTCAATCGCTCCAAAGTTCTGAGGTGACAAACGTAAAAAAATAAAAAAAACCCAGTCGAATCGAGAACCTCCTCCTTTTCGACCGACTTCAAAAAAGGAGTATTCGAAGTCGGTCTTGTTTTTCGTTAGTAAAAATAAGGACTTGTGTGACGTGCGGTTTGCTGTTAGTCTATGGTGGCTTTGACAGGTTGATCAACTTATCTGGTGCGCGGTGATACGAAGACGTCCACTCCGCCACACTACACAACACCCCGCTAATGAAATTTGATGGCTCCGTGGCGCAGTTGCCAAGCCAACGGCTTCTGCGTCTAGTGTCGCTGCGTGTGGGTTCGATACCCACACGGGACACAACTATTTCTGTGACCTACAGACAACTGTTTCGCACAGCACGGGATCTGACGTCATTAACACGACTAATTAACTCTTGGAACAAGAACGTAATACTTGACGTGTTCGCCATATTCTACTCCTCAGGAACGTGGCAACGCTATGGGGATAGCCCTAGGAGGCCTCGCGCTGGGGGTCCTCATTGGGCCCCCCTTCGGAGGTCTGATGTACGAATTCGTGGGGAAGACCGCGCCCTTCCTGATGCTGTCGGCCCTAGCACTTGGGGACGGATGTGAGGGAATCGCATTTATTTTTTTTATTTTTTATTGAAGCTACTTCTTTAGGCGCGTTAAGAAAAAATGATGAGACTGAATTTTCTTTTAAATGCTCGCGCATCACTGTAACATAAAAGTCACATATTTGAAGCTGAGCGTAAATTGCTAAACCGCTAGAAGGCAGCATTCCCTCAATCACATTCGCCCGTTACAGTTCCCTATAAAGAATGTAGATGGCGCTTACATAATTTTATTATTTTTATTTATTTACCAGCAGTTGTTACACCCACACAATGTATATTTAACAGTACAGTATCTATAACTAAGTGTGCACCTATTTTAAGTTAAACACAACATGCATAGATAATGTATTGAGAAATATTAAAAAGCCTGCTTTATTACATTAAAAAAGAAACAAAAAGTAATAATAAAAAATCTTTTATTTGATCAGTTAGGTTCAGCCAAGTAATTATTACTCACGGGTTAGTCCTCCAATTAATTGCAAAAGCTGAAGTAAGCAGCCTTAGTATCAGGCGTAGTATCTGAGTACAGTGAAATCTAGCCACTTGTATAACCGTCGAGAACACCATACGAGTAGGTCATGTCAATTTGTACCAGCTATTAAGTCACCAGCAGGTCTTAAGGAGATTTCTATATTCAACATAGCCTTGTTTAAAGATTCTCAGTGATCTGATCAATTCTCTACGACCTGTCCTGGCAACGAACTCAGCGGTCTTGTTCTACTTTTTTTTTTTAAAAATAAACTAAGGACTCATGTTAAAGAGTCATGTTTTGGTCTGGAAATGGATGTAAATCATAAATAGTTCTGTTTCTGAACGTTTAGATCATACTGATGATAGTTGTTCGATCTGATATGTATATTGATGTGTGCGCGAGTAAGATGAACAGTATGCACGTGTGTGTAACCATTTATTATAGAAAAGGTTGTTTTTTAAAGTCAGTCGCTACTAAACCAGCTAACTATTGACACACAGCGTATTTCTGTTACCGATTCCTACGAAGAGAGTGAACCTTATTACCACAGCAATAGTATTGTGCGATTCTTCCGCCAGTGCTGCAGCTGATGATTCTCCAGCCGGGCGTGGTCAGGCAGGAGACGGAGCCGCCGTCTCTACGCGACCTGGTCACCGATCCTTACATCCTGGTCGCTGCCGGTGAGTACCACGCGATCCTTTTGACTGTGGTAGGTCCACTGTTGCATGAAAGGTTAGGTCCAACCGGGAAAGTAATGGTGAAACTGTCGCAGGTTTTATAGTGTTTAGTGTTTTAAAGTGTGTCTGGGTGTATATATATCTATAACATGTATTTGTTTACGAAATAAAAGAACGTTTAAGTATGTTTATCACTGATAAATTATCAGTTACCTAGAACCCATAGTCCAAGCTTAGTCTAGTTTGGGACTAGATTGTCCAAACACCCGGAGGAAGGAGGCCACAGTCGCGCCGGGATTCGCGGAAGATTGCGTTCTCGTGTTCCCGTGAAGAAGTAACAGCCTATACATATCCCACAGCTGGACAAAGGCCTGTTCTGTACAGAGGGTATCAGGGCATAGTCATAGGCAGGTGCAACGTGGGTGTTTAGTGGGTAGCCCCGTAACTCCCACATACCCCTGCCGCCTACCCACAAGACGGCGGCGGATCCATAAAGGATTTTTCCCGCGTAAAATATAAATAAAAGTTAAAAAAGAAGTTCAGGACTAGATAACGTTGTGTGATGAAATACGTTCTTAAAAATCGGTGTTTTTCAGGTGCTATAACCTTCGCCAACGTGGGCATTGCGATGCTCGAGCCCAGCCTGCCGATCTGGATGGCCGACACCATGGAGGCACGTCGCTGGCAGCAGGGAGTAGCTTTCCTGCCGGCCAGCATCTGCTACCTCATAGGTGGGTCGCCCCCCAGTTTCAGTATATCGAAATAGACAGGAGATAAATGAACAGAACACGCTTTGAACCCAACGCTTATAAATGAACGCTAATGGCCGGTTGCAATATTCTTTTTTTGTTTTTTTTTTAATGTGAAAAGTTGCCAAACGAGCAGACTGTTCACCTGATGTTAAGTGAATGCCGCCACCCATGGACATCTGCTACAACCGAGGGTTGCAGGTGAGTTGACAACCGTTTGCAAATTGGGCTCCCGCTACCTCACTCACCAGACGAAACGTGAAAGTATTTTTCATACTTTACGCTGGTCTTGGTCTTCTGTGAGGTCGTGGTACTTACCTGGACGGGCCTGCCCATTCGTGCATCAGCCGAGGCTGCTGCGTGGCCTTACCACCTTAAATCTACAGATAGATTTGGTTACTAGCGATAGGTATTTGACATTAGCTCCATAATGCTCATGTCAAATTTCTATCTTCACATAAGGTTACTCAAACCTACAAAAGATTCCTCAAAAATTTTTTGAAGTTATACTTCCTTAGGCGCGTTACGAGAAAATGATGAGAGTGAAGTTTTAAGATGCGCGCGCATCACTGTAACACAAAAGTAACACATTTGAAGCTGCCCGCAAATTTTTATAGATGGCAGCATATTCTCAATCACATTCGCCCATTACAGTTCTCAATATAGAGTGTAGATGGCGCTTTCATAATTTTATTATTTTTATTGCTTATATCCTTTTCCATTCATTTTATTATTTCATTGTAATTAATTATCGGCATGCAATTAAAACTATTTTTAATGATGTCAAAGAAGTGTAACTTTTCACGGGCTTACATAAGTACACGCATCCATTTTTTTTTTCAGTAAGATCTTCTAGATCTAATTTCGTAGCTTTAAGTCGTGCAGACTTTTTGAACTATAATATTGTTATATTGTGAACTAGCTTTCCGCACGCGGCTTCACTCGCGTTGAAGCCCTTTAAAAACTATATAGATTTTTAAAAGAATGATATTTTCAACCATTTACAACCGTTTTTTCCAATTCAAAAAATAGCCTATGCCCTTTTTCAGGCTCTAGACTATCTGTGTACCAAATTTCACTTAAATCGGTTCAGTAGTTTTGGAATGAAAGCGAGACAGAGAGACAGAGTTACTTTCGCATTTATAATATTAGTATGGATTGTCTTCAGGCACCAACTTATTCGGACCCCTCGGCCACAAGATGGGCCGTTGGCTCGCGGCTCTCTCCGGACTGATCATAATTGGGCTCTGCTTGATACTGGTAAGTGTGTGGAAGTAGATGGATGCAGTTGGTACAGGGTCGTGCTTCGTAGCAGTTTGTGGGGGAGGCCTATGTTCAGCAGTGGGCTTAAACAGGCTGAAATGATAATGATGATGGTACTGGTAAGGCTTTCTGTTTTATGCCCATTCCTGCAATAGAAGAAGCTAACTGAGTGTAGGTAACACAGTTAAACAATGATTTCTTATCATTATAAGACTCAAACTCCTAAATTTTTCTATTCAGGCTTATTAAATGAAACTAGTTTAAGAATGTAATCGCGTTTTAAATTTTGATTTTTAATTCCCGATGTTTGAAACCCTTTCCAGCGTTTCACGAGACCATCGAAACGTCGAAACGTTGGGAAAATTTAAAAAAAATAAAAACGCGTTAAAATCCTTAAACTAGTTTAATTTAATGTGTATAATATTCAATTAAAATCAAGAAATCAATATAGGCTTATTTTAAGATCTTATTGAACGTCAAAAAACCACCACCGGTTTACTAAACTAAACCTGTCCAGAGAAGTCACACTGGTCTACTGCCATACCCTCTCAGATCCCTATGGCTCGAAAACTGGAGCACCTGATCATCCCGAACGCCGGTCTGGGCTTCGCCATCGGCATGGTGGACTCCTCGATGATGCCGGAGCTGGGCTTCCTGGTGGACATAAGGCATGCGGCCGTCTACGGGTCGGTCTACGCGATTGGGGACACCGCCTTCTGCTTGGGCTACGCCGTAGGTGAGTCCCTTACCGTGGTTGGAACACTTGCATTCTGCTTAGGTTACGCCGTAGGTGAGTCTCTCAACGTGATTAGAACACTCTCGTTCTGCTTAGGCTACGCCGTTGGTGCGTCTCTTTGATTGGAACACCCGCATTTTGCTTACGTTACCCCGTAGGTGAGTCTCTGAACGTGATTAGAACCCTCCGTTCTGCTCAGGCTACGCCGTAGGTGAGGCTCTTTGATTGGAAAACCCGCGTTCTGCTTACGCTACGCCGTAGGTGAGTCTCTCAACATGATTAGAACACTCTTGTCCGGCTTAGGCTACGCCGTAGGCGAGTCATTTTGGTTGGATAACACGCGTTCTGTTTAAGCTACGCCGTAGGTGAGTCCCTTACGCCGAGACGAGCATCAACTATTCCCTAATACCCTCTGTACAGAAGAGACCTTGCTAAGATCTAGAATGAATATGTGGACCGTTGAGTTGAAGATGCGTTGTCACTGATTAAAAAGTAGGCCCTGGTCACCACACCCATCAGACGTATTCCTCTTCAAGTTGGTCTTCCCTGAGACTATTGTAATTTTGCGGAAGGACCAGCCCATTCGTGCGACAGGATCAGTTGCGTGGTCCCATACTCTAATAGCCTCTGTACAGAAGAGGCCTTGCTAAGATCTGGAAGAGATACGCAGACCGTTCCATTTTCCACGTCCAGGACCCGCCTTCTCCGGTGCCCTGGTGAACAGCATCGGCTTCGAGTGGATGCTGGTAATCATAGCCCTTCTGAACTTCGCGTATGCTCCCTGCCTGCTGATGCTGCGTTCCCCGCCCGCCCGAGACGAGAAACAGGTACCTACAGCCACCTTAAGCATTCTTCAGACATTAATATATACATTTTAATGAAAGAATATTTCATAAAATAGTTCTTACACATCGTTCCGTTGTTCTAATAAGCAACGCTTCTATTATTGGTACAATATAACTTGTATTTGATAACTTGAATCTAGATTTATTGATACATTGACAAAAACACACTGGTAAAAAAAAACCAAATGAGGTATTAAAAAATATATAAAAAAACGAGTCAAATAAACATTGTTTCTTTCATCTTTTTTTCTTTCTAATTTCTTTACTTTTTTAGAAGGAGGGTAACTAATAAATTTTATAACATAATTCTATAGAATCCTGTTTTGTAGTCGAGTCATGAAAATTTCATATTAATGTATAGTGTGTTATTTGAAAACTTAAACAAACCTAGAAACATAACTTAAAAATAAGTAATTGTGACCATATTTAACGGTCGATAATTTTATTTCTTTTTCTAACCCTTTAGAGCTTGATTATAAGCGACAAGTCTTCGGTGCGCTACGTCACCTACCAGAATGAAGAGGAAGAGTAAAGCCCGCCAAAATAACGCCGCCATCTTGAATCCCGCCCGTTCCTATTACGCAATGACATTACATCTAGTCATAGGTAAATAAATGGTTCGTTCTTACGAGCGCTATTTGCTCGTTTTTAGACGCATAGAGCGTTTCGCCGCAATGTTTCGACGAACAAAGATTTGAAAAACCAAAAAAATGTAGTTTCTATATTTAATCGGTATAATGCATATTTTACATATTTTCTATAGATATATGTCTACTGTAGTATTATACATGAATATATAATTTATATTTAACGTGTATACAATATATATATTTGTAGTTTACGTCCAACTTTTAATAACTCTTAGGATCTTTAATCTTCATATATCCAAATCTCAGTATTGTTTTATCAGGCAATACCATACATTATAGTATGTACATTATATAATCTGTATTGAGCTTAAGTCAGACTTAGTCGTATGTTATCTATTTAGGTGCCTTTTTATTACTTCATATAATCATACTACAACATACTTCATATAACTGGGCTTTTTCTGCCTTATGCTTTTAATATATATAACAGACAATATAATAACTTCATATAAATTAATTTTCTAATTTATTAAAAAAAAACATTTAATATCATTCATTAAAAACTGATACCATTTTCTAACCGGGAATAAATTCTCCCGCTAACAATGCATAAACGTAATGATTACATTCTCTTTGTTACAATGTATCGTCGCACCTAATCCATATTTTTGCAAATGCAAATGTGACATAGACAATATTTTTTTTAAAATAAATTTGGAGGTAAAAACAAAAATATATTTTAGACAATAAATAAAATCATATTTAAAACCAACACTTTTTCGACTATTTCGGACCACAATATTTTTTGTATACAAAATTATACAAAATGACTTATAAACATGATAAATTTACGAATTGTTATATATTCGACAATAATTTGTAATTTCTTTGTCACCAGTTATAACAGCACGATAAATGATTGATTTTCCTAATAGTTTGCGTAAAGGACCAAAAGGTAGAACTGAATAATTTCTCAAAAGTTAGGTAAATATATTATTATGTAAACGTAATTTTGTATGCACAGAGTAGAAAGCATAATATCAATAATCTTTATCTACTCAATAAAAGCCTGTATGTGAGTTGTACAATATTATGTATTTTCTAAACTTTTGTGCATATCTGTGGCACTTAAAATAAATCAAATATGAATGATTAACCTTACTGTACTTTGGAGTAATGTTTTAAAAGTAGTAATAAAACCTATGTAGAATAAATTATAAAAAATAATAATCTAAGAATCTATCAAATTATCACGAAGTTTTTCTTCTTATACTTATATGATAAATAATAATGTAGGGATCTATCGACTATATTTAATCTGCTTAAATTTGTAGGCGTCAAATATATTTCAAGAAGCAATATAAAAAGAATAATATTTTTCGTTTAATGGTGCGGACAGTATTATGACATAGTGTTATGTTTAAAATACGTTATTTAAAAAAATATTCTAAAATAGTTATATTATGTTTTCAATCAGATGTATTTTCTTTTCTAATTTTTTCTTTCTGGAGAATTTAGTTGCTTATGGCAAATATTTTTTTAATAATATTGTCACGTTATCATAAAACACGTCGTTCGTTATTTGTGTATGGCTGTACATTTAACGGACGATAATTCAATGGTCAGATAAGTCCGCTCCCTTTAATGTATTGTTTTTTTTTTTATCACAAAAACATAATTAATGTTTTATCTGCACTGTAACAGCATTTAATAGAACATATATTTTTTTTAATTAATATACTGCAAGGAAATACATATTTTATATTATGAGAGACGCTTTTAAAATATTAAGCGGCATTTAATCCATGCGATATAAAAACCTTTTGCCTATTTATAGCGTTCTAGTATTTTAGGTATTTGTAGTTTTTAAGGAAATAAAATTATCACATAATCTTCCACAAATTTAGGAGTCATTAAACTTGTCTAAAATAGCATCACCTAAGTTGTGAGTATGAGTAGTCGAGGGTCATATATTAATAATTCGTAATTAACTCCTTTATTATGTATCTGTATTAATTTATCAATCATTCATATTTGATTTAATTTATTTTATATAATATCTGTACAAATGATAATACTATACAATAGCTGGAATGGGTCCTTTTTAAAATTACATTTACATTTTTACCGTGTTAGTGTTACAATGCTGAATGGCTTTTTATTTTGAGAAGGAATATACCCAATTGTTTCATCTGTTAAAAGACTTTGCAAATAATTGTTTATTATATTATTTTTAAATTGTCTAAATAAACTTTAATACAATATTCTTATTTTATAAATAGTATTATAATAATAAATTTTTTTGAAAACTTTTAATTAAAAAAAAAACCTCTTTTGAATTGAGTTTAGTATTATGGCTTAACTTTAACTTTTGGACACAAGTAAAAAAAATAATAATTCAGATATTCGGAATGTAACCATAAATTTAGGATAATACTCTAATTTAGATTGAAAAGCCTCGAGCAGAAGTGTATCGTAGTAATAATTGATTAAACATTGTAAGTATTTACGACTCTACGTGTTAACTCGTATGATATACTATATTTTACTAGTTAGTGGAATTTTCCCAGCACATGACTTATAATAAATGATAATAATATTAATGTGATAGTATTTAGTGATATTTTGATGCTTTTTATCGTCTGTAACTGAATCAATCGATGGAAAAAAAATTCTGGTTGAATTTCAATCATTAGGTTATTTTAATAAAACTAATTTGTGGTTTCGACGATGCTCATTTTAATTTTATATGTAGTTTATTTTTATTATTAATAGAATCAACCGCATAGCAGAACTGTTTGTGTACAAATTGTGAAATATAAGAGTTCAGGCATTCTTTTTTTTTTAAAGAAGATATCATTTGCCGCCACCTCGCGATCTGTTCGCTTAAAATATTTGATTGCACATGTTATGTTGATGTTAAATAGTTAAGATTTGTGTGATTATGTTAAAGTTTAAATTTGTTTGGTCTATCGCGACTGCTGATTTAATTCGACACGCTCATGTTTGTTTTAATAAAATGTGGGTATATGAACTATATCGTGTGTTTTATTTAATTTTATAACTGTGGTAGGGCCACGTAACAGTGTTCACTGTTGCACGAATGGGTAGGCCCGTCCGGGTAAGTACCAGGACCTCACAGAAGACCGGCGTAAAGTAGAAAGTTTCACTTTATTTAAAGGTGGCAACTCCACGAGTGTTGCAAATGTCCATGGGCGGCGGCTATCACTTAACACCAGGTCCCCGCCAGCTAGCTCTCTTGCTATTTTCCCGCATAAAACAAAAAAATCATTCTTTTTTAATTTCAAAACCCACAAAAATTTTGTAAAACTATATAATTATTCCTTCAATTGTAATATGGGAAATTTAGCGCAATTTGGATTTGTATATCTTAGAGAGAATGGAGAAAGTTAACATTAATAATATTTTGGTAGGTAAATACTTTTATAACATACAGGGAGATTTTTTGAGAAGTGCCCAAATTTACACAAGAGGTTCAGACTCGGTAGTATAATCGTTTATTGAAATAAAAAACAATGTTTTTTTTTTCCAAAAAAAATGCCAATCTATTCCCTAAAAAACAGAACGTGTGGACGATGCGGTAGTCACTCATAAATACCTAAATTTTACTGTACACGAACTTGTGTGCGTGTTAATTATGAATGATCGCGCGCGTGGTGAGTGAGGTGACCGGAGCCCAATTTTCAAAAGGTTATCAACGCATCTGCAAACCCTCGGGTGTAGCAGATGTCTATGGGCGGCGGTATTCACTTAACATCAGGTGAACCGTCTGCTCGTTTGACAACTTTTCACATAAAATAAATAAATAGTAAAATAAATGAGTTGCATATAAATCACGCACTTTTTAAGAAAAGTTCAAAACTTACGAGTGATTTTAAATATTTATCATTTTTTATGTAACATTATTTATATCTAGAATTTAATAAAAAAATGGATATACTTAGAAAAGCCGCCCTGTATAGTTCTTAGTGACTGAATCTGTTGTAACATAAGTAAAATGTAATGTTATAAAGATGACCGTCTCCAGGTTCGTCTCCAGTGGAAAAGGAACATTTGAAAATTCACCCAAACCTTTGTTCAAAATTTGTTTTTTATTAGATCAATAGTTTTTATTAGACACGTTTAACACAAACCTTTTTACAATATAGGCACATAATAATTTGTCGTGACTTTTGTCAAACAACCGAGTAAGACACATTTAGAAGAGCAACAGAAACACGTATGATTACATATATTTCTAGAGATTTATACTCTTCTTACGTTATAACATCTAACTCGTCGATTGATACATTCTGCAATTTAGGTGGTACACAATTGAACAATGCTACCACAATCTTAGTGTAAATAAAAATTTAATTTAAATGTATATTAACAATACATTTGAGGCTCTATCGCAAACGCGTAGTAGAAATTAAAAAATACGCGCCGCCATCTTGTCTACAGCGTCGCCATCTTGTCGCAGTGCCGCCATCTTGTCTAGCCCTTGAACGCGAACGCGTAGCCCTCGCCGAAGGAGTGTGGCCCCTTGTTCTGCTCGAGGACGTCGTTGTCATGGTACTAAAAGAGTCATAGAAAGAGTCATTTGGGCTCTGGGTTATATGAGTAGGTTCATCATCGCGTCATGCTGATTGGGAACTTAAAATTGCATTCATACTAAACAAGAGATACAAAATAATTTTGTTAATTTCATTTGCATTATTAAAAAAATAATCGTATTTATTTTGTATATTATCATATTTTGCTAAAGCTATTTTCTTAATAGGTTATAAATTTTAAAATTTGTATAAAAAAAGCGTTATAGGCTAAAATCGATCTGCCCAAGGTATCAAAATTACAATAACGGTAAATTATAAATTTTTGTTCCATTGTATTGTCGATTGTAGTGTTGACATTGTAGTACCTGGAGAACTTTTTTTTGGATAAATCATGTACTTTGGAAATAAAAAAATAAAAATAAACAAAGCAATGAACTGGTATAAAAAAAAAGTATATATATATATATATGTATATATATATATATATACTTATTTTATAATATACAACAATATAATATATATACAAGAATGCAATTCTTGTATATATATATGATTATTATTATATTATACGTTTAAAGGATAAAATTAGAACATGTTGAAATTCAAAGATGAAATATAAATCATCTTCAAATTATCCGAGTACTGTTTAATATCTCAGGAGTAAGTATCTTCTCTGAGTCATCTTCCAAGTCAACATTAAAGGCTTATCCGATGACCATATGACCCTGATGGTTAAGGGCTAACCTGTCCGTCATCCTTGCCATTGGGCTTCCAGCTCTGGATGTAGTATTGGCCGCCGGGTGTCTGCTGACCACCGGCCCCCTGCAACGGAGTCAAAAACCCAATATAGACGCTGATATATCACCACCACTGATCTGATATATCATTTACGGTGGCAGGGCCACGCAGCAGCCTCGGCTGTTGCACGTTTTTATGTTAATGTTTTTATTTATCTGATTGAAGTCGGTTTTTTTTTTGTTAAAAATTATACTTGTAATAACATCAATTTCCGATTGTGGTACATCACTATTTAAGAATCGGAAACAAACTGGTAGGTAAATACGGGGGTATTCTCCCACGTTACCGCTACTACTGTTCACTTACCACTAAAAACACAATATCTACCTACGAGTAATTTAAGTGGAGTAAGTTCAAAATTCCACATTGCCAGGTTTGTTCAAACACGCCGTTTTCAATTAAGGGACCGGTAACAACGTCTAACATACGTCGCCATTTCAAGCCAAGTCTGATTCGTGATTAATGCATAATCACATCCACGAAACTGAACTCTTTTTTTTTACTTTATTGTACACAATTATTATACAGACAATCGGAACAAATGACAAAAACATGCACAAAGGCGAGCTTAACCCTAAAAAGAGTTCTCTTCCAGCAAACCATTGAGAGCACGAAGCCATAATACTATATGATTAGGTGAAGGTGTGTACATTATTAAGGAATTTACCAAAGTAATTGTAAAAGTATACAAGAACTAATTACTTAATATCTAAACGAACTAAATACTCTTTCTGTCTATACGGCCATCAACCAGAGTTCCGCGTCCCACCTGTCCTTGCGTCTGAGTCCAGTCTTGATTGGGTTCTAGCCTCTGCTGGCTGTAGGCCTGCTGAGGCTGCGGCTGCCTCCGTTGCTGGTCGTAAGCGCTCTGATAGTAGTTGTCTGAGGAGGGCAGGTCTCGTGTTAATACCGATCGTCACCTACTGAAGTCCTTCATACTATATTAGTCTTCTTTGGTAAAGGTGACCCTCATGATAAGTGTTAACACCAACCTACGGTGGCAGGGCCACGCAACAGCCTCGGCTGTTGCAAGAATAGGCAGGCTCATCCGGGTAAGTACCGCGACCTCACAGAAGACCGGAGTAAAGTTTAAGTATAATACTTTCGCGTTTGGTCTGGTGAGTGAGGTGGCCGGAGCCCAATTTTCAAAAGGTTGTCAACGCATCTGCAACCCTCGGGTGTAGCAGATGTCTATGGGCGGCGGTATTCACTTAACATCAGGTGGACCGTCTGCTTGCTTGGCAACTTTTCACATGAAAAAAAAAAAACCATGGACATCTGCACCACCCACTTCTAGAGGACGGGCACCGTTTTACCTGATTTATAACACGTAACACGTAACACAGAAGTATAATGGTTCATCTTTCTCTTCTTCTTTTATTATTTTTTTTCTTTTAAAATCATTGCTCCTACTTTAGGACAACATTTTCCTGTGTTGTAAGGAAGTTTTACAAATATAAACTTCACGAGGACAAACGCCCAGATGCGAAGCAACTGTCTGTGGGTCGCACAAATAGTTGTACCGTGTGGGGATCGAACCCAAGGCCCCGACGCCGGATTTATGTCGTCACTTATTATGTTATAACTAATAAAATAAACTGACTGAGCAAATATCATTTATGTTCTAAAAACCCGTCATTAAAAAAAAAACCTGTATAAGTTAATTCAATTTAAATTACCTGATGACCGCGGCTGTTCTGGTAGGGGCTTTGAGGCAGATGGCTTCCCTCTAAAATCTGCAAAATGGTACAAGAATCATATAAATTCTAGATTTATACGCTTGCATCAAAATCAATTCGAAAGTTTTAGTGTAATACACAGCTTTAGCCCGTGCCTTCGCTCGCGTGGTGCCTTTCGGGATAAAATATTATTTTCTACACTACTTCTAAAGTTTTTTTGCTTGCCCGGACGGACCTGCCCATTCTTGCAACGCCGAAGCTCACTTACCACTTACAGAAGAGCGCCGTGCAGTGGAACTGTTATACTTTTTTGTTTCGATGAGTGACATATTCGGGCCCCGCTTTATTACAAAATGGCAACACATCATCAACCCTACAAGTGTTGCCAATGTGAATGGGCGGCGGTTATCACTTAACATCGGGTGAACCGCCAGCTCGCTTGCCATGAAAAAAAAAGTTTAAACTCCATCTAATATCCATACCCTGAAATCGGTAGAACTGTTTATTTATTTATTTATTGTTAGGTACACCAACGGCACAAAATATAGGATAATTTATGTTTTCTTTGCTATAGGGCCAATTCGTATATTACAGAGGTATACACAACATTGGTAAAAGAGTTAATAACACTTATAAACGGAAAATTAAAAAAAATACGAAGTGGACACTAATGATAAATTAATTATCAGTACTGAATTAAATCTTACAAAACACATCGTATATGCTAACAGATTAGCAAATTCACATTTGAACAGTTATTGAAGAGATCCTCAAATACTGGTTAGAAACAACTGTAGTTGTTACCAAGTGACGCCCAAATTTTAAATATTGACCAGGAGATGCTGCCAGATCCTAGAATCTTAGAGAAATTAGGGATACGCTTTCAGAACATTATTATCACGTGATCTGTGGTGAAGGTCCACAATTTCGCAATGGCGCTGCGTGGTGGACTATGCCCTGTTACCCTCTGTACAGAGGAGGCCTTTGCCCAGCAGTGGGACATGTATAGGTTAATACTTTTACTATAAATTTTTCAGAACAATCCCCGCTTTTCCAGATTGGGACCTACAATAAAAAACACAAAGCCGGAGAGTGAGAAAAAAGCTCAAAATTGAATTTCACCCCCAACCTATCCGGGACAGTACTTGAGCTACTTTAGCTGTTATTTTTTATGTGAAAAAGTGGCAGACGAGCTGGCGGTTCACCCGATGTTAAGTGATAACCGCCGCCCACGGACATTTGCAACACCGGTTGCAGATGTGTACACCTTTAATAATGTGGGCCCCAGCATTCTCACTCACAAGACGAGACGCAGAAGTGTAACAGTTCTACTTCATGCCGTTCATGCAGGCCGCGGTACTAACCCGGACGGACCTGCCCATTTGTGCAACAGTGAACACTGTTGCGCGGTCCCACAGTTAAACACAGTTGTCATCGGAGCCCCTGGAGCTGTCACCTGGAAGCCCTCCTTCCCGGCGCGGTACTTCAGCTTGACCAGCTGCCCGCTGGGGTCCTTGTACTGGTACGCGCCGACCCTGGAGCCGTCCGGCTCTATCACCTCGCCCGCCGCCAGCCCGTTGTCGGACGCGTACTCGAAGCGGAAACTACCCTCTTTAGAAAGAAGAGGGGCAGACTTATTTATTTTTATGCGAAAAGTTGTCAAACGAGCAGACGGTTCACCTGATGTCAAATGAATACCGCCGCCCATGGACATCTGCCACACCCGAGGGTTACAGATGCGTTGACAACCTTTTGAAAATTGGGCTCCGGCCACCTCACTCACCAGACGAAACGCGAAAGTATACGTATAAGTAAAAATATATAAGGCAGACGTTGCAACTTTAAATTGCAATTCTTCCTTACTTATATTATAAAGGCGAAAGTTTTTATGTATGGATGGATGTTTGTTATACTTTCACGCATGTTTGTTATACCACTGAATGGATTTTTATGAAACTTTACAATAATATTGCTTAATACATCAGAATAAGACAAAAGCTATAATTTATATACATATTTTATGTATATCTGTCTTTCTGTCTGAATGTTACGCCTTCAGCCCATTCTATGCTGACGTAGTCGCGGGCAGCAGTTAGTTAAAAATGCGAAAGTTTGTATGTATGGATGGATGTTTGTTACACTTTCACGCAAAAACTACTGAATGGATTTTAATGAAACTTTACAATAATATAGCTTATACATCAGAATAACACATAGGGTTTACTTTATAGATATATCGTGTGAATGGTTCAAAATCTAGGTTATGGTAAGTGTCAACTAAGTAGGAAAAAATTCAGCCATCTGCGAGATATTCTGGTGTATGATAAAAACTCATTGTTAATTATCTTTGCCGCGGTTAGCAGCTAGTCTTCTATATACTAATTAATACGTGAAGGAAAACCTTTATACCCCTTTTTAAGAAAATTGCGCGGGCGGAGGAGTATGAGATATCCTACACTTATAGTTTATGTAGAGAGGGAGTGCAGAATGCTAGTATTTTTTAAAACTATGCATAATAATAATAAGATTAATAATACCATGTGTAATTAATTATGGTCGAAATTCGACCATTGGGCGACTATTGGTAAAGAATAATATCCTAATGACGATGAAGACAACGTAGCAGCCATTACGGATCCAGTTATATCTAGAGTCTGAACTGATTTGTACTAAGGTGTCTTAAGTAAACGATTGACTGACTCACCTGACGTCAAGGCTTGCTTGTGGTGCAATATGGAGGCGTGTTGCTCCTTGCTGGCGCCTTGCGGCAACTTCCACGGTTCGGGGGCTGAAAGGAAAGTCACGCGTGAAACCTTCACTTTTTTTATGTGAAAAGTTGCCAAACGAGCAGACGGGTCACCTGATGTTAAGTGAATACCGCCGCCCGCGGACATCTGCCACACCGGGGGGTTGCAGATGCGTTGACAACCTTTTGAAAATTGGGCTCCAGCTACCTCACTCGCTAGACGAAACGCGAAAGTACTTGTCATACTTCCACTTTACGCTGGTTTTCTGTTAGGTCGTGGTACTTACACGAACGGGCCTGCCCGTTCGTGCAACAGCCGAGGCTGCCGCGTGGCCCTACCACCGCATCACTCCATGATTTCTTGGAGAAATCTCTCATTCGTGCTTTCAGCGAAAGAGTGGAACAATCCGATATTGTAAAACAACCAAAACCCTTGATATTACTTTCCTTTCCCAGACAAGAAGATGTCCCAATGGAGTTACTATAAGAAGCTCTGGACAAAAAGACCATCGACCTAAACTACACTGACAGGAGCGGGGAGAAACAGTCCAGCTTAGATAAGACCACCGTTTCATAATACGCCTTTGGCGATGACTGGACTACTTACTAGAACGGTGCTTTTAACATCAAGTGGAAATAATAATTTCTTGTATTTACGCGATTACACATTATAAATGAAACTAATTTTTACGGATGATAAGCCATCATCCTTGGGATGATTCGCGAGGCTATTGAAATTAAATAACACCCTGATTTCAATAGAGAAGTGGGTTGGGTACTACCATCAGCTTGGGATCCTGTCATCGATAAAATTAAATCTAGGCCCAAACAAACCACTACTGCAAGACAAGATACAATCAGCTCCCTCTGCACAGATCGGACACAAAATTAATAATTCAAAAACTGACGGTAGCCCAGGTTAACTATGACAATCAGACGTCTAACACCTCAGTCTGTCCCGTGACCATGAACGCTGTAAAGGGTTCGAAACGTCGGGAATTAAAATAAAAAATAAACGCGATAAATCCGTAAAAATTATTTTCAAGTGGAAATGTTTAAAACAGTTTTCCTTTTGCGTGTGGTAACTCGAGTCACCTGAGGTTCGGTCAACTTTGTTTCCCGTGCGAAAACTCCTCTACGGATCCCCAGCTACGGAATGGGAGAAGCGGCCAGGGTCGGGGGCAGATTGGTTACCCGCTAAAAGACCCACAGCGCATCCGTCGTAAACGCATCGGGGGGAACACGAGAAAACCAGTTCTGCACCCCGGCTCGACTGTGGCCGTGCTACCTTACGGATGGTGCAAATGTCCTAGGGCGGCGGTTATCACTTAACATCAGGTGGACCGCCAGCTCGCTTGCCACCGTCTCACGTGAAACAAGTCAGTTTTCAACCGACGTAAAAGACGGAAGTGGTTCTCAATCCGACTGTATTTTTTTTATGTTTGTCACCTCATAACTTTCGAGTGGACCGATTTTTAACCGACTTCAAAAAAGGAGGAGGTTTCTCAATTCGTCCGTATATACATTTTTATTTTTTTTTTATGTGTGTTCGGGGATAACTTCGTCAGTTATGAACCGATTTTGACTATTCTTTTTTTGTCGGAAAGGAGATATCCCAAGGGTGGCACCATGACAAGGAAACCCAGATCTGACGATGGCAATCCTCAAATGTTAAAGGCGTTGACAATGTTTTATTAGTTTCCTGTTTGAAGTCGGTTTTTTTTTTGTTGAATATTATTATTATGATTCTTTTTTTATTCGAAAGCTGGTGCACCCCAGGTGGCCCCGTATTAATTTCGTTGGTATTGGATCTCGGGCTCCGGAGATACTTAGAGATCTCCTGAAAATCAATTCTATCTATACAGCGTGTCGTTACCATCGCGACAGTAAATGAACACACATATAGGGGAAAACTTTTTAAAGTTGTATTAAACATTTAAATTCTTTAAACATCAATATTTACAGAGTTATCAAATTTTCCAAAACAAAGAATTTTTAGAACACTCTTACCTATAAAAGCGTAACGTAAAGTTCATTTGTAAAGGTCACAAAGCATATGAATGGGTTGAATGAATTTAAAAGAGACAAAACATACTGTTAGAAGGAGAGGCGTGTAATGCGACGCTGTGGCGCGAGTTGTATAGGATGTTACAAATTTTGTTTCTTTGTTACTTAATTAGTTTGTTTGAAAAATATTTTTTTTTAATTATGGATTTTGTTTAAAGTTAATATTTTTTTATGATTATTGGCAAGTAGCGTTACACGTGTGTTCATTTATTGTCGCGATGGTAACGACACGCTGTATAGAGCGCGATATTTGAAGTCGGTTATTTTAACGTTGGTAAAACAAGCCAATTTTTTTTATAGGAGAGCTCTGATCAAGGTACCTCTCCAGTCTGGGATGGGCGCTGGTCCCGGCTTCCAGGACTGCGCCTCGGAGCCCTGAGCCGCTACATCACTGCCACCCGATGGAGTGAAAAGTGCCTTGTTGTAGGAGTCTTCCTGATGAGAGATAGAGAGGGATAATCATTAAGCTGGTTCGCATACCAATCCTTAAAAAATATCTAGTACACATGTTTACACAACATCCTATATATAGCCTCTAGTCCCAAACTAAGCAACGCTTGTACTAGATAACCGATAAACATACTTAAACATAATTTTCTTATGTAAATAAATACATATTATCTAATACCTTTAAACGAGAAATTCTTGTATATATATAGTATGTATCACTATAAATAATCAGGAACAGTTAAAATAACAGAGCGTCCACACTTGATCAACGTTTATTTCGATTGTGACACAAAAAATTTGAAGCTACCATCAAATTCATATAATTATTTAAGCGCCTACTTATAATTGAACAATTATAGTCATTGGCACAAGATTGCTATTTAAATTACAAGTTTTGTTACATTAACATACTTTACACCCTACCACTAAAATACATTATTAAATTAAGGTTAAACTAAGTTGTAACTAAACAATAATAAGGAAACACAAAATAAAAGAAAAAGTAAACAGAATTTCTAATAACTAATATAAACATAATATACTTGCAACCCTAATACATTATTGGATTGCCAAATCTTTCAACTGGTTTCCTAATACGTTTAAGCGGTATCGTATCTGAGTTTTCTGGTGGGAGGGATCGTGATGGTACGTCACTATGTAACTCGGAATTCACTAACGGGTGTGTGGGCCAGAAAATACGTTGTTCTTCCGCCTTGGACACAACATTGTCGCTTCGACTGGGATTCGCCGATAGTACGATTTGTGCGTAGTTGATCTACATGGCGTCTGATACATTGCCCATCTTCTGTTTCTACGATATAGTATCGAGATCCTATCTTATCTCTTACCCTACCACTTAACCAATTTTGTTTTGGCCGGAAATCTCTTATCCACACTGGGTCTCCGACTTGAAAGTTTCGTTGGGTGCCCCTTGCATTTTCAACTTGTTTTCTTTGTGCCTCAAGGACTCTTTCTTCAGTAGAGCTACCTATTTTTGGAATACGCAGTAAATCAAGCCTCGATCGTAGTCTTCTGTGTAATAATAGTTTGCTGGTGACTTTCCTGTGGTGTTATGTATTGCATTCCTATATGTAAAGAGGGACGTTTGAAGAGCTAAATCAATATCACAGTTCTCTCTTATAGCTTTTTTTCATTGCCCTTTTACACACAACTTAACGGCGTTTTCCGCAGCACCATTAGATGATGGATGATAAATAGGCGTGAAAATATGTTCTATACCATTATTCTTCATAAAGACCGAAAAGTGTGAACTTGTGAAAGGTGGCCCGTTGTCGGACACTACTTGTTTTGGTAACCCAAAACGTGAAAATATTTCTCTTAATACTTTTATGACATTACTTGTTGTAGTATGAGTCATGTGAAATGCTTCTATCCACTTCGAAGATGAATCAACTATAACTAAAAATGTCTTCTCCTTGAATGGACCTAAAAAGTCAATATGTAGTCTGCTCCATGGTTCTGGGTCATAAGGCCAAGGCTGCGGTGTCGCTCGTGGTGGTGCTGCCGCCTCTGACGAACACGCATGACAATCATGACATGTCCTTTCAATATCGGCATCAATTCCTGGCCACCATACGTAGCTTCTAGCCAACCCTTTCATTTTTACAATACCCATGTGTCCCACGTGTAACTCACGTAAAATATACTGTCTCAGGGACTCAGGGATTACCATCCTGTAACCCCACATGATACAATTCGAATCCAAGTAGAGTTCATTTCTTCTTGTAAAATATGGTTGTACTTCCTTTTCTGAGCAGTGTCCGGGCCATCCCGATTGCAAATACATAATAATTTTCCTTAGTATGGGATCAGAAGCTCCATTCCTGTTTGTAGGAATATATTCGATCTCATAATTATATCCTGACAATATTATAGCCCATCTTTGTAGACGACTTGCGGCCATGGTCGGGATGCCTTTTTTTTCCCCAAAAATTGCTACTAATGGTTTATGGTCGGTGCACAATAAAAACTTACGACCGTATAAATACTGGTGAAATTTTTTTACACCAAATACAATTGCCAGTGCTTCTTTTTTCCACATCCATCGACCATTCGATGCGAATTACAGCGCCGATTCCACTAGAGCTCGCGTCTGTTGTCAAAGTTATCGGCAATTCGGGATCGTAGTGTGCTAACACAACGCCGGATGTTAATAATATACTCTTTACCTTATTAAAGGCTCGCGTACATTGTTCGGTCCAAATAAATTGAGAATTTTTTTTTAACAAATTATAAAGTGGTGATAAAATCATGCTTATATTTTTAACAAATTTGGCAATAATACATAACCATACCCAAAAAAAGATCGTAATTCGTTAATATTGGTAGGTATACGTACATCTTTAATGGCTTGCACCTTATCTTTACACGTGTGAACCCCTTCTTTACTTATTACAAAACCTAAATATGTCACTGAGTTTGCAAAAAATGTACACTTTTCCTTCTTCACTTTTAGCCCGAAATACTTTAATCGTTCCATGACCTTGTATACCGTATCTAAATGCTCTTTATCATTTTTACCGGTCATAATAACGTCGTCCAAAAAACTCCTACCCTGGGCATATCAGAGAATATTTGTTCCAATGTTCGTTGAAAAATACCGGGGCTGGATGAGATTCCGTAGATCAGTCTATTATATTGGTACAGTCCCTTGTGTGTCGAGATAACCGTATATTTCTTTGAATTTTCATCTAGTTCTAATTGCGCATATGCCTGAGATAAGTCTATTTTACTAAATTTTTGGCCTCCATGTAACTTTGTTAATAAGTCTTCTACTCGCGGAAGAGGAAAACGGTCCACTTCTAAGCACTTATTAATAGTAACTTTATAATCACCACAAATTCTTAATGAGCCATCTTTTTTTACCACGGGTACTATAGGCGTGGCCCAGTCCGAAGTCTCGACCGGCGTGATAATGCCCTCACGTTCCAGACGTTCCAGCTCTCGGCCCACCACCTCTCGCATCGCGTAAGCCAGCGGCCGTGCGCGTCTGAACACCGGTTGCGCCTCCGGTCGCACTCGCAGTGTCACCGTCCCACCAGTAAAACGACCGATACCGTCAGCGAAAACTTCAGAATATCTGGAAAATATAGTTTCCGTATTGAGTAAAAGTGAACTCTCCACCTTATTACTATTACATTGTATAGCATGTAAACTAATGCCTAATTCTTGTAACCACTGTCTACCGAGAAGCGGATTACTTCCACTATGCACAACATTTGCTTGTTAACAAAGGTAAATCAAAAAACATTTTTTTATAACATTCGTAACTTACACATGAAATGGCGCTACCTGTGTCTATTTCCATTTTTAAATATTTACCGTTTACCTTTAAAGATAATGTGTACGGTTTATAATGTTTTAAATTTTTTATATTGAAAACGTTAAAAGTTTACCTCCCTAATTTCTTCATCGGTGTCCTCTCCACTCGAGGTTTCTTCAAGTCGTTTCACCGGCTGGGCACACACCTGGCCTGACCGGTATTTTGGACACACCTTCATAAGGTGCCCCTCTTTATTGCACACACGGCATGTGTACAATCTAAATTTGCACGTTGAAGTACTATGCTGCCGACCGCATGCTTGACATCTAGCCTGCTTCTCTCTAACTGGTACCAAAGCTGAAGTGGTCTGCCGTGCAGCTCCACCTCGGGTCAATCGGCCACTGCTAAACGAAGAACGATTTGGTGTTGCGGCTACCTCTCGTTCTGTTGGCTGTCTGCTGCGCGCACCTTGTGACTTCATTTGCTTCATTGTGGTACTCTCTCTCTCTGTTATATATTCCCGATCGTGATTACCCATTACTGCAGTCGCATTCTTTGCTGCTGCTTCCATAGATATAGCGAGCTGATATACCTTCGCAAAAGTCGGAGTACTCTCGCAACTAAACACCTGCTGCCTTATAAATTCGTTCTTGATTCCACAAGCAAATTGATCTCTTAAATTATCGTCTAAGCAGTCTGTAGTGAATTCACAGCTTTTTGCTAGCTTTTTTAAATCTGCGGCATACTCGGCTAGAGATTCGTTCTGTAACTGGTTTCTTTGTCTGAACTTATACCTTTCTACTAAAATATTACATTTGGTTGCAGATGATTTTTCATGATGGTCACTAAGTCATCAAAAGACTTTGCAGCCGGTTTTTCCGGCATGCACAAAGTTACCAAAAGATCATAACTTTCTGATCCCATAATTGTTATTAATGTGGGCACTTTTAATGATTCTTTAACGTCATTCACTATAAAATATTGTTCGAGACGTTCAATGTACAAAGTCCAGTTATCCACATTTACATCGAACTTTTCTAATTTTCCAATAGACATTTTTTACAAATATATTAAACACTCACGTGGATCGTAAAAAATAACTCGTCGCCAGTTAGTATGTATCACTATAAATAATCAGGAACAGTTAAAATAACAGAGCGTCCACACTTGATCAACGTTTATTTCGATTGTGACACAAAAAATTTGAAGCTACCATCAAATTCATATAATTATTTAAGCGCCTACTTATAATTGAACAATTATAGTCATTGGCACAAGATTGCTATTTAAATTACAAGTTTTGTTACATTAACATACTTTACAATATATATAATATTCTTGTATATACAGCGTGTCTCACAATCGTATTACAATCGCGACAATAAATGAACATCCTTACGTATAAAACTGTAACGTAAAGTTCATTTGTAAAGGTCACAAAGCATATGAATGGGTTGAATGAATTTAAAAGGGACAAAACATACTGTTAGATTAGAAGGAGAGGTTTGTAATGCGACGCTGTGGCAACGAATGAAAAAGTCTCTGAATCAATGAATCAGCCAGTTGGAGTTGTATAGGATGTTACAAATTTTGTTTCTTTTTTACTTAATTAGTTTGAAAAATATTTTTTTTAATTATGGATTTTTTTAACGTTAATATTTTTTTTATGATTATTGGCAAGTAGCGTTAGACGTGTGTTCATTTATTGGCTATCGTTTATTCCAGTTTTCAGGGAATGAAAAATATCATCTGAATATGACGGTAAATTTCACCGAAAAAAAAATTTTATAATAGCTCGGTCGGTAATCGGGCGGCCACGAAACAGTAGGCCGCGGTTCGTTCGAGTCCATCAAACGACAGGAACGGCATTCCGCTTTCTTGGTCTGGCGCGCTCGGCTCAGCCAAGAACAGTACGTACATAAACGCGTGGTGGAAGCTATCCTGCCAGTCTTCGAAGCCTGGATGCAGCGACGCGAAGGCAGGCTTACCTACAGACTTACACAGATTATCACTGGGCATGGATGTTTTGGTGATAATCTGTGTAAAATCGGACGTGAGGCGACGGCGAATTGTTTCCACTGCGATGGAAGCTACCAGGATTCCGCAACGCATACCCTGGCGGTATGCCCAGCATGGGAGACGGAGCGGAGTATCCTGGTAAGCTACATTGGAGGAAACCTCTCTTTACCAGCAGTCGTATCGGTGATGCTGAATCGAGAAGTAGCATGGTGAGCCGTAACCTCCTTCTGCGAGACCGTAATGGTCAAGAAGGAGGCTGCTGAGAGGGACCGAGAGAGGACTGATCCCTCTCGGAGACGGGGTCACCGAAACGAGGTTACACCACGTTACGGTCCTCCAAATGTAAATAGTATTCCCATACCGGAAACGGGGCCTCAGGGATCGCGGGTGACTGGCCCTCTATAGGTCAGTACAGCGAACCTAAGAACGTCAATGGCTTAAGTAGGTTTAAGCTATAGTGGTTGTACCACAGGGGTGGGCGAAGTTATGTTACCGGGTAGAGGCTATTCAAGCCAAGCCAAGGGGGGCCGCGGTAGTGTTCCAAACGGAGATCCCGTGACCCCCCATGAAAGCTGATGGCGGTGGGATTTTAGTCGGTGTGAGTCCGACATAATCCGGTTTCACCTATGTGGGAGGCCGGGTATCCATAACGGATTTCCCCACGTAAAAATAAAAAAAAAGGCCGCGGTTCGTATCACGATCATTTACACACTCATTTTTTTTTACTTTTTTTTTTGATTCCAGATCATTGCTTTCTTTAGTTTTTATTTTTTAGTCCATCCTGATGATTGTTATTCTTTTCCCTTTTTTTCAAAGTTGTTTCTTTTATGAAAAACACCAGTTCATATTTTCTTATTATTACGTCGGTAAGATCGTAAAATATTATGCATATTTCATTACTCAGTAATTTGTATCTAAATTATATAATTTCGAAAATCCACGATGTACCAAAAAAAAACGAACCGAACCAGGTCCTCCGGGTACTACATATATAAAATATATAAACACCCAACTGGTGTTACTTAATTAAAGCATTTTGAACGGCAACAGAAATACGTAATCTGTGAAAATTTCAACTGTCTAACTATCAAAGTTCAAGAGATACAGTCCGTTGACAGACGTACTAGCATTACTAATAGTGTCCCGTTTTACTCTTTGTATACGGAACACTAAAAGTTGAGAGCGCGCTGAGCAAATAGTAATAATCTGGTAAAAAATACTAACCTGTAATCAGGTAATTGCAGTGCAATTGCATTCATTATTTTTTCAACAAATACAGGGAGATTTTTTGAGAAGTGCCCAAATTTACACAGGAGGTTCAGACTCGGTAGTATAATCGTTTATTGAAGTAAAAAACAAAGTTTTTTTTCCGAAAAAAAAAAAATGCCATTCTATTCTAAATATAATAATGCCCTAAAAACAGAGACGATGCGGTGGTCATTCATAAATGCCTAAATTTTACTTTGCACGAACTTTTGTGAGTGTTAGATATGAATGATCGCGCGTAAAATAAATGAGTTACGTATATATTTTTACACCCACTTTTTGAGATAAGTTCAAATGAATGTAATTAATTACTTACGAGTGATTTTAAATATTTATCATTTTTATATAAAATTATTTATGTCTAGAATTTAATAAAATATATATGGATACACTTAGAAAAGCCACCCTGTATAACCAATATCTCGAAATTTAATCGTTTCCTATATATTTTAGGCCTTCGACTATGAAAATGTTCTATTATTTATTTATTTAATATAATATAAATATAATATATTTTATACTATAAATTTTAATTTTTTTTATAGTGCTAATCTCTGCACTTAATATTGAACATTAAAACTTATAGAAAAAATACGAAAAGATTGTCGCCGCTGTGGGAATCGAACCCATGTCTTCGGCATTCGCGGCCTGACCCTCTAGCCTCTGAGTTAAACGGCAGATTGCCACACCGACGAAAATCTTAACGCCTTCTTTCTACATTGTTATTTAGCATTTGAAGCAATGCTTGGCGTATCTATTGTTATATCCTTTCCAGCATACAAACAATTTCAAATATCGTTTTACAACGATAATTCGAACGAGAGATTTTCGTACTTTTTCTACATGTTTTAATGTTCAATCTTAAGTGCAGAGATTAGCACTATAAAAAAAATTAAAATTTATAAAAAAAAAGCAATGGCGGCATCTCTAAATTTGGCAAATTTGGTAATCGTGCAACAGCGGAAGCTGCCGCCTGTAAATTTTCAAATTTTCTGTGCATTATTGATCCTCCCTGGAACTACTGAACGGATTTAAATTTCTACTCGAAGGCAAAGCTACTATACTTGAGCAATGCAGGATAATAATCCATTGAAATCTTTCGAGATAAAACTTTCTATGTAGTAATCACAACCTTAGTAAATGAAGTCTATCTCAAGATTGCTATTACTGTTGTGTGTCATTATATTTACTATTGAATTGTGTTGTTCAACTTGATGTATACGAGTACTCCCCACAAAAACTTCGGTCTATAAACAAGAAAATAGCGACATAAAAACAAGTCCTCGAAAAGAGTTCTTGCCGTTCTTATGATCTCTGCGATTTGAACTCGTAATATTAGATGGTTAACATGCCCGCCACTAGCACTGCACCTTGAGCGACACCTAGCAGTTCTGATTTTCTTACTATTTTCTGATTCCTCACTGCGGTGTCGAAGGGCTCGTATGCCGGCCGGAACAGCGATGCCGCCGACATCTGTGTACAGCCAAGTAAAAATGACTTTGACGACTCCGTAGCGCAGTTGCCAAAGCATTGGCTTCGGCGCTGGGGCTCGTGGGTTCGATTCCCACGCGGGACAACTATTTGTGTGACCCGCGGATAATTGTTTCGGATCTGGGTGTTTGTCCACGAGAAATTTATGTGTGGAAAACGTCCTTACAACACAGGATAATGTTATCCTACAGTAAGGGTTTAAAAAAACTTGATATATTTACCCCGCAAGTACCGCAACTCAAATAACTAAAGTTCCTAAAATAACATGTTAATAGACTTGACTGTACACAACGTTCTCTACACCCAAACTAAGCAACGCTTGTACTATGGGTTCTAGAAAACTGACAACATACTTTTCTTTTGTAAATAAATACATACATATAAACACCCAGACTATATCCAGAATATTTTTCCAGTAGTGTGGATCGAATCCCCACCATCTAGCGCAAGAGCCCCACTATGCCCCACGCTACATACGTCGCTCACAGATGACATAGAGTATATAGTTAATAGGATATAGTCTATATAGTCTATAGTCACAAATAGGAATAAAACATGTATAATTTTTAACAAAAAAAAACCGACTTGAATCAGAAAATTAAAAACATTGTTAATACCTATAACATTCAACGATGGCACTCGATCTCTCTGGGATGCCATCATCAGATCCGGGTTTCCTTATCATGGTACCACCCTGAGGATATCTCCTTTCCGACAAAAAAAAACCATCAAAATCGGTTCATAACGACGAAGTTATCCACAAACACACATAAAAAAAATATATACGGTCGAATTGAGAAACCTCACTTTATATTCGAATTTACGACCCTCGGCGTCGCAGCCCGTCGATTAGGAAATGCGCCAACGGGGTCAACAAGTATCATACGCCAATGTAAACGATACTTATAGCAATACTTAACACCCTTGGTTCAAGAATTATGTTACAGTTGGCCATCTAACATGTGTACTTGTTCGTGAACGTTTACTTTAGAAAGGCACCACCAGATAAGTGGCTAGACGACGACACGAAGGTCCCGTGTTCGAAACCCAGGGACGTTGAACATTGAGTTAGCGTTCTACGGTTCCACATTTGCACTGGCGTCGTTTTAACTTAATAAGACGGATGAAGTATTCAGCGAGCATCTACTAAGGCGAAAAAATCCCGTAACGTCCAATCTCCGTACGTTTTTTTTTTCGGTATAGAAAGTGACCAGTCATCGTTCAGTCTATAGACTAGACGTCAGCAGAAATAAATAACGTAAAAATTTAAAAACATTTACATAGGTTTTATTCGGCATTTGCGAAGTCGACTCGTATATAGAAGTAACGTATATTACGCGACGGAAGTTAATTAAACGATAAATGGAAAATCAGAGCGGCTTGGCATATTCATTTATTAGTAATGAACTAATGACGCAAGCGTTCATCGGACACACTTCGGCGGCCATCTTGCAACGCTTCACACATGGACGGTTCGCGCCAATTTTTGACACGCTTTAATTAGCCCGACCTGAATGTATCGAACATTGTAATTAGTCTTTATTACAATCAAATTTCCGCTCCGATATCGTCCTCGATATCGGACTCCTGTCCGAATGATTTGAAATATTATATTGCACACAATTACGACAGTATTTTCACATCTTCTGTTCGGTTAGTTAAATTTTTTTAGGTTATCTTGATGTCAATGATCTAAATAATTTATCTTGACGAAAATTATCTAACATTACAGAATTCGTATTTTCAAATCTATTTTCACATTAACTGTTATAATTCTATTTAACGCGTTTTAAGTATGAACCGGGATATAACGAAAACAATACAAACATATTGTAAACAATGTTAAAATTTAGTACTAGCACCGAATAAGATATTTAAAATAAAAAGTTATTACTATATATAATTTTCTTGATATTGAAGTGTGTTTTGATGCCTACACATTGCGAACAGTTCCACATTCACACACCAATTAAAATATTTATTTTGCATACATTTTATGAAAATGAAATTTTAATTACTTTAGTCTATAGTACTCATCGGCCTTTGGAAAGAGACAATCGGCTGCTTTTGTTTCGATAGAGCGTTATCTGTGTCGCACACTAATACAGGTAGTCCCAAAAAGAATGGATAACCCTAGGTACTCACGCAAATATTCTAATAGTATAGTCTGTGGAATAATATGAAATCAAAAATAAAACAATTGTCCATTTTCTTAGGAGCTTTGGTCCCGACGATAAAATCTTAGGTCACCTGTAATTTTAGTTTTATTTTGAAGATAAAAAAAGTATGTATGTACTTATGTAAGCACGTAAGAAGTTAAACTTCTTTAGCCTTGAGCATTAATTGCATTTGATAATTTATTTAAATAACGTTTTATTATATTTGTAAATGTCAAAAAGTTGTTATTTGGGTAATGCCGTGCCGTCTATCAATTCGCATTTTTCTCTCACATTTTTTTTACATAAGAAGTACCTGTGACTTCAATTTTCTTTTTATGTTTTGCAAAATATTTCTATTTATTCATCCTGGTTATCAAGATGTCGGATGTCCATACTTTGCGGCGTCTAAAAATTGTCAACCCTCGGTGGCGGCGCCAATGAAATTGTTAGTAAGTGCTGACTTATCACATGCTCAGCGGTGAAGGAAAACATCGTGAGAAAACCTGCATATATTCAAAATAACACCAAAAAAAATATTTCGAAGACATGTGAAAACCGCCTGTCCGCAGTGGGACCGCGTGGTGGACTATGCTCTGATACTTTAAGAGGAGGCCTTTGCCCAGCAATGGGACATGTATAGGCTGTTACTTTACTTTTATACTTAACTTCTGAAATGTATGTCAAAGGGATTATTTATTGTTATACATATACCCAAGCAATTTATATGATGGGTAGGATCAGATTTGAACCCACACTGACCTGTTTGAAGGTCTGAGGCGCGTAGTACGCACTCTGTTGGGCCCCGGCCCGCACCGCCGACAGCACCAACCCGATGCATATTAACTGTAAAATAAAATTTATTTAAAGTAATATTAAATGTAAAATAAAATTTATTTAAAGTAATATTAACTGTAAAATAAAATTTATTTAAAGTAAATCTATCAAACGACCATAGGCACCAATTAGCTTTTCACCATCATTTAATTCCTTCTAAGTCTAGACTAAGTCAGGACTCGCTGTTCAAGAAAGTCGTTTTAAAGAACTGTGGTAGGGCCAAGCACCGAAGACGTGGGTTCGATTCCCACAGCGGCTACAATCTTTTCGCACTTTTTCTAAATATTTTAATGTTCAATTTTAAGTGCAAAGATTAGCACTATAAACAATTTAAATTTCTAAATAATACATATTAAATGAAACTAGTTTATGGATTTTATCGCGTTTTTATTTTGATTTTGTAACTTTCCAGCGGTCACGGGTCCGTTTCTAGTTTCCTTTAATATGTATAATATTCACGTAAAATCAAGAATAATTAAATATTACACCTAAAACCAATTATCGAAGGTTTTAATATAACGACGGTTGCCAGTAAAGTAAAATAAAAACAAAAAAACTAGAGACGAATCCACAAATATTGTCTAATAGTTAATTCAATCTGCCACTTTCACTAGTGAAAATGGTATATGTTTAAGACATTGTTCAATGTTCAATAGCGACCTATTTTACAGAAATGTTCGTGTTACCCGCAACACTAGATCGTAGCAAGTAACACGAGAAACTGTCGTTCAATATAATTACATTGAAAAGTCAATTTGAAATGTAAGTAATTGTCTAATATACAGCGTGTCGTTACCATCGCGACAATAAATGAACACACATATAGGGGATAACTTTTTAAAGTTGTATTAAACACTTTAATTCTTTAAACATCAATATTTACAGAGTTATTAAATTTTCCAAAACTAAGAATTTTAGAACATCCTTACCTATAAAAGCGTAACGTAAAGTTCATTTGTAAAGGTCACAAAGCATATGAATGGGTTGAATGAATTTAAAAGAGACAAAACATACTGTTAGAAGAAGAGGCTTGTAATACGACGCTGTGGCGCGAGTTGTATAGGATGTTACAAATTTTGTTTCTTTTTTACTTAATTAGTTTGCTTGAAAAATATTTATTTTTAATTATGGATTTTGTTTAACGTTAATATTTTTTTATGATTATTGGCAAGTAGCGTTAGACGTGTGTTCATTTATTGTCGCGATGGTAACGACACGCTGTATATTTTTGATATATCATTGTGTGTTATTTTCAATTTTAAAATTTCAACTTTATAGTGCTAATCACTACACTTATTGGGAAATAATTTAAATTTCCAGACAAAAAGGACGTAAAGTTCATTCACCGTTGCGGGAATCGCACCCACGCCAACCACGTCACCACTCAGAAGCTTTAGCCACTAAGCTAAACGGCTGATTTGAAAAAAATTCAAAACACAATAACTACTATGAAGTGTACTTGACTTAAAAATATGCACCAAAAACACAATTTTCATAATATATAAGTAATATGTGTTGCACAGACAACACGGACTAAAAATTAAAAAAAAACTTGCTAAAAAATAGTTGAGTTAAATTGTCATCCCCGAAACAAATAAGAGATAACAATCATAATTCACCGATTACATTTTTTAAGGCAGTAATAATTACTGGTTTACCACGTGGTCGGTAATTGCGGTGAATGTCACGCGATAGCTGCATATCTGAATACTGAATAATTGTAATTTTTAACAAAAAAAAACCCGACTTCAAACTGGAAACTAAAAAAAACATTGTTAATACCTATAACATTTGAGGATTGCCCTAGATTTCTCTGGGATGCCATCATTAGATACCTCCCTTCCACCCTTGGGATATCTCCCTTCCAACAAAAAGAATCATCAAAATCGGTTCATAAACGACGAAGTTATCCGCGAACACTCATAAAAAAATACCTCCTTCTTTGAAGGCGGTTAAAAAGTTCACCTTCTCGCATAAAAAAAAACTTACTCTCAGCATGATAACCTCGAACTACACTCGATAGGAACACACTACACTACCCCTCCGCACGAAGACTGAGGGCTGACGCGTCAGAGCCTCTATATATCCAGTACTCCGTCGCGGTGCGTTTGCCACGACCCTCGGACTCTCCCGTCACCACCGAGGCTGCAAACCGGACCGCCACGAGAACCAATCGGACGAGGGTTTCGAAGTCAAAGTCAAAGTGAATTCACTTTATCAACTGTTGAAAGGAGGGAAGAGCATAAATTTATTTACCAAATAAACCGGCCAAGTGCGAGTTGGAATCGCGCACGAAGGTTTCCGCACCACTATCTATGAAAACGGCAAAAAAAAAAAGCATGCCTTTTGTATGGGAGCATCACTTAAATATCTTTTTATTCTGCTTTTTACATTTTATAGCGGCAACCGAAATACATAATCTGTGAAAATTTCAACTGTCTAACTGTCACGGTTCATGAGATACAGCCTGGTGGCAGACGGGCAGACAAACAGACATACAGAGACGTCTTAGTAATAGGGTCCCGTTTTGGGTACGGCACACTAAAAAGGACGCACACAATAAAAAAAAATAAAAAATAATAAAAGAATATAATTATACATACTACATTAAAACAAAAAAAAAACAGTAAATAATAATTCAAATGTAAATTTGTGGTGAAATAAAAACAAAAGAAAAATAAATTACGTAAAGAAAAGAATTGCAAGCCCTATTATCGGTGAAGACGAAGAACTAAATTTTAAAATCGTTTAACGCATGACCGAGTTATGAACTAACACACAAACAACTTATTGTTGACTTTTTAAAACAGCCCGATCAATTTCGATAAAATTTAAATGGGAAGTGTGTAACCTTTGTAATGAATGAAGAATTCTCCAAATCTGTTCAGTGTTTGTTTTGTTGATAATGTTCTTATGTTTTAATATTCAATCTTAAGTGCAAAGATTAGCTCTATAAACAATTTTAAAAATTTCTAAAAAAGCAATGGCGACAACTCTCGTTCGAATTATCGTTGTAAAACGATATTCGAAATTATTTGTATGCTGGAAAGGATATAACAATGGATGCGCCGAGCATTGCTTCAAATGCTAAATAAACAATGTTGATAAAAGTCGCTAAGATTTTCGTCGGTGTGGCAATCAGCCGTTTAGCTTAGTGGTTAAAGCGTCAGGCCGCGAATGTCGAAGACGTGGGTTCGATTCCCACAGCGGCGAGAATCTTTTCGTACTTTTTCTACATATTTTAATTATAATGTTCTTGTTAAATAAAATTTCGTTTACATAAAGCACTTTGAATCGGCGGCGTAGAAGCCAAGGCATTGGCTTCGTCGTCGGGGGTCGTGGGTTCGATTCCCACACGGGACAACTATTTGTGCGACCCACACATAGCTGTTACGCATCTGGGTGTTTGTACGTTGAAAATGTATGTAAACGTCCATGGACGATAATCAAATTTTCAAAAAGTTGTCAACACATCTGTAACCCTCGGGTGTGGCAGATGTCCATGGGCGGCGGTATTCAATTAACATCAGGTGAACCGCCTGCTCGCTTGGCAACTTCTCACATAAAAAAATTCACTTAACAACAGGTGAACCGTTCAGTCGATACTGATCGTTGCAACATGCAACGGTTTTGACAGGAATTGTAACGGTGAGCCAACGATAGAGGGAAATAACGAAACCGGTTATTGACAGCGATTTATTTTTAATGATACTTCAAGGTGTCTGTTTCAGTTGAACACAAAAGGACGTTCCAAGCGCTTCGAATTATGTAAGATTAATCTTAAATTAAGGTTTTTGAAAGATTTAATCTTAGATTACGTTTAATCTTACATAATTCGAAGCGTTTGAAGAAGAAGCGAAGATGTAAGGATATAGGAAGAAAGATAGCATATGTCGTGGTTGTAAGGATATCGCAAATGAACAAATATATCGATATATCGAAGAGAAAATATCGGTATATGTATAGATATATCGATATTTTCTGTTTAGGATAATAGTCCAAAAAAAAATGTATGTCAAGTATAAAATATTTAACATCTACGGACTGTACCGGATTCGAATTTGAAAAAATATCGTTTTTGATATGATTCCAACTTTGGATGTCTTATCGATATATCGGATCCAAACAAGCTTTGTCACTATATTGTAAATGTTGTACACACCTGTTATAAGGTGTATGTATTAGGTCCAATGTTTTTTTATTTTTTTGTAATTTGTGTAAATATGTATACTGTTGGTATGTCTATAACGATAAAAAAATATATCAGCTAAAATATCGATATTTTTTCGACATGCCTATGACTTCGTGCACAAGCTACGTTGTTCTCCCGAGTCTGCTTGCGGACTCTTCCGCAGAAGTTGTAGATCGCTATTTTTATATCGAAGTTGCACTGTATATTGCTACACTTTCCTCAAGATTTTATCTTCGATTTACGAGACCCATAGCTTATTTAATTAGGATTATGATATAATAAACGTGATTGTAAACATCATCGTTTACGCGTCAATTAAATTCATAGTTAATTTCAAAAGGCAAAATTAGAATAAAGTTAATGTTATCATTAAAAACGCGATTAAATCCGTAAAACAGTGTCATTTAACCACGAATAATATTCGCGTAAAAACCAGAAACCAGTATTTATAGAAAAAACTTTATTAAATATAGCAGCAGAGTTTATAATAATGTCATCTATTGGCAAATATTTTAAATTAAAGATAGTAGACTGAAAAAAAATTTTTTTCACTATAAAATACTTAGTTCCATATTATTACATTTATTAATTGATCATGGTACTATAAGAAATTTAGCATGGGTCTACTAGTTGTTAAATGAAATTAATTTCATGGATGATACGAACCCTGGAAGAAATCGCTTCTAAGCGATAAGGCCGCCAATTGTACCTTTATGTAGTTGTTTGTTACTTTTGTAATTTTGTCTGGTGTACAATAAAGCGTATTTTCATTTTTATTTTCAACCCTACACATGGACTCTCATGGTCATGACCAAAATTTAAATTTTAATTCACGTAAACTGAAGAACATAATTCGTCGTGAAAATAAAACGTCGCGATTGTAAACCGAAGTAAAAAGTAAAAGTAAATAAATTATAATTATGTGATTAACGAGAAAATTAATATATTAAAAACTGATTTAAGGAAAATGAAGATTACTTTGTGTGGTTCATTAAAATTTAGAACAGTGTCATCTATTGGCGAGGAGGTTTAACATAACATAAGATTTGTAGGTGAATTTTATGTGGTGGCTTATTTTAGTAAAATTTAGAACAGTGACATCTATTCGCATGTAAGTTTAACAAAATATGAGATTTGTAGATGAATTTATTGTGGTGAATTATTTTAATAAATTTGGAACAGTGTCATCTATTGGAGAGGAGTTTAAACATATATGAGATTTATAGACGAAAAACGTCCTGAATCGTCGTACATTTAAACGTTCATTACAATAAATGGAGTGAAAAAAATATATAAAATGTGATCATTTACTTTTAGGCCGTATGTCTTCAACGTAAGCGCCCGTCTGTCTACGTGAAACTTATACATTTAAATCGTCATTACCATTCCTAAATTAAGGGATATGTTTAAAAAACTTATAATATTCAAAATAATACAATAATATTCAGGATTGTCAATTTCTCAGGCACGGAACAGTTTTCGGATATTTAATCAAACATCACAATGTGTACAATACTGTTTTTCTGTTACACAGTTTTATTTCATTGTAGAGTAGTAACCGAGTAAATCACCAGAGTAAATTTAACTGTGGTATCGCCACGCAAGTCTTCGTTGTTGCAGTAATGGGCAGGTCCGACTGGGAAAGTACCACCACCTCGCTGAGGACCGGCGTGAAGGGGAAGTGTACACTTCTGCGCTTCGTTTTCAATTTTTTAATTAAAAGGTAGCAACACATCTGCAATCTACGAGCGTTGCAAACGTCCACGGGCGGCGGTTATCGCTTAACATCAGGTGAACCGCCAGGCCAGCTCGCTTGCTATCCTCTACATAAAAAAAAAACATTTTCAATGTTACTGTTATATGCACAATTTTGTTGTCATTTTTCGAGCTCTCCTTGATACTAAAATCTTTACCCTGTCTTAGGCAGGACATGATATGAAAGGCGAAACGAATTGAGGATTGATCTCTTTAGGGAAGACGCAGAAACTTGTTTTCTAATCGAAATATAAACGATTTTTCCTTTATTTCCTTAGAACATATCACATCGAGAAATCGGGAAAGCGCTTTCATCGTGTCAGGGACAATTTTCTTCATTCTTCCGAAGGTGTCACATCAAATAATCGGAGACCCAGGGCGACATGCCAGCCGTGTATTTCGTGGGTGGCACGTCGTAGGGCAGAACTAGTCGATTGGGGTTCTTGGGATCCAGCGGGAAGTAGTCTTCGTTTATCTGAAAAGGGGTAAATTAAAGTAAAGTAAGGGCCTGTACAAGTCCCACTGCTGGGCAAAGGCCTCCCAGAGGGTTTTAGGGCATAGTCCACCACGCGTCCCCACCGCGGATTGGCGGATTCCGCATATCTTTTATATATTATTTTTGTTATTTTTTCGATAATATTCAGGTTACCCCACGGACACTGAGCTGTCGCGGCTCTAGATCTGAAAAGGGGTGTTCCTTATTAATAATGTTTCCTCTTAAAATTGGTAGAAAAAGGGTCGGAAGAAGTTTTTCGCGCGCTACGGGAATCGAACCCACGTCTTCCAGCTTGGCCCACCCGGGCCCAGACGCTTTAACCACTAAGCTAAACCATCGATTTGCATACTGACGTGGGTCCGAGGAATCGTCGAAGCGGGTTCGATTCGCGCAGCGGAAAAACTGTGTTTTTTTTTTGTAACGACTAACGTACTGCTGTATAACACACACTTGTACTTCACGCCGTTGTTTTGTGAGGTCGTGGTACTTACCCGGACGGACCTGCCCATTTGTGCAACAGCGGGGGCAGCGTGTCCTTACCACAGTTGTAAAAATGTAAAGTAGCCTGTGCCTTTCCCACGGCTGGGCAAAGGTCTCGTCATGAAGAGGGTGTTAAGTCCACAGCGCGACCGCAATGCATTCTTTTGTTGTCACTTCGAAAGTATGCAGGTTTCCTCACAAGGTTGTTCATTCAGTACTTAATTGTCGATAAATAAATATTAAGAATTTTCACCCCCTTATAACACTTTTTTCCAATTAAAAAATAGCCCATGCCCTTTCCGACAGGCTCTAGACTGTGTACCAAATTTCATTTAAATCGGTTCAGTAGTTTTGGAGTGAAAGCGAGACAGACAGACAGAGTTACTTTCGCATTCATAATATTACTAGCTGCTGCCCGCTACTACGCATATAAATTATAGCCTATGCGTTATTCTGATGTATAAGCTATATTATTGTAAGTTTCATTAGAATCCATTCAGTAGTGTTCGCGTGAAAGGGTAACAAACATCCATCCGTACATACAAACGTACGTTTTTTTTTTAAACATTACCCTTTAGGATACCATTATCCTGTGTTGTAAGGACATTTTACAAACATAAATTTCACGTGGACAAACACACAGATGCGAAACAACTATCTACGGGTCACACAAATATTTGTCCCGCGTGCGAATCGAACCCACGACCCACGTCCCCGAAGCCAATACCTTGGCAACTGCGCCACGGAGTCGGCGTTTATAATATTATATTAGCAAGGATTGATTGGAAGCGAGGTATCGCGCGTGCCGACTCACAATGAACCTCGGCAGCAGCAGTACTCCCGCCTCGTAGCTCATGAGCCTCAGCGCCCCATTGCCCTTGTTCTGGGTGCCCCAGGCCGCCTTGCTCACGTTGGCCGACGTCAGCAGGAAGAAGGCGGCGCGGGCGGAGTCGGGCGAGAGGCGAGTGTAGCTCTTTATGTGCGGCATCGCGCGGTCCCGGCTGGTGGACGCGGCGCGCCACTGGCTGGGGAACGAATGAATGAGTGAATAAATGAATGAGTGAATGAAGGAATAAATGGGTGAATGAATGAAGGAATGAAAGAATGAATGAATGAGTGAATGAAAGAATGAATTAATAAGTTTTCTTTATTTGTATTTTGTGTAGAAGGGGGTTGTATAGCAAGTCCCAACGACCATCACGACCTAGGGCTAGAGATTTTTTTTTATGTGAAAAGTTGCCAAACGAGCAGACGGTTCACCTGATGTTAAGTCAATACCGCCGCCCATAGACGTCTGCTACACCCGAGGGTTTGCAGATGCGTTGGCAATCTTTTGAAAATTTGGCTCCGGCCACCTCACTCACCAGACGAACGCGTAAGTATTATACTTCCACTTTACGCCGGTCTTCTGTGACGAGCCTGCCCATTCATGCAAGCACCGTAAGACCAACGTCTATTAAAAATTAGTGAATGAATGAATGGGTAGTAAGTCCCAACGACCACTTCGACCTAGAGTGAGATCTGTTGTCAGACTTTAGTCCTCTCTTCAAAAAAATTGCTCTTTTACTATCGGATAACATAGGCCGTTAAGCTTCGTGGTTGAAGCGTCTGGCAAGAAGACGTGGGCTCGATCCCCGCAGAGATGAATACTTTTCGTCGAGTTTTTTTTTTTTTTTTTACAAATTTTCTTGTACACGACTTCATATTTTTATTAACGAAAAACAAAACCGACTTCAAATGTCTCGCTCTGTATTAATTTTATAATTGATTTTCAAAGTTTCCTAAGTGTCTCCGGAGCCCGAGATCCAATGCCAATGAACTTAATAACAATTCTTGAGAAATTACTAACGCAGATATAAGCATCCTGTTCGCCAGACAGTAACGTGAGAATTGTTTATATTAGATAATAAAGTTAGAAATGTAACACATAATTGTAAGACACAGAACTGGCAGTCGTCACGAGCATCTCATTCTGTTCAGACGTCTCACGTGTCGTCTCTAGCATCTAAATCTGTTAAGACACTCCCTAGTAATAAGAGTTAGTATTCATTTTTAAATAAAACTTTTTAAAAAAGTCTTTGTCGCTCCCTCAAACTTGACTATCTTGTTGGTGAAGTAAATAAATAAATAAATAAATAAATAAACATAAAAAGAAATACAGTCGAATTGAGGACCTCCTCCCTCCTTTTTTGAAGTCGGTTGAAAAAAGACATTACTATTCGATTGAGAGTAACTCACTAAAGGTAATCGTTCAGCCACGTCTGCCTAGAGTGCACTTCGGCGGAGTAGGGGAGACAGCCGCCGCCTAGAAGGTCATCGTGGGACATCTTCACATTCTCTGCGAACGATGATGAGAGGTGATGAGAGGTGATGAGAGGTGATGATGGTGATACACGAGTGCGACACTGTGCCCAGTTGATAAAATTGTTTTTTTTTATTTAAATTTTTATATGCGAGATGACTGGCGGCCGTCCAAGTGACAACAGTTTTATTACTAAACTAGCTGATCCGGCAAACTTTGTGTTGCCATATAAATTATTTGTAGGGTAGGAAAAAATATGTTTAAAAAATCTATTCTCATACCTTTTGTATGTACATATAAAATTTCATCAAAATCAGTAAAGACGCATCGGGAGAGAATAAACTAAATCTGTGACACAAGAATTTGTAATATATTTCTAGATAAAAGTCTTGTAACTGTCTGTTAATCTAAAGTTAATCTATAATCTAATATGTAGAAACATTGACTTACATCGTAGAGTATCTTATATAAAAATTTCTCCTCTCTCACCCAAAGAAGGATATATCAGCTTCAGCTCAGCGGGCGTCGACAGCATCTGAGGCTGGTCCTTTATCTTGGTGAAGTTGTGGAGGAAATCACCCGTCAGCCACAGCTGGCGTAACAACAAACGGGTAAGAGAGTCTAACAGTGCTAATCAGATTGATGTCAGCGGAAATCAAGTACTGGATTAAGCCAACAAAATTCCTGAACTGAAACCATCGTATACAGCGTGTCGTTACCAACGCGACAATAAATGAACACACACATGAGGATAAATTTTTAAAATTGTATTAAAAATTTACATTCTCCAACCATCAATATTTACAGAGTTATTAAATTTTCCAAAACAAACAATTTTAGAACAACCTAACGTATAAAACTGTAACGTAAAGTTCATTTGTAAAGGTCACAAAGCATATGAATGGGTTGAATGAGAAGGAGAGGCTTGTAATGCGACGCTGTGGCGCGAGTTGTATAATAATAATAATAATTAGTTTATTGGTTACAAAAAAGTGAAAAACATGTAATCATTAGAAGCCCTGTAGCCTGTGATAGTTTACAACTGTGTTACAGACTACAGTGTCTTCCCCTCATAGTTCACACTCATTGTTATTGTAAGAATATTCTTATTACATATGAAAATGAACACAAAATGAAAACAATAAAAATAAAAAGAAAAATGTTTCGAAACAAAGAATATGGGTTTTAAAAATATAAAAATTAAAACTAAAAAATTAAAACGATCTAAAGCAATAAATACATCGCAGGATTTACATTAATCTCTCTCTCTCTCTCTCTGTGTGTGTGTGTGTGTTTGTGTCTGTTTGTGTGTGTCATAGCGAGTCACCGTAGGGTCACAAATAATTTTTCGGTAATTTGACTTTTATATGATACCTGTTAAGATGTTCCATTTTATTATTGCGTTTGAACTTATTATATAGTGAAGGAGCATTGTAATCATAATGCCTTTTGGCAAATGTGGTCTTAAAGCCAGGTATTGGGTATCGTATTACCCTCTTCTGATTCAAAGGATATATGCTTTTGATACCTTGGTGGTATTTACGTATTGTCTGGAAGATATATAATTTCCTTATGGTGAGCACACTGCATTTGTTATATAAATCCGCAGTGGGGTATCTGCATGGGAGCCGTAGGATAACTTTGAGTAAAGTTCCTTGTGCTCGTTCAGCTTCTAACAGGTGTGTTTTAGCTGCTCCTTCCCATGAAGTAATACAATAGGTCATCACACATTCTGCTAATGCTTTGTATGTCTTCAGCAGGTTTTCTTCATCCAGGACATCTCTTAAATTTTTAAATACATAGATCAGTTTTCTAATTCTATTGCTGATAGATGTTATGTGTGGTGCCCAAGTTAATTTGTCATCAATTATTACTCCAAGGTATTTAACGTTATTGGTACGCAGTAAATATGGGCAATTACAGACATTAGTATGACTCTGACTTATATTGCAAGGATGTGTGTGAACAATAAGTTTTAAATCTTTACTTTCATTTTTTGCGTTAGTAATACTAAAAGTTAACAACTTAGTTTTGCTTGTATTTAATGTAAGTATATTATTTTCTAGCCATGAAGTAACATGTTTAAGTCCCTCTTCAGCTAAGGCAAACACAGACTTCCATGAGTGTTCTCGAAAAAGTAGCACTGTGTCATCTGCAAACATCTGAACATTAGCACCTTTTATCACTGTATTACAAAGGTCATTAATATATATTAGAAACAGTGTAGGTCCAAGTGTGCTACCTTGCGGAACACCATAGGTACACATTGCGCTATCGCTTAATAATTTATTCATTCTTACACTCTGTTCTCTGTCAGAAATATAGTCTTTAAACCATAGAAATGGTATATCTCTTATACCAAGACTCTCCAAACGTGCAAGTAAAATGGGTACGGAAACCGTATCAAAAGCCTTTTGCAGATCTAGGAAGATACCAAGGCATTTATCTCCTGCATCTACATAGCTTGTAATTAATGAAGTTAGTCATAGAACAGCATCTTCAGAGGAACGACCACGGCGAAATCCAAATTGATTGTTTGATAAGAGATTATTTTTTTTTCAGAAATGCTACAAGTTGTCTGTTTACTAGTTTTTCTAAGATTTTAGACAAAGTTGACAGTAATGAAATGGGTCTATAATTTGTAGAAAGACTACTGTCACCGCTTTTAAATATTGGTGTAACAATTGCTTTTTTAAGAATGCGAGGGAAAGTACCTGTATTAAGACTAAGATTACATAAATGGGCCAAGGGTACTGCTAAGACAGAAAAGTTATCTTTTAAAATTTTTGAAGATATACAGCCCCATCCTGGTGAAGTGGCTGTTTTAAGTTCTTTAATGGTACTTGCTATTTCAGGAGTTACTTCGTATCGTTAACAGGAGAGTCTGTTGTACATATATTTGAGGCCAACACTGCTTCTGTTGTTTTTAGCTTATCAAGAGTTTTACATGCGAGTCCATTACCGACATTAGTGAAGTAGGTGTTAATTTCATTAAGCGATTCCTTAGCCGTAGCTTTTATATTAAGAAGACTCTGAGACGAAGCTGAGTTTGTTTTTAAGTTACAAGCATCCTTAATTAAATCCCATGTCTTTTTGCTATTTTTTGAGCATTTTGTGAATTCTGTTTTATAGTAATTTTGTTTAAGTTTTTTAATTAGATTATTACATAGATTTCTATACAGTGTATATTTAAGCCTAATGGAATCATCACCAGGGGATTTTTTGTATTTTTTATGCAATCTATTTCGTGTCCTTATTGATTTCACTAGTCCCTTTGTAATCCATGGTTTCAGAATTTTGTTTCTACTCGTGATTTTTAGAACAGTTGTGTGTTTATCTACTGTATTTTTTAAAATGTTAACAAGATATTCTGCCGCTTTATTAGCATCCGACAATAGAAGATACTCTTGCCAGTTCTCCAAAGCAAGCGATTCTTTTACTGCACTATAATCTATTTTGTTTGCAAAGTGACGAACCATATCTAATCTAGACATTTTTATGTCTTCAATGAACAGCAGAATAGGTGAGTGATCAGTTAGTTCATCAAAAACAAATGTCTTCCACCGTTTATTCGTTTTGATCATAAAATGGTCAATGCATGTACTTTGTCTAGTAGGTATATCAATACCAGGTAAGAGACCGAAATAAGCTAATTGAATGAGATAGGTGGAAGCGTGACTTAAAACTTGACCAGGTAAAATATCGATGTTGACATCTCCAGGCAATATAATATTACGGCTTCTTATATTTTCTAATAATGAAATTAAGGATTGAATATAGTTTGTAGGATTATGGAAGCAAGGTGTTCTATAAGTGCATATAATTGTGCAGTCATCCGTTAATTTTATCTTCAAACAATTACCATCCTGTATATTTTCTTCTTGTATAACGCAATTGATACCATTTCGTGTATAAGCCACAACACCGTCGTTCTGGTTATAACTTTTTTTAGTGTAGTGGACATTATAGTTTATTATATTAGATGGAACCTTATATTCATTTATCCCTTTTACATCAATGGCAAAATCTAGACTAAATAAGACAAGTAGTTCATCCAAATTGCGGTGTATGCTGCGAATATTAAGTGACAAAATAGAAAAGTTATTAAGAAATTTAAACTTTTTAAAGATTTCTGAACCAGCTGTATTGTTTATTTTAGTACAATGTGGATTAATGTTATTATCTATTTCCAATATGTTATGGGGGTTGAATTTTATTAATATTGATCACAATGACGGTAACCTCAATGGCTTTCTCCTTATGAAATCTTATTTTACAACGTAGGTGTGGTGTTATACGCAATATATTTGTTATAAAGATGAGGATGTGTGAAGGTGCGTTTGTTGTATTTTGACTGATGTGGTGATTATTGTTGTATAATGTAATTGTATGGGGAATTATTGCTTTAGACATTTTGTATTTTAAAAATAAAGTGAATGTAAATAATAATGTTAGATTCATAATGATTAAATTGTACACGTAGATTAGTCATATACGGCTCCTCAAATTGAGTACATCACTCTCAGAGTTAATTATAATTAGTGGTGCACCTTCTTCTTTTCGAAGTAGTACTTTTCCGAAAGAAGTCCAACAATATTTATAATTGTAAGCGGAGGCGTGCGCTCTAGCTAAATAGAACAGGCGCTTGCTTTTTGGAGTTAAATTTTCTGAGATAAATTTTGCCGTCTTTGGCCCGTTTAGGATGTTACAAATTTTGTTTCTTTTTTACTTAATTAGTTTGTTTGAAAAATATTTTTTTTTTTTTTATTATGGATTTTGTTTAACGTTAATTTTTTTTTATGATTATTGGCAAGTAGTGTTAGACGTGTGTTCATTTATTGTCGCGATGGTAACAACACGCTGTGTAAAAAAAGTAAGGCATCAGACCTACACATGTCCCACTTCTGGGCAAAGGCCTCCTCTGTACAGAGGGCGAGGGGAGTTCACAACGCGGCCCCACTGCAGACTACTTAACATATCTTCCAAATGTTTCTTTCGAAATAAGAAGAGCCGTGATAGCTCAGTGTCCGGGCGCTCGCCTTTAATTCAAGATACTCGAGCAACCTGAGTTCGATCCCCGGTGCCCGATGAAATTGTTAATTTAAAGTGCCGACTTCATCACGTGCTGGACGGTGAACTAATACATCGTGAGGTGCACATTTTCGTAATAATGACAAAAAAAAATATTTCGAAGATATGTGTAGTTCGCCAATCCGCAGAGTGGCCGCGGCGGACTATGACCTGATACCCTCTGTAAAAGAGGAGGCCTTTGCCCAGCAGTGGGACATGTATAGGCTGTTACTATTTTTAATTTTTCTCCAAATAATTCAGATAAGTCAGCGCCTACAAAAAACAACTACATTGCTCCTCGCAACGGGATTTGAACCGCACAATGAGCCATCACGGCTCTTACAATACCACAGACGGTCTACTTCAAACTCACCTTGGGCTCCTTCCCGTAGCTGCCCAAGCTGCTGGCCTGCGCCACCAGCGGCCACTTGGAGTTCTCCTGTGGTGGGACGCAGCAGTGCTGCCTCAGCAATGACCCCACTCGGGTCATGCCCCACTGAGCGTCGAAGTGGGAGCCCGGGGCTGACGCCACCAGGAACACGCTGGTGGGAAGAGCCAATGGTATTATATATTGTTTTTATGTGAGAAAATGGCAAAAGAGCTGGCGGTTTATTATTAACCGCCGCCCATGGACGTCTGCAACGCCCGTAGGGTTGCGGGATCGCTGCCGACTTTAAACAAAGCGGGATGCGGCTACCCCACTCACCAGACGAAACGCAGAAGTGTAACACTTCCACTTCACGCCGGTCTTCTGTGAGGTCGTGGTCCTTGCCCGGACGGAGCTGCGCATCCAATTCAAATGGATTGGAACGACATTTTGTGCCAATCCCACCTAGTGTGTGATTGACAATTACACAACGAACAATTAATGCATCGGGTCTGCTTGCCATTTGGCTTCAACAACGGTCCGACGTGCTGCCACCGGGGTGGATAATTTCCCACGCACTTGATATGAGCGAAGTCGCATCTCTTCACCGAGTCCACGTAGTAGGCGAGATGCGGCATCTGGTAGTGGTGGAGGTACCGGAGCAGCGAGCGCTTGAACATGGTGGGCGATTCCCCATCGTGGGGCATCGAACCTTCTGGCAGGGGGGCGCAGCGGGGGCTGAACCACAACCTGGAATCACGAACATGCCAATATTAGTGAGTGATAGATGATTTCATTAAAATGTATAGAAAAACAATCCAAAATTTTCACAGTTGCGGGAACCGAACCCACGTCTTCCGCATTTGGGCCCAGACGTTGCAAATATCGTTTTACAACGATAATTCGAACGAGATGTCGCCAATGAAACATAAATTTTTATAATCCTTATTAATCTCTACGGACAAAACATTAAAATTTGTAGAAAGATAATTTCACACTAGTTATGTACAGGCAAAGCCGTACATTTTCTATTGTATAGCAAAACTGCGCACACGGCATATTGACACTTGCAAGCGTTCGTATACGCGACCTAGTTTATACTTTAGTTCGTAATTATAATTTTAATATATTTCAGTGCAGTAAAAGCATTCAATGACATCGGTCGGTTTATTTTGACATTTCTTAACCGCCATACAATTGACATAAGCTCATCCATCCCACATTGATATCAAGGTGTGGTGGTACACGCAGTTACCAGCACATTTTTTGGTCCTTCGAGCCTTCTTTTGTTCTTGGCTTAGCCTTTTGTTGGTCGTACTTTTATTATCATTTCATTCTTTAGTTCCCCAATATGTACAACTTTTATAATTTTGCCATATTTTATTCTTTTAGAGACTTTAGTTGGGTCGGGGGTAATAACCCGGATCAATTATGCTAAGTGTACGTAGACATAATTACGAGTTACTAATTTGGCTCCTAGCAACTAAATCTAAATATTAGATACAATATTTTCAATTGAACCATAATTCCTTTTATAATTTCTAAAATCGAGGTAAGCGCCAATTGTAGTCACTTAGTACGGCCATAAGAGTACCATTTCCCTAAAACCATCAAGTTGTAAGCAACAAATAATCTTGAATTTCAAACTAATACAATTAACCGCGATCTTCACTCACCCCTGCGTCCTATTCTCCCAGTCGTCGATGTAGAGGTTGGCCGTGGAAATAACCACCCTCAGAGATCCATCTTCGTAGCAGAGAAGCATCATTTTCCTTGTTATCAGAATTTTTAACATTAACACTAGTAAGGAATACAGCAAAGAACAAATGAAAAGTAGGTAATAATAGGTAGGGCCACACGGTCCGACCGGGGAAGTACCACGACCTCACAGAAGACTCTACGTTCGGAAGTGTTACACTACTGCGTTTCGTCTGCTGGTTGAGGTAACCGGGGCCCACTTTATCAAAAGGTTGCGACGCATCCGCAACCCTGCGGGTGTTGCAAATGTCCATGTGCGTCGGTCATCATTTAACATCAGGTGAACCGCCGGCTCGGGTGCCACCTTCTCACATAAAAAAAAGTATATCAAACGTCAATGATTAATTAGCAAATAGTACTTATTGCATGTCGCATAGGATTCGAGATTGGATAAGATTATAGTGGATGTACCAAGTTTGGGCAATATACCAAATGAAACTGCTACATAATATTTTTTTCATGGTTACACATTACTAAATGAAATTTATTTTATTTACGCGATTACACTAAATGAATCTATGCTTACAGTAGCCCGGATTAACAATGACACTCACACGTCCAACGCCTCAGTCTGTCCCGAGACCAATGAACGCTGCAAAGGGTTCGAAAAGTAAAAATAAGCGCAGTAAATCCGTAAACATAGTTTCATTTAGTAAAACTGCTACAGATTAACAAATGTTAGGTGCAACTTAGTCTCACGTGTGATGCTTCCCGAATGGTGTGGCCATAGACACGTAACGCGCGTCTACGTTTGGCTTCTTCTTGCTAAGGTTGACCATATCGGCGCATTCGTCGCCGTAGAGTATCGTCAACTTCTTGCCGCTGTGGAACGAAACGTATCGAGTTATGCCATTCGGGCTCAGTAACGCCCCTCGTACCTTCCAAAGTAAAATGAAGATTGGAAGAAGTCTATTAGTAATAACCAATATTACCCAAAAATATTTAAATCTATCAAATTAACAAAACTTTTCTTTACAGTATCTAATTGCTCTGAAATCAGTTTGTACAAAGGAGATCCACGGAGACCTGTGGCTTAGTGACTTATCAAGTGACCAGTGACTTATCAAGTGCTCAGCGCTGAAGAAAAAAATTTTTAGTAAACCTGCACATTTTCTAAGTAAAAAAAATTTTTCGAAGATATGTGAAGTCCGCCAATCGGCACGCGAGCCGCGTGGGACTAATAATATCCTCTGTACAGACGAAGCCTCATCCCAGCAGTGGGACTGTGTATAGGCTGTGACAGCAGTGTATAGGCTGTTACTTTACTTTTTCAGTTTAATAAATTTCCTTCACTGCCGAGGACTAGAAATTGAACTATTAATTGGTACCGGGTAACGTGACGTCAAGTCCGAAGTCTCGAGTGTAATTAGTTAAAATCAAGCACCAAATTAAAAGTAACACTGACCTACTATATCTCTATGGAACAAACTGTCAATTAAACAGAAACGTTAAAATCTACTAGAATAATTACCTGTATCCGGCGAAATAGTACTGGGCGAGCAACCAGCCGGGATCCACCATGAAGTTTATCTGCAGCGAGCATTTCAGTTCGCCGAGACTGCTGTCCAGTATTTCTACGAGAATAGCAAGCAGCTTATTTTAGGATGAAACATCATTTTTTTACTCTTTTATTTGAATAGGGTTTTTTATCTGCATAGATACGCCAACCCTATCCAAACTTATACAAGTCAAAAACAATCCTTAATCTTAAAGTTATAAAAATATAAAAAGGGAATTACCAACTGTTTATTTACTTGACATCTTTTAGGATGAAAAACTTGCCAAATTTGGCGAATTTTTCGTTTATGTCATAGAGACATAAAACAATATGATAAATGTTCAATATTGCAATGATTATATTATATGTCTATCTATTTTTATAATTCAGTAAAAGATAAAAGTAAGGGCCCACTTTGTTAAAAGGTGGCAACGCACCTGCAACCCTATGGGTGTCACCATGTCAATGCGCAACAGTTATCACTTAGCATCAGGTGAACCAACTCGCCTGCCGCCTTCTCACATAAAAATAAACAGTACAAGAGAGTCTCACATAAAAAGAACCTATGAAAATCAAAGTTAAACGACCACAATCCACCCATAAAATATAAAATAAGAATGCACCTTATGATTAGCGATTAAGGTTTAATTTTTATTTTTTAAATTCTTGAAAACCTGCCTATGTCTTTATTGATTAAAACTTCACTTGATAGCATACAAATCGCGTTCGAGTTCTAACAGGCATAGATATATTTCGAAGTGTTGGAAAAGGAGAAATACCTAAAAACGTGATGGAATTTGGCTGCGCGTGCGTCTCCCTACTGTCCGTGATGGTCGTATAGAATATGTGATAGGGGGCGCTGGCGGCGTGCTTTGCCGCCATCCTGCCAGATGGCAGCACCACCTTCAGGAACTGCTCCGCGCGGCGGGTCGGCGGAATGATGGGGCAGTAGTCGGTGTCTGGATGAGCAATTCGGCAATTGTGGATCGTCATATTAGTTTAAACTTGTAGGTGAATAGGTAAACGGTGAATAAAAAAGCTAAAAGTAGAAAAATAAAGTAAAAACAATAAAAAAAAATTACTAACTAATAATAATAGTAACTAAAAGAAATCTGAAGCTTTCTTAAAGAAATATCCACTCAGATGTCAGCGCTGGGTATGCATGAGGGAGACAAACACATTTGTCTCCCTCATGCATACCCAGCGCCTTAAGTATGTTTATCGCCTTGTACAAATTGTGTAAAAATCTGTCCTGTATATTCAAATTATATGTATACATATTATACATTTACGGTAGTAGGGCCACGCAGCAGCTTCGGCTGTTGCACGAATAGGCAGGCCCGTCCTGGTAAGTACCACAACCTCACAGAAGACGTTTCAAATGAAACTAATTTTACGGATTTATCGCGTTTATTTTTAATTTTAATTCCCGACGTTTCGAACCCTTTACAGCGTTCATGGTCACGGGACAGACTGAGGTGTTAGACGTCTGATTGTCATAGTTAACCCGGGCTACCGTCAGTTTTTGAATTATTAATTTTGTGTCCGATCTATGCAGAGGGAGCTAATTGTATCTTGTCTTGCAGTAGTGGTTCGTTTGGGCCTAGATTTAATTTTATTGATGACAGGATCCCAAGCTGATGGTAGTACCCAACCTTCTTCTCTATTGAAATTAGGGTGTTTTTTAATTTCAATAGCCTCGCGAATCATCCTTGGGAGGAATCGGTGTTCTTTTGCAAGGATCTGTGGTTTGTCAAACCTGATGTAGTGGTTGGGTCTATTCAAAATGTGCTCACAAACTGCAGACTTGTTTAATCTATTGTGTTTGATGTCAGCTATATGTTCTTTCACGCGGGTTTTTATTGCTCTTTTCGTTTGACCTATGTAAGAGAGCCCACATTCACAGTCAAGTTTGTACACTCCTATTGTCCATAACTAACAGTTAGCTACCGTGGGTAAATCTTTGTTTCAGAGAGCACAAGGGATCTGTGACAAACAACACCTGGCCGCTGAGCTTCAACATGTCAAGCAAGTTCTGCATGACAACAAGCTTCGAGCACCGCGCCTACGTCACAGTGACCGAGTGAAACCAGCCACAGTGGAGCGAGTACCTGCTGTTCTACCATACGTCAGAGGAGTCACCGACAAGATTGGCTATATCTTAAAGCAGGCTTCAATTAATACATTCTACAAGCCGCTGAAGAAGATTAGTCAGTTTTTACCATCTGTCAAGTGTAATATCCCTCTGCAAGATCCAGGAGTGTACAAACTTGACTGTGAATGTGGGCTCTCTTACATAGGTCAAACGAAAAGAGCAATAAAAACCCGCGTGAAAGAACATATAGCTGACATCAAACACAATAGATTAAACAAGTCTGCAGTTTGTGAGCACATTTTGAATAGACCCAACCACTACATCAGGTTTGACAAACCACAGATCCTTGCAAAAGAACACCGATTCCTCCCAAGGATGATTCGCGAGGCTATTGAAATTAAAAAACACCCTAATTTCAATAGAGAAGAAGGTTGGGTACTACCATCAGCTTGGGATCCTGTCATCAATAAAATTAAATCTAGGCCCAAACGAACCACTACTGCAAGACAAGATACAATTAGCTCCCTCTGCATAGATCGGACACAAAATTAATAATTCAAAAAAAAAAACTGACGGTAGCCCGGGTTAACTATGACAATCAGACGTCTAACACCTCAGTCTGTCCCGTGACCATGAACGCTGTAAAGGGTTCGAAACGTCGGGAATTAAAATTAAAAATAAACGCGATAAATCCGTAAAATTAGTTTCATTTATAATGTGTAATCGCGTAAATACAAGAAATTAGAAGACGTTTCGTCTGGTGAGTGAGGTAGCCGGAGCCCAATTTTCAAAAGGTTGTCAACGCAACTATTCAGCGGTATTCACCTAACATCAGGTGACCCATCTTTGGCAGCTTTTGGCATAAAAAAAATAAAAATATACATATAATAAAATATAAACACCGAACTGTATGTACACTATGTTCATTACACAATATTTCTCCTGTAGTGGGGATTGAACCCACACCCACTGGCGCAAGAAACACGTGTACTATCCACTACAGCAATTGAGTTGTCTTATTTTTACAATGCAAAAACCTTTTAAAGAAACTCACACACATGTTAGAAGAACAGATATAAGTTTATTAATATTTAAAAAGTATCAATAAATAATCATGCATGCATGCCTTTATTTTGAATCTGTTTATCCGGAGACTTACTCTTCTCTCGCTGTTTCCCTTTCAAACTCTCTTCATCTATTGTTTCTCTTGTTTTAGTCTCTGGATTGCTACATGAATGTCCGTCAGAGATGCTATCCACCTGTTTCTGTGGTACACACAGTCTGTCTTCAATCGTTGAGCTACTTGAGCTGCTCTGCGTTAAATCTTTGCTTGATCCCATTTTCCTTTTTATACCACTATCTTTCCTGAATTTTGAAAAAGAAAGAAATCACAACCCGGTTTGTATTTTTAAATAAAAAAGCCCCCACACTCTTAGACTCTCAGACAATCACACATGGAAAATAATACTATTCAAAAGAAAATTAATAAATTTAACATTTTTCTGATTTAGTTAATCTGCCGTTCAAAACTGACAATGGTTCTTGACTTGTGCCATACATGTCACTATTGCAAGAATCATATACATTCAAGAACCTCACTCTGTACTATTTGCTTCGCTTTCTTGTGATTGTGTCTTTCCTACCGGTGTATACAGTTGCTTGTCAACAATAATTTGAAGTTGCTCCATAATAAGCTGCCGTTGCGGTTGAAGATCTTTCGGTATTGGATAATCACCATCCCCATTGTGGTTGTCCAATATTGATTCCACTGTAACAAAATAATTGCAGTATTGTAGAAAAAAACTGCAGAATTCTGTCTTCGTCTAATTTAATCACATAAGAAATCTCCTTTAAAGAAAACAGGGTTTTGATAGGTCTAAATATTCAAAAATAAACAAAACATTGGGTGTCAGGAACTCTCAGTTAACTATTGGTTGTATTTCGTGACTTTGTTTTTCATAAAACACAAATACCTGTTTTAATTTAAAATTAAGTTCTTAATTCCAAATTTAGTTATTTTTCCCTGTTCAATTTGTTTAAGTCTAAACTCCATAAAAAGTCTTATTAATAGTATTTTTAATAAAACTACACTAACAATGTGGATGGCTATACTCTCTTAAATGTGCAGGGTTCAATCTGTAGCATTTATCTCCATATGAACACTCTCTTCTAACCCTCTTAGGTGTGTTGTTATCTGTAAAAAAATTGCGGTTTATATTTTCCGTTGCAAGAAATCTTCACACCATGTTAGTAAACAAGGTTTAAATTAAATATTTAATAATCGGTACAATAAATGCAAAATGTGTAGTAATTAAGAAACACATTACGTTAACCTCATGGGATCTGTTAACAAATTTTGTTTTTTTTTTTTTTTTTACTTTACCATGAAATTAGTTTATAAATCTTAAAAGGAGGCCATTCTTGTGAACTTATTGGAAAGAAAAGCTAGTAAATATTTAATTAACGGAATATTTTACTTTATCATAGTCTTATCATACTAAACCTGTTTAATTATGATTTATCTATCTATTTCTACACTTTTCAGACTAAGTTTCATAAAACATGGCATACGTACGCACCCTGCATATTTTCGGTACGTTTATACGCATTGCTCATTTCCTTTTATATCTGCGTCGATGAAACACCTTTTAAATATTTACATTTAATTATATTATGCGATTACTCGCCGTTTAACTGTAATCTGTATATTATAACACCGCTACACCGCTATATATCAGCGGCGAGATTTCGGTAGATTGAATTGAAAATTGTGTTTCAAGTCAATCAAATGTCAATGTCAAATAACTGACATATGACATAATAAATAATCAAGTGTTTTTCGTAGAGTTTATAAACAAAACATAACTATTCATGAATTAATCTAATTAACATCTTAAAAATTATATTTAGTAAAAGGGATATAAACAAACTTAACATTCAAATAATAAACTAATACACAATATATACTACAACAATGAAACTAAACCGAGGTAGCTCCTTGCCAGCTCTTCGGTCTCCTGTGATGTCGACTTACCTTTTTGCTATTTCCTTAAAAACCTTATAGCGCTAGGACCCTACGGACCAAGGGTCTCGACACCGAATGGGATAATTCGGAGCCTAGACCCCTGTATTTGCAGGCTTTAGCTTTTTCAGCCGCAAGCAAGCTCACAAGCCGCACCAGCTCTGTTGTTGGTTCCATGTAGATGGAAAGGGGCCAGCGTGTTTAAACAAGTAGCACCCCATACCAGCACCCGGCCCATCTTCCATTGAATCAAACTCATACCGTCCGGTCTCTTACCATCGTCTCTTGCAATACCAATCGGCTCAAGTAGACTTGACATGTTGACGGTGGTAAGGGACCGGCGTATGACATCGTTAAGTGCGGCATGACTCGAGAAGCGGCCTACACTTTTTTGGCATCACTGCCACAGGGACATTTATGAGGAGCGAAGACCGGAACCCCAAGCCGTAATACGATTCGGAGCGTGTCAGGCTCAAGAAATGTTCCTGTATTTGACGAAGTGTACGCCAGTAGCCAGCCTCATGCGCAACCACGGCCAAAAGCCTAGCACGCGCGGAACCTGTACTACAGCTCAAAAGATTGTCATCAATTTGCAGTTTATGTTGTCCCAGCTCCTCTGTAATTTGGATAAACTGGAAAATTTCTTCTTCCAAGCCAGCAATCTCAAAGTTTGTAGGGGATGTCCTTAAAATTTTACTTATGGGATTTGCTGAATTATGGATAGAAGATAGGAAGGCTGGTAAAGCGACACTGGAAATTTTGCGAATCCCTAAACCACCATAACGGATGGGTAGGGATGTTTGGATCCAAATTGCTCGTTCAGTTGCATATTAAAAATGCATTCTAAGCTAATTTTGATTTTAACTTTGTGTTTACTTTACGTAATTTTTGACAACAACGATATTGACATCCCATCACGGATGATGACATCGAAGGTGTAGTGCTATCTTACCGTTGGCGTTTATATAGACAAACGTTGTTCTTAAAGTACAAATTATGTCGTAAAATTACGTCAGTCGTTATAAGGATATTTTTTCTATAAGAAATGGTCTATAAGGATTTCGTTTTAATTAAAAAAAATATTTAATTTATTATTAAAAATATTATACTAATTTTGCATTTCGTCTATAAATATTTCTCTTACAGACGTATTACTTAGAAGTAGTATGTAAATTTAAATCTGACCAATTCCTAGTAAAGTTTGAATTAGGTCGATCAGGCAAGACAGTTCCTACGATCGAGATAGCGAATGACTGGGAAAAGTTGGTAAGGGACGCATATCGCATAAAAATGCTTAAGAAAATCCCCAATAAGATAGTTTCACGTGAAACTGCCTTCGCGGTCATCTCCGATCTTACATCCGATAACCAAACTCGGATTGTAGTAGTAAATGATAGCCACATGTGCCTGATATCGCATTGACGCAAATTGCGACATGATGAGAGAAAGAGGTCAAAAAGTGCTCAAGTGAATCTTCTCACCCTTAGCAGTTTTTGACCTCCTTTTTAACGTTTATTTGCACTCTGATGGAGGATATCTCGCCTTCGCACACAGTCTTAGCAGTTACAGAGAAACGTAAAATTAGAGAACATCTCGATGCTTCCTTTAATTCAGGCCAATAGGACTGCCTCGCCGATAGCCTTAAGCTACATTAATGCTCACCTAACACGCCACAAATGAACCCCGTCCACCTGCACAAGGAAGAAGTGACAATAAAATCCATGGCTCCACCAACAAATCCTTTTCTAGAACATGGATCAGTTGATAACGTTTCGTCCCTTTTTAAGTTCCTCAAAAACCATTCTGCACCCGCTCAAACACTATCAATCACGAAGTGATTCCTGTGGTAGGGCCACTTAACAGCTTCTGTTGCTACACGACTGAGCAGGCTAGTCCGTAGAAGTACTACAACACAGAAGATCAGGGTATAGTGGAAGTATTTTACCTCATGCACCAGATGCAACGTAAAAACGTTGCATCTGGTGCGTGAGGTAAACGGGCCACTTTTTACTAGGTGAGCAATGCGTCTGTATCGTGCAAAATGTTATAGATGTACATGGGTGGGGGTAATATTTATTTTAAATTAATTATATTTATCCAATATTTACAACATTAAATCTATCTAAATTATTATGTAATCCTCCGGCTACCTCACTCACCAGACGAAGCGCGAAAGTATTTGTCATACTTCCACTTTACGCTGGTCTTCTGTGAGGTCGTGGTACTTACCCGGACGGGCGTGCCCATTCGTGCAACAGCCGAGGCTGCTGCGTGGCCCTACCACCGTGTGGTACTTACTTACCCGGACGAAAACCTAAAACCGAAGTACGAAAGATTCTAAAACCTTCTGTATATTCCGCATATCCCAAGAATACACCTGTGGCTTTGGCTGTGAATTTTCCTCTTCGGTTTTTGTTCATCACAAACGCTCTATTTCCGAATACGTGTAGGTGATTTCCTGATGGTGTTCGTTGTACCCATTTCTCATATGGGGAATTGCCTTTGAGAGCTCTTGCTGCGCTTCTTATTAACAAATAGTTTGCAGAGCTTACTGCTACTGCCCAAAACTTGGGCTGCTTGGAGGGATATTGGCATCTAGCATCAGACATCTGGCTTTATCCATCAGCGACCTGTGGTGGCGACATTTTGCTGTGGGGTATAAGGTGTAGATAGTCTTCGGCTTATACCGTTATCTTTGAGGAATTTTTCAAACGCTTTAGACCTGTATTCGCCTCCATTATCAGATTGTAGATTTGGAATTTTCTTCTTATCAAACAGTTCAACATAGTTTTTATATTCCTTGAATTTATCGATTACTTCGCTCTTTTCTTTTAAAAAATATACACAGCAGTATCTTGTATTGTCATTAAATATTACGAAATACTTTGATTCGGCCATTGATTCATTCTCAAATGGGCCACACCACACGTGTAACTGTGAATTATCTGGATCACTTCGGTAGAGATTATTTGTCCATGGCTTAGGAATGGTAGAATGGAAAATTTTCCTTTGATACAAGTCTCACAGGTACCCAAAGTTTTTTCTTTAAAGTCGAGTCCTCGCATCATTTCATTTATAACCATTTCTTTTAGGTCTCTTTCATTGACGGGACCTAATTTCTTGTGCCATTTCATAATTTCGCTTTCATCACTAGGCGTGAAGTTTGCTGTCTCTTCCGGGTTATCAAATTCAAGATAGTATAATCCATTTCTTCTGTTAGCTTTTAATACAGTTTTCCCGCCTTTTGTGACACTGGCTTGTTTTTTTTTTCCAATAGAACCCTATAGCCATGATCCGTAATTTTTCTTGCGGAAATTAGATCATATAATGTGTCAGAAAGACAAATTTTATAGCGTCGATCCTTTGTATAAAGTTCGACTTTTCCTTTCCCTTTAACTTCGGTCGTATGCTTTTCTGAAGCTAGCTTTAGAGTGTCACCCATAGAGAATGTAATCACTACGTTAATTTTATTTGTTCTTAGCTTGCTCTACTTACACATGGCTGCAAAGTATCATATTTAAGTGCTTACATGGGCTTCATCTAAGGGAAATCTCTCCATAAACATTCTTTTTTCAAGATTCGAATGACTTGCTCGATTTTCACCAATTTCACAGGTAATAAACCGTCTTTTTGGCATTTTGAAATTCTCTGATCACCTGTCACTAGTTTTCGTGAGAAAGTTTACTCTAAACAATTTAAATTTACAATGAAGTAAGCATTTACATTCAAAATACGCGGTGCAAAATTAAGTTTTGAAAAACAACATGGCACTTCTTGTATTGCAAGAAAGAGAAACCGCATTGAGGGAGAGTGATAGCAATATCCGCCATTATTTGCCGCGTAAAGTCCATAGAAAAACTTTTTGTTCCTAGTTTCGCCAGACTGGTGTCAGTCGCGGGGATTAAGTTATAGAGTATACTTTTATCACCCGTCTTATGTGAAGTACAAGCACTGTCAAGACACCATAAATTGCCTTTACATTTCGACGTTCCTGTTACAGATGTTATATGTCTTTTCTTGACCTTTAGTTTTATTGGGGTTATTGGGTCTCTTCTTTGACCAACAAGCTTCTGTGGAATGCCCTTTCTTATTGCAATCCTTGCAAAATTGTACCTTTTTCTTCGTCTTTGTGTAGAATGCTTCTGAAGTCTGGGTTCACTCTCTTCGGTTTGCCTTCTTGCTTCGTATTCTTCTACGATTTTTAATTTTAAATTGTCAGGATTTGGCAGAACATCTCTCGACTCAATTGCCGTTCGAAAGCTAATTCTCGAAATTTGTAAGTAAACCATACAACATCATTATGCTTAATAACTCTGGATGTATTTTGACATCCATGTCTTCAAATTTACCTACTACATCCATAATATTACTGTGATGGTCTCTCACATCTTCCGGTGGAGTCATTTTCTTCAATACTAGTTGCTTTAATAGCGTAGCCTTTCTTGTCGGCCCTGAAATTTGATGTACAGACTTTAGTTTGTCCCATACCTCCTTGGATGTATTACACCCTTTAATTTGTTTAAGTTCTGGTGGAGATATAAGTAAAAATAGCTCTGACCTTGCCTTTAAGTCTTCCTTTAGGAACGCACTCTTTTCTTCGGCAGTCGCAGTTGACGCTAACGTTTTTTCACCACTAGCGTATTCCCAAAATCGTTTCTTATGAGAATCGCCTGTGCTTGTAAGCACCAAAGTATCGTAAAAAAATAACAAATTCAAATGCAGTGCATCATTGACAATTATACGTGGACATCATCATTGACAATTATATCACGACCTTCCAACAATATCAAATAAATAAAAAATATTTCACATCTACGGACTCTATGCCGGATTTTGAAAAATCGTTTTGATATGATTTCGATATTGAATATTTCATATCAATATATCGGATCAAAATATCGATACATTTAATAAAAAATATCGATATACCCATATATTTCGGCTTTCTTAGACTTTATTTTATTCTTTTATTGGCATACCTAAAAAAAAGTTCCCGTAACTAACCTGAATAAAATAAATAAAGCTAAATAAATATTTAAATATAGCAGTACGGTAGGTAATAGGTCCGATTTTGATATTTAAATTAATTGCACTGGATACTACATTTGACTACAGCTTTGCGCTTCTTACAGTGTTTATTTATGCTGTTTACAGTAAACAATATGGATGATCCCTTCGTGTCCTGCCCGTACAACATTGCTCATCGGGTTCCTCGCTCGCGTATACAAGCGCACATCGCGAAATGCCAATTGAGGTACCCGAAGCTCCACATTTGCCCGTACAATGCCACCCACCGGCTGCCTGAAACGGAAATGAAGGCTCACGTCTTAAGCTGCCCGGCAAAGGATGCCATCTTCCCAGGAGACAAACCTCCGAAAGTCACTGGCTCGCTGACCAAACCTAAGCCAATATTACAAAGAGATTACCTGCCTGAGACTGATCCAAATCACGAAATATGGGATGACTGACTTAACTAAGCAATGTAATCTCATTTTAACCTTAAGCTTACTGTGTTAAGTGCTATTTTATTTTAAGTGATTTTATTGATTAAGGATTACTAATAAATATTTAATATATATATTGAATGTTGTGGAATATGTTGCTTAATGTAACATTAATTGTCATCATTATGTAAAACGTTAGAAATGCCAACAACTAGTATCAGCCGCTCAATTTGTTTAAGGGCCAACCAAGGCTTCATGCAAGACTAAATTTTTATTATTTTTTTTTGTGATAAGGCGGCAAACTAGCTGGCGGGTCACCTGATGTTGAGTGATGGCCACAGCCCATGGACATTTGCAATGCCCGTGGGATTACAAATGTGTTGCACTCTTTTAATAATGCAGGCCCCAAATAAATCACTCACCAGACGAAATGCATAAGTATAACAATTCGCTTCACTCTTAGGTCTTCAGTGAGGTTGTGGTATTACCCAGACGGCCCTGCAACAGTGAACTGTTGCTTGGCCCTACCAGATATTGATGTATAAATTCTTTTTTAAATTAGCAATTTGGCTTACCGTCCAAAATTAAATTATCTTGCCTACCTAGCCCACAGACCATGAAACTAAGAATGCTAGCTACATTCCCTCGCTACAAAATAGTAATACTTTGTCACATGCATTAAAGATTACGTATGAGACAGTGATAAATGTAAGCACATTAATTAATAAAATAAGATGAGGTATGGGTTGAGATTTATAACATTAGTACAGCTATTAACACAACAATGACTGATTTAATATAAATAATAACCATATCTTGTATTAACTGATGTTACTTTAAATCTGGAAACTATATAAAGCTTTATAATACCAAACCTATGGAAATCGAGTTTTCACGAGTTGGATGGAGCCTAAGCTAATATTCACATATTAACTATTGGAATTATCATTGTTATGTGTAGTTTTGTAGGGCTGCAACCCTTTGGGTCTGAGATACTTACATCTACAACCCCATGGGTGTTACAAATGTCCATGACGTTAATCACTTAACGTCAAGTGAACTGACAATGCCCTCTGCTGTTCATATTGTTTATTAGAAAAAAAACGTAGGCATATTATATCTTTTACTGAGCGAAACTGGGAGTGGAGGGGCTGTATCATCATCGTTTCAGCTTATTCTTTTGTCCATTGTTGAACATAGGCTTCCGCTGACACTGCCATGAAGCCAGATGCTGAGCCACCTGCATCCATTGGCTTCTCGCGCACTTGCACAGCTCATCACTCCATCATGGAGATCGAACTAAAATACGATGCTGATACTTACGGAACTTATCTTCCCCATCGGAGGAGGCTTCAAAAACATGAAAAATCATTAACACCAAATACACTCAAATTTTGCCACGTGCGGGATTCGAACCCAGAACAAAACGAGCATTAGCTGGCATGGTGTCCATTGTGAACCGTCAGTACATTCAATCTTTGAACTTCACTATCGCATTAGGTACAGCCTGTAATAATAGATGTAAGTATATGTATAAATAAAATAAGAATAAAATCTCCATGACAATGTTATAAATAAAAACAAAACCAACAAAGTGTAATGTATTTATTATTTATGTACATACATATTTAACTGTAATTCCTACTATTTATTTCTTAACAATACATGAAAATATATTAAGATAACTCTTCAACATAAGGTATTTTAAATACTTTATAACATTGTGTGTAACCGGTACAGTTAAGACCTTTTTTATCTATTTCAATTGGGGTAGTGTACTAATACAGGTAACAAATTAGTTCCGTGCCAAACTTATACTTAATTTCGCCTGTGAAATAAATTAACGTAAAAATCATTACTTAGGAAACAGCTCTGTTATATAATATAATAAATATCCATGTATATGTCCCAAACTGAGCAACACTTGTACTATGGGTATTAGATAACTGATAAACATACTTTTCTTTTGTTAATAATTACATATAATGAACAATGGTTCATGAGATAGTCTGATACTGAAACAGTTGAAATTTTCAGATGATGTACAATAAATACTCAACAACAGAAACACATTATGTGTGAAAATTTGAACAGTGCCTAATACGGTTCGTGAAATACAGGCTGGGGACAGATGGACAGACCGACAGGCAGCGGAGTCTTAGTAATAGGGTCCCGTTTTACCCTTTCGGTACGGTACCCTAAAAACAATAAAAAATATTTAAGTAGGGCCAAGCAACAGTTAACGGAACGCAACCATTCGAACGGAACAGTTCGATTCGCACTTGGTTTGCAGGATTTATGTGATATCAACATATGCGCTGAAACTGTTGTAACTCAATAATTATATACGGTTCAGTTAACACTCATTTTCGTTATAACGTCAATCAGTTTGTATGCATTTGTATTTAGTGTGGAAGGGGTTGGGTGGGAAGTGCTAACCGCCACTGCCACCTAGATCCATAGTCTTCCCTTCAATTGCCTGTTACTGCAGGATAAGGTTATCCTGTGCTATAAGGATCATGTGAATGCTATACAGTTGGTTGTTGTACGTCAAGTCCATTACAGTGTGGACGTGGCCGATTCGCTCTGGCTGGGGGCGGCCGCTCGCAGCGACTTCTCCAGGTTCCTCAGCGCTGGTGTGATGCTGCTGCCAAGGTCCTCCACCACGCTTGACAGGTACACTGCAACAATGGGGCTCTGTCAAGATGTATCTCTATTTCAAATGCTATATAGTTTTTTTTATGTGAAAAAGTGGCAAACGAGCTGGCAGTTCACCTGATTCTAAGTGAAAACCGCCGCTCACGGACATTTGCAACACCGGTTGCAAATGTATTGCCACCTTTTAATAAAGTGGGCCGCGGCTACCTCACTCACCAGACCAAACAACAACAACCCTCCCACCTTACCAGATTCTGCTCAATTTTATACAAAGTGTATTGAATGAGGCATTTACCGATGTCAGTTAGACAGCGTTTTGTTCCCAACTGGTCCATGTTACGGATGTTCAGAATCTTCTCTGCATACATCTCACACGTGTGCACGCAAACCTGTGATTAGATGATTAGTAAATTTAAAGTATTTATTTATTTAGGCTCACCCACTAAACACATACAAAAGTTTAAATAATAATTATACTATATTTGTATTAAGAGTATGCGGTTACATTTCAACATGAAACTTAAAATCAATTACGAAATTAAAAAATATGATGACACTATTATAGATGCATATATACTATGATGCATATAATATGCAACTGGAGTGTTCCAGAGGGTATGGGTTCGAACCCCACTACTTAAATAATATTGTGTGATGGATTTAGTGTTTTTCTAGTGCCTGGATGTTTAACTAAAAAGCTTGTTCTACGGATTGGCTTGGATTGGTATGGATGGTTGGTTTTTAGATAAAGTTTGTGTGAAAATGTGTTCTAAAATAGTTATAAAGATGTACAAGTGACACATTCATATAAAATCACTTGGTAAAATTAAAATTGCTTATGTGTGTGGCAAACAAGCAGGCGACTCGCCCGATGTTGAGTGATAAACGCCGCCAATGGACATTTGCAACACCCGTAGGGTTGCAGATGCGTTGCCACCTGTTAATAAAGTGGGCCCCGGCTACCTCACTCACCGGACGAAACGCAGTGTAACACTTCTACTTTATGCCGGTCGTCTGTGAGGTCGTGGTACTTACCCGGAAGGACCTACCCATTCGTGCAACAGTGAACACTCGCGTGGCCCTACCACAGTTAAATGCTCGCGTATCTCTGTGCTAGGTTAGGTCAGTTTCGTTTTGTGCTTGTGTGGGTGTGGTGTTCCAGGGGCAAGTGTTTAGGTCCATACTGTTATGTCCTACGTTAGGTTAGTTTCGTTTTGTGCTTGTGTGGGTGTGGTGTTCCAGGGGCAAGTGTTTAGGTCCATACTGTTATGTCCTACGTTAGGTTAGTTTCGTTTTGTGCTTGTGTGGGTGTGGTGTTCCCGGATCAAGTGGCCAGGTCCAGGGCGAGCTGACCTCGTTCAGGTGCTGCAGCGGCGCCTGACCCTCGGGCAGGTGCATCTCTAGATGCTGCGGCAACGTCATCAGGTACTGGCCGATCTGGATTGCGGAAGGGTCATGTGTCGATATTTTTTAAAGTGTAACAAGTAAATTAAAGTTAAAGTAAATTATAACAGCCTATACGTGTCCCATTGCTGGGCAAAGGCCTTCTCTATACAGAGGGTATCAGGGCATAGTCCACCACGCGGCCCCACTGCGGATTGGCGGACTTCACATATCTTCGAAATATATAAATTTTTTTTTGTTATTATTTCGAAAATATGCAGGTTTCCTCACGATGTTTTCCTTCACCTCGGAGCACGTGATAAGTCAGCACTTAAAGTTAAAAATTTCATCGGTGCTGGCATCGGGGATCGAACTCAGGTTGCTCGAGTATATTGAATTAAAGGCGAGCACCCGGACACTGAGCTATCACGGCTCTACAAGTGTACAAGCTCGTGTTACAAGTGCACATACCAAAAAAAAATCTCACATACGATACACTTCCAGTGCCGAGTCGTGAGCTATCGCGTGCTCAGCGGTGAGAGAAAGTGTCGCGACGAGAACTGCACATTTTCGAAATATTTACATAAAAGAAATCAAAAAAATGAATCGAAGATATGTAAAGTCGGTAATCCGCGTGATCGCGTGGCGGACTATGTCCTCTATATGAAGGCCTTTGCCCAGCAGTGGGACATATAGGGTGTTTACTTAGTAAACTTTTACTAAAATTTCGGATATGCGAAGTGGTACGTGGTGCGTGGTGGGCTATGCCCTAACACCCTCTGTACAGAGGAGGCCTTTGCCCAGCAGTGGGACATATAGCCTGTTACGTCAGAGGGCGTGGATACGATACCCACTACTGGAAAAATATTGTGCGATGAACATAGTGTTTATATGCGTATAACACGTAATTATTTACAAAATAAAAGTATGTTTAAGTATGTTTATCAGTTATCTAGTGCCCATATAACAAGCGTTGCTCAGTTTGGGACTAGAGAACGTTGTGTAAAAATGTGTCCTAAAATATTTATTCATTTTATTATTTTATGCCGTTTTTATATAGGACCCCGTGGCGCAGTTGCCAAGGTATTGCCTTCGGCGTCGGGGGTCGTGGGTTCGATTCCCACACGGGGCAACCATTTGTGTGACCCACAGATAGTTGTTTCGCATCTGGGTGTATGTCCGTATGAAATTTATGTTCGTAAAACGTCCTTACAACACAGGATAATGTTGTCCTAAAGTAAGAGCAATGTTTGAAAAAAAGAAAAAAACCTCGGTGATGTACTCCTGGGGCGAGAGGGCGAAGTCCGGCAGGTCGGTGGTCAGCGCGTCGTTGCTGTGCCAAACGGGCAGCTGCGGGATCTTGTCTGGAGGGGGCATTGCAATTTCAACTTTAATCCTAACGGGGCAAGGGCCAAATTCGTGAAACGCACGCAAAGTTCAACTCTAACGTCATGAGGGCATCGCGATATCAACTCTAATGCGAACGGCGCAAGAGCTAAATTCGTGAAACGCACGCAAAGTTCAACTCTAACGTCATGAGGGCATCGCGATATCAACTCTAATGCGAACTACGCAAGAGCTAAATTCGTGAAACGCACGCAAAGTTCAAACTCTAACGTCATGAGGGCATCGCGATATCAACTCTAATTCGAACTACGCAAGAGCTAAATTCGTGAAACGCACGCAAAGTTCAACTCTAACGTCATGAGGGCATCGCGATATCAACTCTAATGCGAACGGCGCAAGAGTTAAATTCGTGAAACGCACGCAAAGTTCAACGCTAACGTCATGAGGGCATCGCGATATCAACTCTAATGCGAACTACGCAAGAGCTAAATTCGTGAAACGCACGCAAAGTTCAACTCTAACGTCATGAGGGCATCGCGATATCAACTCTGATGCGAACGGCGCAAGAGTTAAATTCGTGAAACGCACGCAAAGTTCAACTCTAACGTCATGAGGGCATCGCGATATCAACTCTAATGCGAACTACGCAAGAGCTAAATTCGTGAAACGCACGCAAAGTTCAAACTCTAACGTCATGAGGGCATCGCGATATCAACTCTAATGCGAACTACGCAAGAGCTAAATTCGTGAAACGCACGCAAAGTTCAACTCTAACGTCATGAGGGCATCGCGATATCAACTCTAATGCGAACGGCGCAAGAGTTAAATTCGTGAAACGCACGCAAAGTTCAACTCTAACGTCATGAGGGCATCGCGATATCAACTCTAATGCGAACTACGCAAGAGCTAAATTCGTGAAACGCACGCAAAGTTCAAACTCTAACGTCATGAGGGCATCGCGATATCAACTCTAATGCGAACTACGCAAGAGCTAAATTCGTGAAACGCACGCAAAGTTCAAACTCTAACGTCATGAGGGCATCGCGATATCAACTCTAATGCGAACTACGCAAGAGCTAAATTCGTGAAACGCACGCAAAGTTCAAACTCTAACGTCATGAGGGCATCGCGATATCAACTCTAATGCGAACTACGCAAGAGCTAAATTCGTGAAACGCACGCAAAGTTCAACTCTAACGTCATGAGGGCATCGCGATATCAACTCTAATGCGAACGGCGCAAGAGTTAAATTCGTGAAACGCACGCAAAGTTCAACTCTAACGTCATGAGGGCATCGCGATATCAACTCTTAATGCGAACTACGCAAGAGCTAAATTCGTGAAACGCACGCAAAGTTCAACTCTAACGTCATGAGGGCATCGCGATATCAACTCTAATGCGAACGGCGCAAGAGTTAAATTCGTGAAACGCACGCAAAGTTCAACTCTAACGTCATGAGGGCATCGCGATATCAACTCTAATGCGAACTACGCAAGAGCTAAATTCGTGAAACGCACGCAAAGTTCAACTCTAACGTCTCATGAGGGCATCGCGATATCAACTCTAATGCGAACGGCGCAAGAGTTAAATTCGTGAAACGCACGCAAAGTTCAACTCTAACGTCATGAGGGCATCGCGATATCAACTCTAATGCGAACTACGCAAGAGCTAAATTCGTGAAACGCACGCAAAGTTCAAACTCTAACGTCATGAGGGCATCGCGATATCAACTCTAATGCGAACTACGCAAGAGCTAAATTCGTGAAACGCACGCAAAGTTCAACTCCAACGTCATGAGGGCATCGCGATATCAACTCTAATGCGAACTACGCAAGAGCTAAATTCGTGAAACGCACGCAAAGTTCAACTCTAACGTCATGAGGGCATCGCGATATCAACTCTAATGCGAACGGCGCAAGCGTAAATTCGTGAAACGCACGCAAAGTTCAACTCTAACGTCATGAGGGCATCGCGATATCAACTCTAATGCGAACTACGCAAGAGCTAAATTCGTGAAACGCACGCAAAGTTCAACTCTAACGTCATGAGGGCATCGCGATATCAACTCTAATGCGAACTACGCAAGAGCTAAATTCGTGAAACGCACGCAAAGTTCAAACTCTAACATCATGAGGGCATCGCGATATCAACTTTAATTCTAACGGCGCAAGGGCCAAATTCGTAAAAAGCATACACGCAAAGTTCAACTCTAATGTAATAGGCAGAAGGCTCTATATACCTAATACGAAGCCTAAACCTCCGCAAAGCGCTGGTTCGAATCCTAGTATCGGTTATAATTTTGCGACAATTAATATCTACAATAAAAAATAATGATAACTAGTTGCTGCCCGCGACTACTTCTGCGTAGATAGGCTGAAAGCGTAACATTCAGACAGAAAGACAGACAGATATACATAAAATATGTATATAAATAATAGCCTATGTGTTATTCTGATGTATAAGCTATATAATTGTATAGTTTCATTAAAATCCATTCAGTAGTGTTTGCGTGAAAGAGTAACAAACATCCATCCATACACGCAAACTTTCGCGTTTATAATATTAGTAAGGAAGTAAGGATTAGAAATGAGCAAAAGCACTCCTGCATGAAGACGTTGAAGAAAAATGAACTCTAACGCAAAAGACGTAGGGACCAAACTCGCTCACCGAGCTGCACGTCCACCGGGTTCCGCAGAACCGCCCTGGCGAGGGCCCTCAGCTGGTCGCGCGCCCTTCGGAGCCCCGCCGCGGCGGGACCCTGCACCAGCGGCTGCCCACCCTGGACGGAGCCGTCCAGCAGCAAGGCCCGGAGCTCCAGGAGCGGGTGCTCAGGCTCTGGTGGAACGTCGTCGACCTTCGATATGCCGTCACGTGACATCAAGCAAATAATACTGCCCATTTAATAATCGATAGCAGCTGTACCATGTTGGGATGGAAAATACCAAAGGATTAATAAATTTTGTATCGTGCATATACTAATTTTATCATTATTATAGTTACATTAAAAATTTATATATTTTTTTTTATTTAAATCCAGTTTAACAATTAAAAATGTTTAGAAAGTGGGGGGGCCTCTACAATACATGCAAAAAAACCCCCCACACCGTCTCACTCTGCGTCGTCGTCTGCGGAACACCTCGCCCAAACGATATCGTCCCCTTTCCCCTCATCTCACTCTCCTCCCCAAAACATCGATCAGCACACTACATCCTCACGCTCCCGTCACACAACACAATCCAACGCCCTTCCCCCCACTCACCGTCCCCGCGGCGTCGATCACGCAATCTTTAGAGTTTCATCCCATCTCGCCCTCCTCCACAATACAATTCAACGGCCCTCCCCCCCACTCGCCATCGCCCTCTGCGTCGGCGCACACGCGACACCACATCCCTACCCTGTCGTATCCACTCACTCCCCCACTCCCCTCCCAATCCGCCCCCGCGTCGCCAACCGCGCAACACATCCCATTTATCTCCATCTCCCCCTCCACAATACAATCCAACCCCTCTCCCCCACGCAACGTTCCTCTCCGCGTCGCCAACCGCACAACACATCTCCCCCCTCCCCCCCCTCACCGTCCCCCTGCGCGTCCGCGTCCGCCCGCCCCCCCACCGCCGCGAGCGCGGCGAGCATCGCCCCCGCGGCGCCCTCCAGCGCGAGGGCGGCGGGGAAGCTGTCGCTGAGCACCCCAGCGCCCCCTCGCCCCGCGCCCGCCCCCGCCCCGCCCCCTCCGGCGCCCGCCAGGAACGCCCCCTCCACGCGGCGGCTGTGCCCCCCGATGAGGGACAGCACGGCGGACGCCAGCGCCTGCGGGTTCGAATCCCGATGCCGAATGGACACTCCGGAAGAGTACCCTCTCGTTGGGATGGAACGTCCCATAGGGAGGTCACTTAATGATACCTTTGGAAAATACTCCATCGGGTGGGGATTACAGAAAGGTTACTTTAAAGAAAAACACCCCCTCGGAAGGATGAAACCTCCGAAGTAAGTCACTTACAAGGAATCTCAAAAAGGTACCCGCATAAAGTGACAAGTAGGAATTCCAAACACAGAACTCTCTTAATAATCATCGTCAAAGGATGCAAATCTCCTTCGCACCTCTCACAAAGCAGTTCAGGAGTGGCAAAAAAGTGCAATGTCCATGGGCGACGGTTATTAACATCAGGTAAACCGCCAGCTCTTCGCCACTTTTTCACATAAAAAAAAACAAAACGCAGCTGCAACGCTACGGGTGTTGCAAATGTCCATGGGCGGCAATTAGCACTTAACGTCAGGTGAACCGTGAGCACATAAAAAAAACACAGTGATAATGGCCATTATGCGACTCACCTCTACCGCTGGAGCGTAGTAGTTCATGGCAGCGGCACCGGCCACCTTCCTCGCCCTGGTGTACGCACTCTGCAACCAGCCCTCGCAGCTCTCCGCCACGGACAGCAACGCCCTAGAGTGCTCTAGAAGGTCCTCCTGGCAACGGATTAAGAAACAATCAGAGGACACCATTGAATTCTTCTTAAATTAAGAATCAATATTAAGAGAGGATCAGAAGATACCTTTGGAAGATTAAATGAGTTTCTTAAATTGAATTTATATGGAATCAATCCTGCGAACAAGAACAGCGATGGAGAAACTTGTTCCAATAATACAAGCGATCAAGCTTTAATACTGTTTTTCATTACATTAACAGGGTACAATGCACGATGTGTTTACTTATAAATGTGAGAGCAGTTATCTATTTTATTATGTAACAAATAATTTAAATTCATCGTAATTGGCTGGATAAATTAAAAAGAATATAAAGAAGTCCAATAAATAAATAAATAATTTTTAGTACTCTACAAACACATATCTTTGAAAAATCTTTCAGTGTATCAATCAGCCGGAAAATTACATACTTTTATTATACATATTATATATTTAAGTTACTTGTTACAATTATACATCTAATTGTGAAGGTAAATATCGAAATAACACTTCTATACAGGCTGAAGCTTAACAGGCCAGAAAGATTTGTGTTTATTATTTTAACGTAACAGCAGAAATTATTTATGCTTTTGCATTTCACCTAGGTGGGATAAGGGCAGGACGATGAGTGAGGTAACATACTCCACACTGTTAAATACCGAAGGGAAGGGTTTTGCGAATGGCCACAGGACGACCACTCTACTTTGGTAAACTGCCTGCTTTCACATAACGTCATCAGTAAAACGCAAGGATCTCCGAAGGCCTCACCTGCTTCAGGGGCTGCTGCTCGAGCTGGTCGAGGAGCAGCCTCGTCTGCAGCTCGGTGCACGAGGGCATCAGCTGGCGCAGGGGCGCGTACAGTGCTCGGCCCAAGTCGCGCAGCCTGCCCGCCTCCAGCTTCTCTGGGAAGCGATGTGGGTCGGGTGCAAATCATGTGGAAGACTGTACGGCGGTTTTGTTCCATCTTAACTATCTCAGGATCCGTTCGATATCCTTACTAATATTATAAAGGCGAAAGTTTGTTTATATGGATGGATGTTTGTTACTCTTTCACGCAAATACTACTGAATGGATTTTAATGAAACTTTACAATAATATTGCTTATACATCAGAATAACACATAGGCTATAATTTATGTACATATTTTTATGTATATTTTTATTTTTTTATTATCTTTCTGTCTGAATCTTAAGCCTTCAGCGTATTCTACGCAGACGTAGTCGCGGGCAGCAGCTAGTATTGACATATATTAAATAGCAGGAATTCCATGATAGCTTGTGACCACGTGGCAAAGCATCTGCAACCCAATGGGCGGCGGCCATCACTTAACTTCAGGTGAACCACCAGCTCGTTTGCCACCTTCTAACATAAAAAAGTCTGTGTATTATTTGTTTGTTTGAAAATGATGAGCCGTGATAACTCAGCGAGCCGTGATAGCTCAGTGTCCGGGCGCTCGCCTTTAATTCAATATACTCGAGCAACCTGAGTTCGATCCCCGGTGCCAGCACCAATGGAATTGGTAATTTTAAGTGCTAACTTATCAAGTGCTCCGCGGTGAAAACGTGAGGAAACCTGCATAGTTTCGAAATAATAACAAAAAAGAATACTTCGATGATAATTATGTGGAGTCCACCAATCCGCAGTGGGGCCGCTGGGTGGAGTATGCCCGGATACCCTCTGTATAGAGGAGGCCTTTGCCCAGCAGTGGCACATGTATAGGCTGGTAGGGACACACAGCAGCCTCGGCTGTTGCACGAATGGGCAGACCCGTCCGGGTAAGTACCACGACCTCACAGAAGACCGGCGTAAAGAGGAAGTTTAATACGTTCGCGTTTCGTCTGTTGAGTGAGGTGGCCGGAGCCCAATTTTCAAAAGGTTGTCAACACATCTGCAACCCTCGGGTGTAGCAGATGTCCATGGGCGGCGGTATTCATTTAACATCAGTTGAACAGTCTGTTCGCTTGGAAACTTTTCACATAATTTTTTTTTATGAATATTGTATTTATGTTACTCCACTTTACAAGCCATCCACTTTCTACCTTTCTGCTGTCGCGGCGCGTCCAGGATCGCCCTGATGCTGGCCACCAGCTCGTCTGTGTCGGCCCTCAAGTCCATCAGCATCGCCATCCCCTCCTCGGGGCCCCGGCACAGCTTGAAGGCAGCGGTCACCACCTGCAACCGTTCGCATATCAATACAACGGATACAATAGATATAGAACAGCCGCAAGCGAAGGGCTTTGTTTCGTTATAATTTTGTTTTGATGACTCGGTCGGGGTTGTGGGTTCGATTCCCACACGGGGCAACTATTTGTGTGATACCACAGATAGTTGTTTCGCATCTGGGTGTATGTCCGCGTGAAATTTATGTTTGTAAAACGTCCTTACAACACGGGATAATGTTATCCTAAAGTAAGGGCAATGTTTTCTAAAAGAAACAATTCATTTTGAACGTTTTTTGGAGTTTTGTTGAAAAAACGTTAAAAAAACTCTCCCATAAAATATTTACTTATTCTACGCGATCTAGATTATGGTAGAAATAAATACAAAAAACAACCTTGGTTGGTGATGGATCTAAAGCCTGCAACAGTTCCGTGTACAGCCTGACCAGCTCCGCCATCGGTGTCTCTGATTTTAGCACCGTTGACAACCACTCCACCTGAAAATCAAAGTTTAAATGGCATTACACCAAAATCGACAAGGTGTCATGCGCAAAGCAGGAATATCGAATACAGTAAACGAAATTCCAAATAATACGGTGTCCCGTGGCACGCACGTTACTAAAACGCAACGCGGGTACAATCGCGTACAAAACCGATCAAAAAAGGGTACAGTTGAGAAACCGCCCAATATGGCTCTCAAAAAAGTCGCGTACAAAGCCACCTAATAAGGTACAGTCGAATACAAAACCGTCCAATAGGGTATATATGCGTATAAATCTGCCCAATAGGATAAACTGGCGTATAAAACCACCGAATACGCTACTGTAGCCTCTTCGGTGGTCTCCGCAATGGGGCCGCATGGTGGGCTATCCCCTAATACATCCCTACAGAGGAGGCCTTTGCCCAGCAGTGGGGCGCATAGAGGCTCTTTTATTTCACTTTTTTATGCTACTGTCGCGTACAAAATCTTCCAACATTTTACACTCGCGTACAATACCACCCGACGGGGTGCACTCGCGTACAAAACCACCGAACAGGGTACAGTCGCGTACAAAACCGCTGGTATGTACGCCGTAGGGACACGAGTGATACGACTGCTTGCTGTTAACACACTGATTTACTGCGTTATAGACAATGCGCACGGGCGCAGCCGTGCACAGATATAACAACCGCCGAACAGGCTGCGCCCGCGCACAAAACCGCCGAACAGGGTACAGTCGCGTCCGCACCTGCCGCTCGCCGGCCTCGGGCAGCATGTCCGCCAGCAGCCGCATCGAGTGGGCGGGCGCTCGCCTCCAGGCGGCCGCGTGGCGCGCCCCCTCCGCCCGCCGCCAGCACCGCGCCGCCGACTCCGAGCGGGACATCCCCCGGAACAGCGCCACGTACGCCCCGGTGCGCTCTGGAAGCACCCGAACCCTACAAATTAGCAATAAGGCGAAGGACCACAAGGCCGGCAAATATAGTTTCGATATTATAGCCGTTCGTAACAAAATGGGTATTAGTAAAAAGGGGCTTTATTAAGAGGCATCTCCCGGAACAGCGCCACGTGCGCCCCAGTGCGCTCTAAAAGCTCAACCCCATGGATTAGCAAGACGAAGGACCACAAAGGTTCGCAAACATAATTTTGGTATTATAGTCGTTCGTAACAAAATGGGTATTAGTTAAAAGGGGCTTTATTAAGAGGCATCTCCCGGAACAGCGCCACGTACGCCCCAGTGCACTCTAAAAGATCAACCCCATGGATTAGCAAAAAGGCGATGGACCATAACGGATGGCAATTACATTTCCAATATTATAGTCGTTCGTAACAAAATGGGTATTAGTTAAAAGGGGCTTTATCATGGTACATCGCCCGGAACAGCGCCACGTAAGCCGCAGTGCGCGTTGAAAACACCCAAACCTCATGGGTTAGCAAGGCGAAGGAGCACAAAGGTCGGAAACTATAAATCCAATATTGTACCCGTTCGTAACAAAATGGGTACATATTAGTAAAAAGGAGCTTTATCATGGAACAAATCAATTCCAAATCACAAAGCCGTAATGTATTAAACGCAAAATTTTCTAATCATCCAATATGACGTGTAGACACTTACATTTGGCGATCTGCCAACACCAGGACCTGAAGGCGGTGGAAGCGGGGCTGAGAGGACCCGGAAAGGGACACCCAAGACAAGCGTCAGAAAGACGCTTTTTATGTGAAAAGGTGGCAAGTGAGCTGGCGGTTCACCTGATGTTAAGTGATAACCGCCACCATGGACATCTGTAAGACCCATGGGGTTACCGATGTTACCACCACTGGTTACCAACTTTAAATGACGAAACGCAGAAGTGTAACACCACAACTTCATGCCTGTCTTCTGTGAGGTCGTTGTACTCACCCGGACGGACTTGCCCATTCGTGCAACAGCCGAAGCTATTGCGTGGCCCTACCACAGTTATGCCCGGTTCCTATATTCAACGAAATGCCGTTAATAAATGCTTGTAGATAAAAGGCGTGTACGCCCTATTCCTATATTAACAAAACGAGGCGTTTCCCTTACGACCCGTTGCATTACCCACGGAAAGTGAGTTACTAGCGTTCCTTCAATCCACAAGTCGTTATGTAAGTTACGAAGCTACGTAACTAACGGCCGTCCGTCGAATATAGGAACCGGGCATTAGTCTATGCTCACCGGCATCCATTTGGGTGAGGGCGTCGATGAGGGGCGGGCTCACGGCCGCCTCCAGCCGGTTGTAGAGCGTCTCCAGCTGCATCCGTTTGTGGTCGTGGTCCTGGGCGTCGCTCAGCACCTGCACATTGTAAACGGATGTTTCAACTGTTGAGTTTCCAGCCGGTCTCTTCTCAACAGAAACTGCTTTCCGAACCGGTGGTAACTTACGAACGCGTTAAGTTTTATGTAAAATTTTTGACGTTTCATAAGAACGCGCAAGCGTCTATGTGAATAAATATAGTTTTGATTTTTGATTTTTTTTGATTTTGATGGAAGGAGACACTCCCCAAGTGGAAGCTAACTTGGTCCTCACTGAGCTGGTGAGTCGAGGGGAACGGCTGCCCGGAACACAAAGGGCAGACACTCCTCAAGGGTTAACGACCCTTCCAGCTAAAAATAGAGAAACTCCTCAAGGGTAAAGCGACTGGGTAAGCGTAAAGCTCACTATGCCACTACATGAAGGAAGAGATATGCCAAGTGCTGACTTGACAATGTCATCCACCAGATCACGACTCGCGTGTGCTGATATATAGAGGGTTGCTTTTCTAAGTGTATCCATTTATTTTATTAAATTCTAGACATAAAGTAAAGTAACAGCCTATACATGTCCCACTGCTGGGCAAAGGCCTCCTCTATACAGAGGGTATCAGGGCATAGTCCACCACGCGGCCCCGCTGCGGATTGCCGGACTTCACATATCTTCGAAAAATATTTTTTTTGTTATTATTTCGAAAATATGCAGGTTTCCTCACGATGTTTTCCTTTACCGCTGAGCACGTGATAAGTCAGCACCTAAAGTTAAAAACTTCATTGTTGCCGTCTCGAACTCAGGTTCGAATCGAACTCAGGTTGGTCGAGTATATTGAATTAAAGGCGAGCGCCCGGACACTGAGCTATCACGGCTCAAATCAATTCTAGACATAAATAATGTTATATAAAAAATGATAAATATTTCAAATCACTTGTAAGTAATTAATTACATTCATTTGAACTTATCTCAAAAAGTGCGCGATTTATACGCAACTCGTTTATTTTACGCGCGATCATTCATAGCTAACACGCACACAAGTTCGTGCACAGTAAAATTTAGGTAATGAATGACTATCGCATTTTCAACACGTTCTGTTTTTTAGGGAATAGAATGGCATTTTTTTTGAAAAAAAAAAAACTTTGTTTTTGATTTCAACAAATGATTATACTACCGAGTCTAAACCTCCTGCGTAAATTTGGGCACTTCTCAAAAAATCTCCCTGTATATTCATTTATACATATAATGGGTGATAGAAAGAAATGGTATAGTCTTGGGTGGGTGGTGAACAAGGCCATATAATTTCCTAACGTCAAGGGGGTGAGACGTTTTAATGCGAAAATCGGCGTAAAGTCGAAGTACTATAAATACTTTCGCGTTTCCTGTGGTAGGTGAGGTAGCCAGAGTCCAATTTTCTAAAGATTGTGAACACATCTGCAACCCTCGGGTGTAGCAGATGTCCATGGGCGGCGGTATTCACTTAACATCAGGTGCACGGCCTGCTCGCTTGGCAACTTCTCACATAAGGGTTTCGTCCAACGTGTTATTGTCGCAGCCCATCGTCAGCTGGAACACCTTGGGAGTTGCCGATGCATCAGCGACCTCCAATATAGTGGGCTGGCTACCTCACTCGCCAGACGAAACGCGAAAGCATAATAACTTACACTTCACGTCGGTCTTCTGTGAGGCCGTGCTATTTACCCAGACCAGCCTGCCCATCCGTGATACAGTCATTACGGTAACTGTGGTAGGGCCACAGAACAGCTTCGGCCGTTGCACGAATGGGCAGACCCTTCCGGGTAAGTAACATGAACGCACAGAAGACCGGTAAGGAGTGGAAGTATTATAAATACTTTCGCGTTTCCTGTGGTGAGTGAGGTAGCGACAGCCCACTTCTCCGTTTCGTCTGGTGAGTGGGGTAACCAGAACTTTATTAAAAGTTGGCAACACATCTGCAACCCTACGGCTGTTCCTAACGTCCATGGGCGGCTGTTTTCACTTAACATCAGGTGAACCGTCAGCTCGCTTGGCACCATCTCACATTTATACAGATAAATAAAATTGGAGTGTCCGTTTGTAATATTAAAATAACCGCTTTTCACTAAATCTATAAATGTATATCAAAATATTTTTTTTACAATTTTTGTCTGTCTATTTGTTCCGATTAATCTCGGAAACGACTGGGGAGATTTGGGCGGGACTTTCACAGACAGATAGCTGATGTAATAAGGAGTAACTTATATTTTTTATTTTAGATTTTATTTTATATTCCACACGGACAAAGTCGCGGGCGCAGCTAGTAAAAGAAATAAAAAGGAACCACTCACCTCTAAACTGGCGGTCATAGCCGTCACCTGCTCGGCCAGCTCCGTGAGCTTGCCCACCGAAGTGGGCACGCCCACTTCCAAGATGTCCTCCAGCGAGGAGTACAGCGCCGCCCACTTGTCAGCCTCGCGGAGAGCTGACGCTGCACTCTGTAGACATGTGGACAGTTACATCTGAAGGGAGCGATGGCCATCAATGGCACAGTCTATAGTTTCAATCGAGGTTGTTATTCGTGGGATACACATAATCGGATATAATTTACCTTTTGATGGATTTCAACATATGATCTTTAATTACAGTTGTTGAATTGACATAGGGCATTTGGTTTATTCAAAAACATAACTAATTAGTATTTTTAATGGAATCAAGTTTGTTCTTTCATTTAATATGGTAAGATATTTTATAAGAGAAAATCATTATACCATTTTTAATGACATCAAACATTTAATAATTATTTTAACTTTAATAATAATATTAGACTTTGATTTATTTAGTGACTTAACTATGTGACTGGGCCTACCAGGACAAATAAGTATAAGGTACAAGTTATACATTCCTAAAATCAATAAATGTGTAAGAGGGGTGATATTATGAAGAATAATAATATCGTCATTTTAACTTTCCATGGGCTAGAAATCAGAATGTTTTCCTAAAGCGCTACAGCTACAGACCTCGAGGCGACTCTTCAGCCGATCAATCCGTTGCAGGCTCTCAATGGACTGTCCGGTCTGCTGCTCTACGCCTTGGACTTGTTGCTCCAGCGTCAGCAGCTTCTGCTGCAGTAAGGCACCTTCCAATTGCAGACTGGACGCGTCTTGCAGAATTTTCGGCACCGACGTGACGATCTGCAATTTATGTTTTTCCTTCGTGAGAGCATTTAACTTCATATAGCACTAGCCTTTGGTTGTCAACGCATCTGTAACCCTCGAGTGTGGCAGATATCCATGAGCGGCGGTATTCACTTAACATCAGGTGAACCGTCTGCTCGCTTGACAACTTTTCGCATAAAAAAAAAACTAGCCATCCGCCCCAGCTTCGCACGGGTGCAATGTATTATACATATAAACCTACCTCTTGAATCACTCTATCAAGTAAAAGAAACCGCATCAAGATCCGTAGCGTAGTTTTAAAGATCTAAGCATACATAGGGACGGACAGACAGTGGGACAACTTTGTTTTATAGTGATGATGGAGGGGAAAGGAAGTAACGCGACCTCACAGAATACCGGTGTGAAGTAGAAGTATTACACTTCTACATTTCGTCTGGTTAGTGAGGTAACCGGGGCCCACTTTATTAAAAGGTGTCTACGCTTCTGCAACACTTAGAGTGTTGCAAATGTCCATTGGTGGCGGTTATCACTTACCATCAGTTGAACCACCAGCTCGTTTACCACCTTCTCACATTAAAAGATTGTACTAAGTATTGTATTAAGTAAATGTGCATATTTTTCAATGCAAAGTATTATGTTCTGACGAGATATTGTATATTTCAATCATTTTACTAAGATACATTACATTATAATAACATACTGGTTGATGATTAAAAAAAGGCAAATTCAATTTAATATGTATTGCAACAATGGTACATAAGTTTCTAACTCTTGGTGGAACAAGTTGCTGCTTTTTTTTTTTTTTAATTTATTAAGCTCACCCCCAGATGTGACAATAAAACTTACTTACATCATGATGACGTCTATACAATAATGTAAATGCTTAAAACTAATTGCACATCCAAATTATAGGCAAACACAACATTGATAGATTCACGTATTTGTAAGTAAATGTATGTTAAAGAGAAAAAATACAACTAAAACAAAAATATTAAAATAAAATGTTTAATGTATGATAGTAGAATAATATGATCCATATTATTCTACTATTTATTATTATTATTGTACTATTATCTATATTATTCTACTATAGATTTTATTAAAAAACAACATGTTATTCCATTGGTTGTTCTACCAATAAATAAATAAATACTAAGGAAAAGAATATTTTTTAAAATAAAGAAATGACAAATCTATAGCTCACTTGTGTGGTGGTTTCATCCAAAGCATTGCTCAACTGTTTCATATGGAGTTGCAACCTTGTCACTGCATTTGTCACAAAAATCTGAAAATATTCATTTACTTTATATACTGTATATAAATTGTTAAGACTAACCCAATTATTTATATAAAATTTGAATATATTATCATAGTTTTCCTTACAGATACATAACTAAATGTATGTGTGTGTTTATCTTGCAAATTTTTTTTATTGATATAGAATTGTAGCCATTGAAACATATATTTCGCTTATAAAGCGAAAATGTACAGTAAATCCCAGTATTGAGAAAAAAGTTTGTAATGTTACATGATAACTTTGCTTACAATATTTATTTCATGCAAATGTTTTAAGAGGTATATCACATTTTTACTTTGTTGGAAGATACAGTCATTCAAGATACCTACAAGATATTTAAAAAACATTCATCTAACATATGTTAGTGATGCATTCTACTTGACTAGAATGCCATAAAAAATATTTAATGCTTAGAGCAAAATTTTAACAATTGCAATGTACAGGATGGCTTTTCTAAAGGTGTCCAAATTCAAAAAACATACTTTTGTTTTTCAAAAAAATTGCCATTCTATTCCCTAACAAACAGAATTTGTTGACAATGCGGTAGTCATTCATAAATGCGTCCAATACTTTTGAAACGAACTTGTGTGTTTCATTAGTTATGAATGATTGCGCACGTAAAAAAGGAGTTGCATATAAATCACACACATTTTAAGATAAAAGTAACAGCCTATACATGTCCCATGGCTGGGCAAAGGCCTCCTCTATACAGAGGGTATCAGGGCATAGTCCACCACGCGGCCCCACTGCGGATTGGCGGACTTCACATATCTTCGAAAAATATTTTTTTTTATTATTTTGAAAATATGCAGGTTTCCTCACGATGTTTTCCTTCACTGCGGAGCACGGGATAAGTCAGCACTTAAAGTTAAAAACTTCATTAGTGCCAGCACCGGGGACAGAACTCATGTTGCTTGAGTATATTGAAAATAAATCATGATATCACAGCTCCTCATTTTAAGATAAGTTCAAATTAATGTAATTAATTAATTACAAGTGATTTTAAATATTTATCATTTTTTATGTCTAGAATTTAATAAAAAAAAATGGATACACTTAGAAAAGCCTCTCTATATGAAGTTTACCAATACCATTTTAATAATTATAAATAGTTACTTTAAGATTTGTGGTTAGTATTACCATGTCATAAAGTAAAGTAAGTTCAATGTTGTTGCCCATCACTAAAATTTGTGTCATCCAAGCTAATTGTTTAATAATTGCTTATTACCCATTTTAGTGAAAGGTGGCAATGCATCTGCAACCTTAAGGGTGTTGTAAATGTCCATGAGCGGCGGTTATCACTTAGCAACAACAGATGAACCGCCAGCTCGTTTGCACACTTTCTCACAGAAAAATCCTAAAACCTATCATTTTCAAAACTATCTTCATCTTCATATCATCCTCTCTTTATGAAGTATATATATAACTAATACGATAAAATTTACGAAGTTTCACTTATACCATGTGTGAAATGATTCTAAAATATTTATCTTCGAGGCAAGTCGTGTTTTTGAAAATACATATTTGTATAGCAAAAATTATGTTTTATAGATTCGCGGAAAATGCAAAGTACCTCTTTTTCCTGGTTAGCGCTAGCACTCCAAGCCCTATTAATCCACTTTTTAGGGTCAAAATCATCCTCTGCAAATGTTTGCAAATCCTAAAATTTTATAAATTCAAAAAATGAATCAAAACTTACTACTAATACAACAGAAAACGAAGTTTATAAATATTTACCATCTTGCTAAATATTATTAAATTATAGGACGATATACATACAATACGAAACTATTTATTTACACAAAATGGAATAACAGATATCGTCGTACTAGTAAACATAATATTAATAAGTAAGCAAGCCATTTTGACATTTGACAAGCACGGAAAGTAAAATTCCTATTTTGACATTGACATTTAGCTATCAGAGGCATGGAGGCTAGTGGAAAACGTTCTGAATGTTTTGGTGTCCATCGAAAGACATTAAATTGGAGGCGCTACAGTAATATGTGGGTATGACACATTGGTAGTGTATTAATAGCAAATAGGTTTTAGAATTAATAGTTTCACCATGGTTTCTATTTACTAAAATTTAATTCAACAAGTTATCACACCTATCCAACAAATAATCATACCTGTTTCCGTTCTCATTTGCCTTTTCGTTGTGATATTTAAGACACTCCTCGACAGCTGCACCTTCCCGGATATTGGAAGAAATCGCACGTCAGCGGCATCCCTAAGCCGAATGAGCACCGAGACTTAGCGTGCAATTACCAACCAATATCTCTGCTTTGGCGAAAATTTACGAATGTATTATCTTAGCAAGGATTAAAAAAAGGGTTCAATCATCAAATCTCATTTCCAACGAGCAGTTCAACTCTTTGGCCTTGCCAATATGTTTGTTTTATCTCTTTGACTGGCGACCCGCCCCGGCTTCGCACGGGTACAATATCATATAACTTCCTCTTGAAACACTGTATCTAATAAAAAAAACTGCATCAAGATGTGCAGTTTGGGCGTGAAAGCGAGACAGACGGACAGAGTTACTTTCGCATTTATAATATTAGTATGGAAGTATGGATATTACAATATTTATTTATTATATCAGAATTTGTTTTACAATATTTATTTATAAAATCTTATTGTATATCAATAATTTATCAAATTATACAGGCTCCGCCTAGTTTGGGAGTGTACTAAATGTCCTTTTCTTACTGTAACTAACCTTAATTAAATGTAATTTTTTTTAATGTGAAATGTTGCCAAGTTGCGAGCAAACGGTTCACTTGATGTGAAGTGAATACCGCCGCCCATGGACTTCTGCGGGTTCAACAACTGAGGGTTCCAGATGCGTTGACAACCTTTTGAAAATTGGGCTCCGGCCACCTCACTCACCAGATAAAATGCGAAAGTATTGACATGTTTAAAATTTTATATTATATTTAAAATAAATAAATATTATATTTAAAACAATATGTCAACAATAATACTATATTTAAAAAATATTTAACAAAAGATAAGTATTTCCTATCCAAATATAATTTAACCCATAACAAATGTGCTATCTTATTTTTTACATTTTAATTTATCCAAGTATTTGGCTACACCAAGATCTGCTCCTATTGAGCAGCTAAATAGTTTAGTATGTAATTTGGAATCCGTTCCAAGTAATTTAAATTAAATATTTTTTTTTATGTGAAAAGTTGCCAAGCGAAAGTATTATACTTCCACTTTATGCCGGTCTTCTGTGAGGTCGTGGTACTTATTCGGACGAGCCTGCCCATTCGTGCAACAACCGAGGCTGCTGCGTGGCCCTGACACCGTTAAAATAAATGCTTTGTATTGATATTATTATAGAAAATAAATAAATATCAAATATTGTATACATATATTTCTTATGTCTATGTATTTATTTATATATGTAATTCCATAATTAATAAAATGTAGCGTATTGATTTCGTATAACTTCACGTATTTATCAATGTTATCAATGATCAGCTGTGCTGCGAGGCAAAGAGAATGTAATGACGTGCTGCGAGGCGACGCGGCACGAGCAATCGTAACGTTTCCGTTCAATATACCGATTGGGCGCTCGGCAACAGCGATTTCATCAGAGCCCGCGCTACGTCATAAAGCCACTCGCGAGACGCGGTACTTACGTTCTAACGCCAGTCGCTTTTTGCTTCCCGCTTCACTTACGCTTTACCTAATTATCAATTCACATGTGTTATCATAATTCCGCTGTAATTGCTTATTTCTTCTATCTCTCGCTATCCTCGTATGTTAAGGCCCATTTACATGGTGCCAGTTTCTTGCCTGTCGTATACAATTAAATTGAAGCAATAAATGAGTTGCATGGTCTAAACAACACATAACATTCTTGACTGTTGAACAAGACTTGCTTCAATTTTTGTTTCAAAACTTTCCTTGGTGTAAACAGCACACACAATAATTTCTTAAGCAATTCTTGTATTCAATTGCATTCTCTCTTCCTTTGCAAAAATTAGTGCAATGAGTGAGGGTATTTAATCGTTTCTGTTCTTTTGAGGATAGAAATATTGAGAAAAGGTCGTAAAAAAAGTTGGACGATAAAATGAATAAAGGCCATTTAAAGGCCCATTTACACGATGCATTTTCTTGTAATTGCAAAGGTCTTTTGTTTACACCAATGCAATTATGTCTAGGCGATTATTGCTTTCAAGTTTTGCCTTGTCTAAACACATGCTTGTATGTGCGTGTACAATTTATTGGCGTGTTGCTTCAAGTATTGCACGTATTTGCGTTGACAAATTTTTCATGCAAGTGTTGAACGTTTTACAAAGGGCTGTTTTTTTAAAAAATGGCTCAATAATAAGTGTTCAAGTTAGATTATGCCGATTAAATATATTTCATTGAGATTTATTTATTATGATCCATATATTATTATTCATATTTTATCCAACTTTTTTTACGGCCTTTTCTCAATATTTCTATCCTCAAAAGAACAGCAATGATTAAATACCCTCACTCATTGCACTAATTTTTGCAAAGTGAGAGAGAATGCAATTGAATACAAGAATTGCTTAAGAAATTATTGTGTGTGCTGTTTACACCAAGGAAAGTTTTGAAACAAAACTTGAAGCAAGTCTTGTTCAACAGTCAAGAATGTTATGTGCTGTTTAGACAATGCAACTCATTTATTGCTTCAATTTAATTGTATATAGCAGGCAAGAAACTTACACCGTGTAAATGGGCCTTTATTGCGTGCAACTTATTGCATTCAATTATTGCTCTTGTATGTACAAGAAAATGGCATCGTGTAAATGGGCCTTAAATCGTTGCTGTTCTTTTGAGGCAAGAAATATTGAGAAAAGGTCGTAAAAAAAGTTGGACGATAAAATGAATAAAGGCCCATTTAAGGCCCATTTACACGATGCCATTTTCTTGTACATACAAAAGCAATAATTGAATGCAATAAGTTGCACGCAATAATTGACCATCAAGAATTGTAAGCAACAGCTTACACGCAGATATAGTAAAAAAAATTGAATGCGATTATTGTATGCAAGTCTTGACAGGAAATAATTGCAAAGGTCTTTTGTTTACACCAATGCAATTATGTCTAGGCGATTATTGCTTTCAAGTTTTGCCTTGTCTAAACACATGCTTGTATGTGCGTGTACAATTTATTGGCGTGTTGCTTCAAGTATTGCACGTATTTGCGTTGACAAATTTTTCGTGCAAGTGTTGAACGTTTTACAAAGGGCTGTTTTTTTTTAAAAAAATGGCTCAATATAAGTGTTAAAGTTAGTTTATGCAGATTAAATATATTTCATTGAAATTTATTTATTATGATTCATATATTATTATTCATTTTTTATATCCAACTTTTTTTTACGGCCTTTTCTCAATATTTCTTGCCTCAAAAGAACAGCAATGATTAAATACCCTCACTCATTGCACTAATTTTTGCAAAGTGAAGAGAGAATGCAATTGAATACAAGAATTGCTTAAGAAATTATTGTGTGTGCTGTTTACACCAAGGAAAGTTTTGAAACAAAACTTGAAGCAAGTCTTGTTCAACAGTCAAGAATGTTATGTGCTGTTTAGACAATGCAACTCATTTATTGCTTCAATTTAATTGTATATAGCAGGCAAGAAACTTACACCGTGTAAATGGGCCTTTATTGCGTGCAACTTATTGCATTCAATTATTGCTCTTGTATGTACAAGAAAATGGCATCGTGTAAATGGGCCTTAAATCGTGGCTGTTCTTTTGAGGATAGAAATATTGAGAAAAGGTCGTAAAAAAGTTGGATAAAAATATGAATAAAGGCCCATTTACACGATGCCATTTTCTTGTACATACAAGAGCAATAATTGAATGCAATAAATTGCGCGCAATAATTGACCATCAAGAATTGTAAGCAACAGTTTACACGCAGATATAGTAAAAAAAAATTGAATGCGATTATTGTATGCAAGTCTTGACAAGAAATAATTGCAAATGTCTTTTGTTTACACCAATGCAATTATGTTTAGGCGATTATTGCTTTCAAGTTTTGACTTGTCTAAACACATGCTTGTATGTGCGTGTACAATTTATTGGCCTGTTGCTTCAAGTATTGCACGTATTTGCGTTGACAAATATTTCGTTCAAGTGTTGAACGTTCTGAAAAGGGCTGTTTATTTTTAAAAAAATGGGTCAAAGATAAGTGTTCAAGTTAGATTATGCAGATTTAATATATTTCATTGAGATTTATTTATTATTGTCCACATATTATTATTCATTTTATCGTCCAACTTTTTTTATGACCTTTTCTCAATATTTCTTGCCTCAAAAGAACAGCAACGATTAAACACCCTCACTCATCGCACTCATGTTTGCAAAGGAAGAGAGAATGCAATTGAATACAAGAATTGCTTAAGAAATTATTGTGTGTGCTGTTTACACCAAGGAAAGTTTTGAAACAAAACTTGAAGCAAGTCTTGTTCAACAGTCAAGAATGTTATGTGTTGTTTAGACCATGCAACTCATTTATTGCTTCAATTTAATTGTATACAACAGGCAAGAAACTGGCACCGTGTAAATGGGCCTTAATAATATATGGATCATAATAAATAAATCTCAATGAAATATATTTAATCGGCATAATCTAACTTGAACATTTATTATTGAGCCATTTTTTTAAAAAAAAAACAGCCCTTTGTAAAACGTTCAACACTTGCATGAAAAATTTGTCAACGCAAATACATGCAATACTTGAAGCAACACGCCAATAAATTCTACACGCACATACAAGCATGTGTTTAGACAAGTCAAAACTTGAAAGCAATAATCGCCTAAACATAATTGCATTGGTGTAAACAAAAGACATTTGCAATTATTTCTTGTCAAGACTTGCATACAATATTCGCATTCAATTTTTTTTACTATATCTGCGTGTAAACTGTTGCTTACAATTCTTGATGGTCAATTATTGCGCGCAATTTATTGCATTCAATTATTGCTCTTGTATGTACAAGAAAATGGCATCGTGTAAATGGGCCTTTATTGCTCTTGTATGTACAAGAAAATGGCATCGTGTAAATGGGCCTTTAAGTAGTATTTTAAATTGTTCCGCCATAAACACTTATTGTGAATATACGTTTACTCGTAATATATTCTTTCAATAAGTAATATAAAATGCCAAAGGGTGAGAAAATTGCCATCGGATATGTTCAAACATTAAAAGGCATGTTTAATTCAGATCTTTTAAAATTGAATGATACTTATTGCTTGTATCTTGTATCTTGTATTAACTGATGTTTTTGCTTTCAGTCCCGAGACTATTAAAGCTTCATCTGACGCAGAACCGATTGGCTAGCCAGAACCCACAGGTTTGGGCCCTCCGCTATGGGTAGGGCCACGCATGTGCTCATGCGTGTGTTTAACTATGGTGTGTCATCTAAGGGCCATCGAGGTCGTGGTTCGGACCGAAACCCCGATGGCCGTCGACTGTGCAATTAGCTAATCGGTGGCTGGGGGCGGTGAGAACCACCCCGGAACGCGGGTGTACCTTGTGTACGCGTTGTGTTGGTCTCGCCGTGCTCGGAGGCGAGGGCGAACTAATGTGATTGTTGTTGCACTAACTGTGGGTGTAGTGTTGTCCGGCGGGACCCCCGGCAGTGGGTCCGGCGTGTCTAAGTCCCCTTCCTCGACCGGGTCGATTAGGACGTTTCGCGGGCGACGCTTGTTGACGTTCGCGTTTTTGTTGGGTTGGTAATTTGCTGCGCTTACCACCAGAGGGTTGGGATGATGTTCGGCTCTATCGAAGAACCGTTTGGTCAGGTCTTTAAATATTCGCGAATCGTCGGGAGTCTGCAATCGCTGTGCAGGTCGACGTTGCGTTGATACCACTGCGCACCGGTTGCGCTGCGGATGAACATATTTTGTACTATTTGCCACTTGTACAAGCGAGTAGGGTGCGTGTGGGCGAAGGTCATGCATGCGTAAGACATAATAGGTCGTACGCAGGTCTTATATAATAATAATTTGTGCCTTAAGGGCATTTTACTTTTAGCGTTAGTTAAATTGTGTAGCCGGCCGGAGACGAACGCGGCTCTATTGCGAAAGTTATTAATGTGCGTAGTAAATGACATACGCGAGTCGAAAGTGACTCCTAAGTATTTGACCTTTTTCTCCCAGGGGAGCGGTTGGCCATAAAGGGATATTTGCCCCAACTTTCTGCATTGACGAGGGCCATTATAAAGATGTGACGGGTAAGTACTTCGTGTGAAGTGAATCGCCACACTCTTTTCGGGATTTATTTCTATTCTCCATTTGCGGAACCAATCGCCGAGGCGGTCGGCAGCGCTTTGGAGTCGAGTGGTTAGTTGTCTAAGGTTGCGGTCTGAATAAAAGAGCGCCGTGTCATCCGCGAAAAGCGCGAGATTGACGTGGGGGTCTTTAGGTATATCGCTCGTGTAGAGCGTAAAGAGCAAAGGTGAGAGGCAGGAGCCTTGTGGTACGCCGGTCGTGAGGCGGCGGCTTGTGGAGAGGGTGCTTTCAACTCGATATCGAAAAGAGCGGTTCGACAGGAATACCTGGATGGTGTGTACGAGCCTATCTGGCACTTTGAGTGTGTACAGCTTGTAAAGCAAGCCGTTGTGCCAGACCTTGTCGAATGCTTTTGCGACATCGAAGAAAAGAGCCCCTGTACTAATATGTTTAGGGTGATTTAGGCCTTTTAGGTTTATGTTTGTTCCGTTAGGCGGAATAGTTGATCGGGACAGGAATGTCTAGCTCGAAAGCCGAATTGTTCCGCCGGCAGAATGCCGTTGGAAAACACGTGCTCATTGAGCCTGTTTAATAAAAGCCGCTCGTAGAGCTTCCCCAGGCAACTGAGGAGGCTGATGGGACGATAACTAGAGGGCTGGTTGGCTGGTTTATTAGGCTTGCGAATGCCGATAACCCTGGCTTCTTTCCAGTCGTCTGGAAAGGAGCAACGATGTCCTCTAGGAGAGTGTCCCACGTTGTATGTCGGTGTTCCAATACACGATCTTTGACTTCTAGCTGAAGGCGTCGAAGTAGGGTTCGGTTCGATTCCGATCGGTATCGGTCGAAAGCGCGTTTGGCTGCATTTTTCTGCCTAATTAGGAGTCGCAGGTCGGGCGGAAAACGGACGGTTAAACCGTCGATCGCCCGACAGTTTAACCGTCCGTTCCGAGTCTGCGACTGTGGAAGTGATGGTTTCTCGGAGACTTGCTATCGCTCGATTTGCGTCATCGAACGTAGCTATCGTCTCGGGTAGGTCGACTAAGTCCTGGGGGTCCAAGTCCTTGAGTTTGACCTCAAGACGATGCCAGTCCATTACGGATTTGGTCGGAGGGACCGCGCCGGCGTTCTGGCCCAGTTTACACAGGACGGGCCTGTGATCTGAGTCTAGTTCATGGATTGTCTCTATCGACTCGATGTCGAGCGAGACCTCCTTGAGTAACATGATGTCTAGGATACTCGGTGTCGAGTGTTGGTAGTTGTCCACCGTAGGATACCTAGTGGGAGTCGCAGGAGCAATTATGCTAAAGTTTAAATTATCGGATAAGCTAAAGAGATGCTTTCCGTTGTTATTTGGGATGCTGTGGATGTCCCATGAGCCGTGTTTGCAGTTTAGATCTCCTGCAATTATCACGGAAGGGCCTAAGTTGAGTAGCGTATCTAGGTCGCTTTGTAATAAGGTTTTGTTCCCCGAGAGGTAGGCTGAGACTAGTACAAGCGGCCTATGGCCGGTGAGCGCTAACCTACACGCGGATGCCTCTATATGGCTTAGCTCTGGAATGTCGAGCGGGCTACAGTGCAAGGGTGGGTACCTAGCTGTCGCCTATCGCAACAAGCACACAGTTTTTAAATAAAAACAATGCCGCCTCTGAGGCGAGAAGTGTGTATAGAATTCTACTTACAGAACAGGAACCTGCCTACGAGCACAACACTAACACAAAACTACTGCACTGCTTGCACAAAGATTTAAATTGCAACCGAAGTTGCGAGTAGCGTCTAATTCGGGTGGCATTAGCCCTCCGTCTTAGAGAGAGTTCCGTTCCGTACGAGAGCACGAAGCGGAATGCTACTTATTCCTATTGTTTATTGTCTGATTCTTAAAAATAATGAAAATAATTATAACGTCACAATAAAATGTATTTCAAAATCAAAAATCAAAAATATATTTATTCAAATAGACGCTTGCGCGCTCTTATGAATCGTCAAATTTTACATCAAAGGTTATGTGTATAGGTTCGTAAGGTACCACCGGTTCGGAAAGCAATTTCTGTTGAGAAGAGACCGGCAAGAAACTCAACAGTTGCTCTCTTTCAAAAGTATCAATAATTTACAATATAATAAACAGGTATAATAGTCTTATTCTAGCCTACGTGAGTATCAACAGTATTAACTCCACACATTGGCGTCGTCGAGATATTCCGAAATGGTATAATATGCTTTAATCATTAGTTGATTTAATTTGTATAAATATTTTTCAAGTCAATGAACAATGTTCAAGGTGAAGTATATTAATTAAATTACTTTTTAAACAAAACAGTTTTGATCTACCTTGTTAGATAATTTTAAAAAAGGTAACTTTTTAAAGTTAGGAAGTTTTTTTCGAAAACAGTTGATTTTAGGAGGTTTTTGAATTTCTTTAGGAGTTTTTTTTTTCAACAGTTGGTAGCACTGCATGTCAACAGCAGTCCATATTGTCACCGCACGTCATGTCACTCATGTCACAATCATGAAAAATGTAACTTATATTATTCTATTAAATAGTTAATATAAAAAAAATAAAAAATAAACGTCAGGTAATTAAAGTATACAAAATGTCTTTAATTGATGTGGTTAAAATATTCATAACCGTTCATATTTGTTCGGTTTTTTCATGTTAAATTAATATCTAGTGAATTATAAATGTCCTGATTTTGCCACATTACTTAAAGTAAGTTTTTTTAAATGTTCTGAAAATATATATTTCACACACTTATGTATATGTCATTGGCAAATAACAACCTGCCAGGAACAAAAAAAGTTAAGCATTGATTGTTTGTTTTTAAAAAGGCAACAATGAAACAACAACAATTTATATTTAATGTGTTTTTTACAGTTGAATACTTTAGAAGTTGACTTGTGGTTTTTGCTCATTGCATCTGCATTTTGTATATATAACAAATATCATTTCTTTAATTTTATTTATTTGTATAATAAAATACAGTATTCATAAATATAAACACACACATACTACAACATAAACTCATAAAAGTTTTAAAAATAATAAATATTTAAGGACACAGAGAATTTCGTGTAAAAACACAACATTCTCTAGTCCTAAACCAAGCAACACTTGTATTATGGATACTAGATAACTGATAAATATACTTAAACATCATTTGCTATTTACTATGTATAAATGAAATTACATCACAGATAATATATATAACAATTCATACCATGATTATTCTGATGACTTGTAATATTATACACCAATTATGTGTGTACATAGATAAGAAAAGCTTCATGAATGTAAGATTTAATTTCAAATAATGTTGTTTCTTACCTCATAGCATGTGTGTAAACAGACTGCCGTTGCATTGCGAATTTTAGTGATGAATATGTAAATATTATCATCTTAATAGGTTAAATTCAGTGGTGGAGTAATGCGATTCACTTGATAATTTGATAATTGATTATCATATAGCCTATATAACCTGAAACTCCTTTTTTTACAAGTTGCGAATCTTTAAAAATAGTGGGCTCAGTTATCTCACTCACCAAATGGAAGACAAAAGTATTGTAGTACTTTCACTTTACATTAGTCAGGAGACCAAGGAGACCTGACATGAGTCAGGACTTGGTACTTCCTTGGTCAAGCCTGCCCATTCGCACAACAACACAAGCTGGTGTGGGGTCCAATGTCAGCAAAAAAGTTAAAAATCAGCTGAAAACATAATTTTCATTTAATAGATTAGATTAGCTGGAGTAGTGCCTTTTTCAAAATATCCCAATCTGCAAGGTGTTGTTGGTAGCAATCTTACAATTTTAACACAGTTTTGACAAACTAGTGCTGTGATAGGATTCTATGTATTGACTGTCTTCTTTGTTGGTAGCGAAAGAATTGCCACCGCGGCATAATTTAGTGCACATGTAGGATTACCTGTATATTGTTGCTAAAAAGTTTTTGTTTCCAGAACGGCTTGACAAATTGTTTAAGAAACTATAAGAGAAAAGGATACTTTAATTAAAAGAAAGAAGGTAATTTTAATTCTACTTTATAGTTTACTTATAAAACCAAAGCGTATACTAAGCGATTAGCTAAATTTTTACCAGTGATTGACTTTAAACCACGATCAATCTTCTTTATTTATTACAACACCAACAGCAACATGATAAAGTTGGTTGCAAATGACCAACTTCACACTATTACCATGGCAACAAACAACAATTTTTTGACCTTTATGTATAATTCCAAGATATTTAATTAAACTTTTATCAATTGCATTTAAAGTCTTTTTCACAAACAAAGAGTTTAGTTATTTTTCTTTTGTTACACTCAAGTATAACTTCTTACATGCATACATAAGGACAAACATAAATTTTTCACAGGAAAGATTGTTTACCCAGTCTACAGTGAGATAACTTTTGCAGGATGAGGTTCAATGGACGACATGATTCCTTCTCTAGTGAGGATGAGCTGCCGCTTAAGTATTGTTTGGGTAATAGATCCAATGGAAGTAACTCCTACGCGAGCCTTTGCCGTCGTGAGGTAGTTGGCTGCGAGTTCTGTGACCAGATCTCCAAAAGCAGGTAAAAGATAATATAGAAGAGAATATGCATAATGATATTGTATAAGGATTCATTTTCAAGTTTTGGTATTTGTCGCTATGTACATATCTATAATCTGTTTGCTGGCAAAGAAAATAAGTAAATCGTCATCATCAGTTCAGCAGTAAAAATTTGATCTCTGAATTGTGTATTAAATCTAAAACGAATGCACAAAGAAACGTGTGGGATAGTACTTTTACTACTGTAAATTTATTACAATATTACTCCTATGGCTGTTGTATCAGTGTGTCGACATTTCTGGGGAAGTACCACAGCTCGAGGTAAATGACCTGATGTTCTACTGGTGTTATCAAAATAGGGGAACCAATGTTTGACTCTTAGTCTGTTTTCGGGTCGTAAACTACTAGTGTCTGATAAAAGTCAGTCCTGATGCAGAAATATTATAACTTTGCGTTCCGTCTCGTGACTGTTAACTCGCCTTCTCCCATAAGAGACATAAAAAAGCGAAGAAATAAAATTGACGATCCCATTGGTATAGCACCATAGTACAAGTGTTGCTCAGTTCGGAACTAGAGAACATAATAAAAAAAAGTATAGTATAAGCCTATACATGTCCCCCTACTGGGCAAAGGCCTCCTCTGTACAAATGTTATCAGGGGATAGTCCGCCACGTGGCTGCTAATTGGCGGACTTCACATATCTTCGAAACACATTTTTCTTGTTATTATTTCGGAAATATGCAGGTTTCCTCACGATGTTTTCCTTCAGCGCTGGGGCTCGAACTAATGCTGCTCGAGTATATTAAATTAAAGGCGAGCGCCCGGACACTATCACGGCACATATATAATACAAAGATCGCGCTCGTTTCAGATATCAGAGCCTGATACATAACGCCGCGCACATTATCATACCCCTGCTCAACCTGAAGGTAGTCTTCTGCGAGGAGTGCCGCGCCTGCTTCACGTCCACCACCGACCTGCAGCGGCACAGCCTCCGCGCCCATCCGCCCCTCAGCCGCGCCGCGGAGCTGGAGAGGGAGACCAGGCCCAGGGTGCGGCTGAAGAGCAGACTCCACTTTGAGGAGGAGCCCATCAAGCCGGAGCTGATAGACCTCACCGACGACTGCACCCTCTCATTGGAACCCGTCGAAGAGCTCGCCCCTTCGCTCAAGAGTGGCAGCGGCCTGGGCTCAGCGCACAACAATAGGATTGGGGTTGGTCCAAGAGGCTGGGGATTCAAGGGGGAGCCACTCTACGTGAGCGTCCATTACGACGAGCTGAGGAGGCCCTCGCAGGTCCACTGCAGGCATTGTAAGCAGAAATTTAAAGATAGGTACGCAGTATACGATTCGGGTGTGGGCGTTTTGGTGTTATATACATCTAATTATCCACTTCGGATAGAGCGATTATGTGGGTAATAATGTTATACAAATTAATTTTGTTCGCCAATAGATGGCGCTCTAATATATTGAATATTTGAAAATTTGTGTGGGACGTCCCCCACTAGGAGTGAAGACTTGTGACGTTTCCAGGTTCGACCTGTGCGTGCACCAGGCGTCCCACCTGGTGGTGCTCCGGCGGCCGGCGCCCCGCTGCTCGAAACGGATGAGCCTCGCGCGCCCCCCCACGCCCCCCGGGCTGCCGCTCAGCTCGGAGCGGCTGCTGAGGCTCTGCGACCTGTGCTGCGGCTTCCTCAGGTCCCTACTTCTGCCACTATTCAATATGAAAGTGGTAGCGCGTTTAGCGCCCCCTTCTTTCTCCCTCTTCTTTTCTTTCGCTGAATCGTCGAACGTTCAACGCTCCCGGCGAGGGGGAATGGAAAGGGACGGAGCGAGGGTGAATGCGTCGCACTCGGAGTTTCACTTCTTCCGCGCGGGGGGACTCCACGCACTTTTTGTTTTGTTATTATTTCGAGGATATGCAGGTCTCCTCAAAACGTTAAATATATATATACAGCGTGTCGTTACCAACGCGACAATAAATGAACACACATATAGAGGATACCTTTTTAAAATTGCATCAAAAATTTACATTCTTCAAACATCAATATTTACAGAGTTATAAAATTATCCAAAACAAAGAATTTTAGAACATCCTTACGTATAAAACTGTAACGCAAAGTCCATTTGTAAAGGTCACAAAGCGTATGAATGGGTCGAATGAATTTAAAAAAGACAAAACATACTGTTAGAAAGAGAGGCTTGTAATGCGACGCCGTGACAACATATTTTTCTATTATCATTGGCAAGTAGCGTTAGACGTGTGTTCATTTAATGTCGCGATGGTAACGACACGCTGTATATATATATAAATATATATCTTTCGTCGCAGGTCGCACACGCGCCGGCGCTACGTGCGCGTGGGCGCGGTGAGCCGGCCCGGCGAGCGCGCGCCGTGCGCGGACTGCGCGCGCCAGTTCTTCGAGCTGAACCTGGTCGCGCGGCGGCAGACGGTCAGCGCGTACGGCGCGAGAGGGCGCCGGCGGCGGCTCACCAACGACCAGCGGCTGAGGAACATACGCCACAGGCTCAAGGCCGCCAATAAACTGAGCTAGACGTCGACGCGTTTCATTTCTACCCAAGCCCCTCTAGTGACGGTGACAGCCGTGATGTACCCGTGTGCAGAGTGTTTCACCCAGTGACAGAGGTTGTCAATTGTTGGCTGTCTGTGTATCTGGCAGTGTTTCATTGCCTCCTAGTGCCAGAGGTCTTGATGCCCCACCTGACTGTATTTGTGCAAAGCGTTTTATCGCCCCTCCCAATCCCCAGTGCCAGAGGTATTGAAATTTTGGCTGCCTGTGTATCTGGGCAGTGCGTTTCATTACCCTTCGAATGACAGAGGTCCTGAACCGTTGGCTGCCATATGTCTGCGCGGAGCGTTTCATGTCCACTCCTAATCCCCAGTGACAGAGGTCGTGAAGTGTTGGCTGTTGTGTATTTAAGCAGGACAAGGATGGAGAGTGGACTTCACCAGGCGTGACTTCTCAAGCATCACATTGCTATACAATGTAAAAAAGGTAAAGTAACAACCTATACATGTCTCACTGTTGGGCAAAGGCCTCCTCTGTACGGAAGGTATCAGGGCATAGTCCACCACGCGGCCCCATTGCGGATTGGCGGATCTCACATATCTTATATTTTTTATGTGCATTGTGCCTCTAAGAATATAATGACCGCTACCACTACACCGGTCACATTCTCTGTACAGAGGGCATTAGGGCATAGTCCACCTTCCACTTTTTAAAGATTGGCGGACTTAACAGTCGGCCAATCTTTAAAATTATTTTATTTTCTTTTTTGTTGTTATTTTAAAATATACAGATTTTTCTCACGATGATTTCGATCATCGCTGAGCACGTGACAAGTGAGCATTTAAAATTAAAAGATTCATTAAATGAATAAAGCGGGTTGCTTGGGAGTAATTGAATAAAAGCTTGTCTCTTTAGCTAGTTTTTTTTTCTAAGTAGTCTTTTTCTACTGCGATTTGACTTGACCCCAGCGTCATCTAGTAGTATTATTTGAAAATGCTAAAGACACTCACTATGTAGTGGGTAACACTAATATATATTTTCCGTTATGGGAATGTTACTACTAGGGTCACTGATTTTTATAATGCTTACTTTTTCTACTATTGGCAAGCAACACTATCCTGAACTAAAATAGGAATCTAAATTTGTAAATATGCCAAATACTAGAACAGGGAGTTTTAATTTGTGTCTTTCTTTTTGTGTAGTATCTTTTAAAAACTTTTTGTAATAGACACTTGCACTCTAGTTAATATTATAAGATCACTTAAAAACACAAAACCTAGTAGACAATTAAGTTATTGTCGTTTTTTTATATGAAATTAAACAGAAAAAAGTTGACATCTTAACTTTTGGGTGAGAGGCAGGAGTTCGACAGTTACTAAACGTAAATGAACTGTCAAATGTGACGCCATGTTGATAGTCTGTGTATTCGACAAAGCTGAATGTATAAACGTAGTGGTTACATTCTCTTTGAATGTAATATGGGAACGTATCAAGCAGCAAGCAGCAAAGAGTACTTTTATATATCTGAAAGCAGGCGCTTAACCTGTTGTTTAGTGGTTACGGCCGCCCATGGACGTAATAACACCTGTGTGTTCCATCTTCGATGCCCATATTTTAAAGAGTGGAGTTACCTCGGAACGCAACGCACTTGTATAACACTTCAACTTTACGCCGGTCTTCTGTGAGGCCTTAATACTTCTCCCCAAGAGCGTGAATAACAGTCAAATTCATTTCGTTAAACGGAAAGTTTATTTTAATAAAAGTTTTTCGTCGTATTTATTTATAATTTAAATCCCCCTGCGAAACGCTTGCATCACTCCCCGATAAAAATAGCTTGACGATCATGCCAAGAGTTTAACGCACTAATTGATTAGTAGGTAATTGAAACGTGTCCAAAAGAAACCGGTGGACCTGTGGTCGGGGATACCGGCTACGAACCAATATAAGGTTATAATTCGATAAATGTTTACATTCTTACGTAATATTTATTAACTTTTTTTATATGTGACAAAGTGGCATACGCGCCGGCGGTTCACCTGATGTTAAGTGATAACGGCCGCCCACGGACATTTGCAACACACTTAGGGTTGCAGATGCGTTAACAACAGTTAGCACAAATATTTTTACCTATAGGTAGATCCACGCACGATCTTCGCCCCAGTCAGATATCAAATTAAATCTACACTCGAATCAATTTGAAATCTAATACCTTTATTCAATATAGGAGCCAGACTGACCAGAGAAGAACCGGCGAAAGAAACTCAGCGGGACTTTCTTTTTTTTATACCATTGTTTACCAAATAAAGACATGTTTACAAATGTATTAAAGTCCACTTCAAAGCCTGGAGCGATCACCGATCGCGAGTAGGAATGCTAAACGGGTATCGAGTGACAGCCCAAGCTGAGGTCCCCTCTAGGAGATCCTATAGCCTACTCACTCCATGGAGCGTCCGCCAAAGCGCCCAAAGAACTTGGTGGCTTCCCAAAACGGTGAGAATAATAGTAATAGCGTAAGCGGTCCGAGTCCGGGCCCCATCGGGAGCACCCGAGCTAAGTCACCTTAAGGCGTAACCAAGGTTCAGACTAGGTACACCAAGCGCCCGGCGACCTCAAGTCCGGCGCATCTGAAAAGACCCTTAAGGCCAACACATGCAAAGAAACGGTCTTCATCTTAGCACGAATGGGCTTGTCCGTCCGGGGAAGTACCACGACCTCACAGAAGACCGATGGGAAGTGGAAGTGTTACACTTTTGTGTTACAGCTTCCTTGAGTAGTGAGAGTTCCTAGAAGTGAGCCGTGGCGCACTTCATTGAAAGGCGGCAACGCATCACTCAACATCAGGTGAACCGCCAGCTCGTTTGCCACTTTCTCACATAAAAAAGGTATACCCTTGTTAATCGGCGTCTCTGTGAGATAACAGAATTGGCCATTTCTTCCCATCGTTTAGTTTTAATCGACTAAGCTGCGATGTCAAAATGGCTGCGTAACGTTGCACGGAACGCATGCACCCGCTCGAGAATAGATCATGCTTGGCTTGGGCCGCGACACCGAACTCCGTGGAGTAGCTTCTCACTATAAATAATAAAACTTTATATGATTATGATTAGAGGTATTTTTTTTTAAAACATTGCCCTTACTTTAGGATAACATTATCTTGTGTTGTAGGGACGTTTTACAAACATAAATTTCACGCGGACAAACACCCAGATGAGAAACAAATATCTGTGGGTCACACAAATAGTTGTCCCGCGTGGGAATCGAACCCACGACCCCCGACGCCGAAGCCAATGCCTTGGCAACTGCGCCACGGAGTCATCCTGGTTTCTAATGCGATGTCGAATACAAACATTCAGCATTGCACCCGTGCATCAAAAAGAACTAAATTCCGTGTTGTCTTAATGCCAGCGCGGTTGCTAAGTAATAGTTTTTATTTGTTTTAAAAATAAATAAAAATTTTATATAATCATTGCCCTTACTGTACGCCTTGTATAACACTGTCCTATGTCAATACCACGTTTTACATACATAAATCTCACTTGAACAAACACCTAGATTCAAAACATTTATCTGTGGGGCGCGCAAATATTTGTCCCATGTGGGAATCGAACCCACGAACTCCAGTGCCGAAGCCAATATTTTTGGCAACTGCACCACGCAGTCATTGAATAGTGACGTTTCTTTCAATGGTCAGTAAATTCCAACACACTTATTACAAACCATCAGAAGAAACAACGTTCCCTACATTGTTTTTGATTCACTGGATATCAGGTATAGAAACGGTTAGATATATTGGATATTACATCTGTAGGAAGGTCTCCGGCGTAAACACAGCGACACTAAATTACGCAAAGTCTATATCGTTTAGCTGCTACAACCAAATCTAACTACTCCTAACATTTCTCTGTTGCTCCTAGTAAATTTTGAGCGGATTAAATGCATCAGTTTGTTACCGTCCGCAAAACAGAACAGCGTCCGCGCGCCAAATTAAAAAAATAAATAAAATGTGAGGTGGTAACAATCGGCGACGGTAAATAAGCGGACGTTATATTTAACATTTTCAAGTAAATTAAAACATATTTGTGTTTGGTGTTATCAACAAGAACATTTGAACTTTAAAAAAGCCTGACATTTGTTGACTTGTGCTTATTTTTTACGAGTGGATTAAAGAGCAAAATAGTACGGGTCAGTGTTGTCAGTCGTATTTTTTTTATAAAAGGTAAAATTAACGAATAACCTCTCAATAAAAAAAACTCTTTAAAACTTGTTCTCACAGACGAGTAATTGCGTAAATCACTGTTTTTCAATTATTTAAAACTATATTTAAATTAACTATATTTTCAATAGTTTAAAACTGACTATATTAAGAAGTTAATCGCGTATGTATAATTGTACATGTTGGTTGATTGTAATGAGTGGTAATAAATCTTCAATAAATACGTAAAAAATGTTCTGAAAACTCGTACATTCGTTATTACATTTACATCGGGCCATTTTTATTAAAGCGTTTCAACTTTTTTTTTTCTGAACAATCTCCGCAAAAAATTACAATTACCTTAAATGAATTAGCGACAATAATAATTTTATATAGGTAGTTGTCAGCGAAATTCGTACATGATACCATGAATCATATAAAAAATATTTCATTGACTAGATTTAAAAACGAGATAGTAACTTTTAGTTGTTAAAGTTACTATTATGAGCCGTGATAGCACAGTGTACAGGTGCTTGCTTTTAAATCGTTATGTTGGAGCAACCTAAGTTCATATCCCGGTGCCAGCACCAATTAACTTATGTTTATTAAGTGGTAACCTACTTACGAATTTATGTATCAAATTTTAAAATTCGACGTCGCGAAAGAAGCGCAAGCGTCTATTTGAACAATGATATTTCGAGTTTGAATTAAAATTGTTAATTTTAAGTGCTGACTTATCACGTGCATATTTTCTAAATAGTAACAAAAACAAATATTACGAAGACATGTGAAGTTTACCGTACAGCAGGGGGTCTCGTGGTGGCCTTTG